TTAATTGAATGTGAATGCCTTTAGAGGGCATTCTTCCCTTTACCTTAGGCCTTACCATTGTCTACTTTCCTCCACCTGGCTGTCTTCAGACATTTAGGTTGCCTGCCTGGCACCTGTTGGCATTTGAAGTTGCTCTCCCTGCCCAGTTGTTAATTAGTGGTTTCTCAGTGAACACCTGGCTGCTGTCCCTTCCCAGGCTGGCAGCTGTGGCTTCTGACTTCCTTCTCTCCCTCTCCCCTCTAGATGCAGGCCCTGACTTCCTGTGAGTGCACCATCTGTCCTGACTGCTTCCGCCAGCACTTCACCATCGCCTTGAAGGAGAAGCACATCACGGACATGGTGTGCCCCGCCTGTGGCCGTCCTGACCTCACTGATGACACGCAGTTGCTCAGCTACTTCTCCACTCTGGACATCCAGGTACCGAAGTCTCTGGGACTTCAGGTGCCCAGGGCTTTGAACAGAAACCCTTGCTATCCTCCACTTCTGCATTCTGTCTCCAGCTTCGAGATAGCCTGGAGCCAGATGCCTATGCCCTGTTCCATAAGAAGCTGACCGAAGGTGTGCTCATGCGGGACCCCAAGTTCCTGTGGTGTGCCCAGGCAAGTGGCCTGCCCAAAGGAGCTGACTGGAAGGGTGGGGGTGGTGCCTGGTTAGGCCTCGAACAGCTCTATCCCTCTGCACCCACAGTGCTCCTTTGGCTTCATATACGAGCGTGAGCAGCTGGAGGCAACATGTCCGCAGTGTCACCAGACCTTCTGTGTACGCTGTAAGCGTCAGGTGAGGCACATCCACCCTTCCAGAAATATTTGCTGAGCTGCTGCCAGGTACTCTGTTAGATTCAGAGTATGCTGGAGAACAGAACACACGTGAGCTCTCAGCTCAAAGTGCTTACAGGCTAGTCAGGGAGGGACAGAGGAGAGTGAGAGAAGGAAGAAAGGGTGAGGGAGGAGTGGAGACAGATGGAGAAGGTGAGAGAGGAAGGCCAAGGGGACAAGGATGGAGGGGGAGGAAGGGTGAACAGGAGGAGGGATGAAAGGTAAAGGAGGAGGAAGAGGGTTGGTGAGGGAGGGAGAGGAAGAAGGAAGGAACAGAAGTCAGGGAGGGAGAAAGAGCATAATTATACATAAGCATGAGTTCTATGAGGAATACAAACAGGAATATGAGATTAGGAATAATGGAACGGAACTACTTAGAACAGAGAGGTCAGGCAAGTCTACTCTAAAATGGTTTAATTTAAGCTCAGGCTTAAGACGAAAGTTAAGATGAAGTCAACTATGCAAAGAGTATTTGTGACAGAGAGCAACCCATGCAAAAGCCAAAGTCAGAAAACAGTGTTGTGTGGTTGGTGCCTCAAGAGCAACGGTGAGAGGGGCAGGCAGTTGGAGAGGCACTAGCCCCCAGGTCAAGAGAGGCCTTGAGGCCAAGTGAGGAAGGTGTTTGCCTCTTATTCTAAGACTAAGCAAGGGGTGACACAACTTCATTTACCTTTTTTTTTATATATATATATATATATGTTTATTTATTTTTAGAGAGGGAAGGGGTCGGGGGGGAGAGACAGAGAGAGAGAAACATGAATGTGCAGTTGCTGGGGGCCATGGCCTGCAACCCTGGCATGTGCCCTGGCTGGGAATCGAACCTGCAATACTTTGGTTCGCAGCCCGTGCTCAATCCACTGAGCTACGCCAGCCAGGGCTTCATTTGCCTTTTAAAAAGTTTAATATTTGGTCTCCCAAATATTGCATCTATATTTTGAAACACGATAAATAAACCCCTGAGACACTACCACTGAACCTCAAAACTAGGGCACTCCCAGTCCACTTGCAGCTGTTTGACACACACCTTCAAAGGCACTTTGGCTGCAAGGTGGAGTTTGGACCATAGGAGAGCCTGAGTGGAAGCAGAGAGAATAGTAGCCAAGGCAAGACCTGACCTGGCACAGCGTAAGATAGTCACAGTAGGGATGAAGAAAAAGAGGACAGGGTGTGAAATAGACATCAGTACAATGTTAGCTAGGCTTAGGTAGTGGAATCAAGACTTGCTGGGAATGCACGGTGGTGTGAGGGAATGAAAGCACCAATGCTGGCTCCTCGGTTTGAGATTAGAGCAGGGGTGTCCAACTCATTTTCACCGGGGGCCACGTGAGCCTCATGGTTGCCTTTAAAGGTCCGAGTATGATTTTAGGACTGTATAAATGTAACTACTCCTTAACTAGGGGGAAGGAGCTTGGCGCTGGTGCCAGGTGGATAAAACAAAGTGGAGGGCCAGATTTGGCCTGCAGGCCTTGTGTCTGCCACCTGTGGATTAGAGCAAATGTTGGATGGCAGTGCCATAGCTAAGCCAGGGACACTGAGTATGAGTAGAGGGACTGGCAAGAAGGGCCTAGGATGGAGCTTCCATGTGACTCTTGCTTTCCTTCTGGCAGTGGGAAGAGCAGCATCGGGGCCGAAGCTGCGAGGATTTCCAGAACTGGAAACGCACCAATGACCCAGAATACCAGGCCCAGGGCCTGGCAATGTACCTTCAGGAAAATGGCATTGGTAAGGCTGCCCCACTACGCCTGTTTGCCTGGTAATTTATTGTTGCCAGAGGCTCATTTTTTGAGGGTCTCAAGGAGCAGTGGCAGCCCTAGCCCTAACCTGCTGTTCCTTTCAGACTGCCCCAAATGCAAGTTCTCGTACGCACTGGCCCGAGGAGGCTGTATGCACTTTCACTGCACCCAGTGCCGTCACCAGTTCTGCAGTGGATGCTACAATGCCTTTTATGCCAAGAATGTGAGCCCAGAGAATGGGCATGGAAGGGATGGAATGATGGGGGCTGCCATTGGGTGTGAGGGACAGAGGCCACTGAGGAGCAGCCCAGGGGAAAAGAAGAGGCTGGTGGGGGAGGGGGGTAAATTACCTCTCTCTGTCCCCTTTCCCCTCTGTTTGCTCCAGACCCTCCAGTGTCTCCATCTCCCCCCACCCCTACACCCCTCACTCAAGGGTTCCTGAGAGGACAGGACCCCAACAGTCTCCAACTTTCCCTCTTCCATCTGGGTTTCCACCAGAAATGTCCAGACCCTAACTGCAGGGTGAAAAAGTCCCTGCACGGACACCATCCCCGAGACTGCCTCTTCTACCTGCGGGATTGGACTGCTGTCCGGCTCCAGAAGCTGCTACAGGTAATGGGGGCCAACCTGGCTGGGTTCACAGGTCATCCAGGAGAGGGGGCAGAGCCCAGGCTAGCAAGAAGGGAGAAGCTCTCCTGGAAAACCCAGTGGGCTGGCACAAAGGAGAACCTAACGCCCACCCATCTGCCTCTTCTCAGGATAATAAGGTTATGTTCAACACAGAGCCCCCAGCAGGCGCCCGGGCGGTCCCTGGAGGTGAGTGTTGGGACCAGTCTTAGAGAAGGGGCGAGGGTGGCTGGGCACCCCCTGTGAATTGGGAAAACGGGAGGCATGGGTCTGGGGTCAGACCTGAGCTGAAGACCCATCCCATGCTGACTTGTGTGCCCGTTGGCGAGGTAACCTCCCCGGGCCTTGTTTCTTCCTCTGTGAAATCGGGGTAATATTCGCCTTGCAGCTCAGCTATTTTAAATGAAGCCACATTAAAGCATCTGGCACCTCAATAATCTCTTCTGTCATTCCCAAAGGATAATGATTCTTTAGTTCAATGAGTATGTAGTGAGACTTGCTAGCTGCACTGTCTTAGGTTCCCTGAGACAATGAGATGTTACTTGTGGCTCTAATGTACACCACTTCTTACCATCAAAACAGAGTAAGACCTTCACATAATAAGTTAACTATTCAAAAGCTAAATCAAAAAAGAGCTGTCTCCGAGGGTATGTGATTAGGGGCCAAGAGCCAGCTTGGATAAAAGCAGGGACAGCAAGGTCCCTGCTTCTGTGTCAGAGCTAGTCAGCCACAGTGGCTTCTCTAAGTACACCCCACCACCACCGTTAGAGTTGGCCCTCCTGTCCTCCGGCCCTTCCTGGAGGCTGTCACCCGTGCCTCCATCCCTGTTCTCCTAGGGCTTGGCTGTCAGTGGCCTCTTCCTAACAAAGTGTCTTTTCCTGCCCTCATCCATAGGTGGCTGCCGAGTGATGGAGCAGAAGGAGGTTCCCAACGGGTTCCGGGATGAAGCTTGTGGCAAGGAGACTCCCGCAGGCTACGCGGGCCTCTGCCAGTGAGTGCCTGGCAGGGAGCTTGGTGTTGGAGAGAGGGATAGGAGCACTGGGAGCTCCCATCATGTGTCTCTGGGAGCAGTAGGTCTTGCAAGGAGAAGGAAAGGGCTCTCTGGGCAAAGGCCTGGATAGGTAGTAGCAAGTAATGCGCACAGGTTGGCATACCTACACAGCTGAGGGTTGTCAATTTTGTTTGTCCAAGTATGCCAGTGTTCAGCAAGGTGCTGGGCACACTCAGTTACCAGTAGCCAAACACAAGAACCGATATCTCACCCTCTCTCATCTCTCAGGGCACACTACAAAGAGTATCTTGTAAGCCTCATCAATGCCCACTCACTGGACCCAGCCACCCTGTATGAGGTAGAGGAGTTGGAGACGGCTGCAGAGCGCTACCTGCATGTGCGCCCACAGCCGCTGGCTGGGGAGGATGCCCCTGCCTACCACGCCCGCCTGTTACAGGTGAAGCTTCCCTCCCAGCCTTGTCTCTGGCCCTTTGTTCTGGAGGTCCCCTGTCTAGCCTGTGTTTGAGCTCCAGACTTCCAGGATCATCGTCATCTCTCTCTCTCTGCAGAAGCTGATGGAAGAGGTGCCCTTGGGACAGAGTATCCCCCGCAGGAGGAAGTAGCTGAGGGTGAGGGTCCCATGGCCCCACTTCCTCAGGAACAGCTCCAGCACCAATAAAGAGGCATCTCCTTGCCCAGGCTTCTTGGTGGTCCTTCTTCCTGACCCCACCATCTGGGGGCACCAGGGAAAGGGGGGTGAACAGAGCTTTGCCGAAAGGGCCCCCTACAGCCCACCAGTTGACCCTCCCTGGACTCAGGATCAGAAAAGAATTGACACCATGGATGGCAAAGGGATGTCCTCCCTATCCAGCTACTTGGCCGGGCTGACTTCCTTCCTCCCTGCCTCCCTTCTTCTCTTCATCAAATTCAGCTGAGATTTGAGGTTACCTAATAGATACTAAGCTAGCACTGTGAGGGAACATAGATGCATAGGTGGTACAGAGCTACCTAGAGGCCCTGGCGCCAGACTCCAGCACACTGTGGCCTCCCTAGGGAAGCAGCAGTGTCACAGACATGGCCGGACAGAAGGAGTATCTGAGGGAGGAGGAAGGAGCCTGAGCTGGATGGTTGCTCCCCTGGCTGAGATTCCGATAGTGAGATTCTCAGATGCTGCTTCCCTCTGGTGGCCACCCATTGCCCTGCAACTCAGAGACCACGTGATTTCAGGGAAAAGGACCTCCCAGGAGGGGAACTGAAACTTAGGGTGGGGACTGTAGAAATAGGGAGGAGTCAACAGGAAGCTCCCTAGCCGGCAGCGGAGCTGAGGTCAGCTGAGCTCTGGACTGCCTGCACAGCCGCTCAGGTAAGATCAGCCAAGAATTGGTGGTGGCAGCCTGGGTGTAGGCCTAGAAGGCCCGGCCAGGTTGGCAGAAGGAGGGTCCTGGGGGCCCCTCTACTAGATGGGAATTGACTGAAGGCCTATGACTCGGGAAGCAGGAGGTTGGCCTGAGTGAGAGAGCCAACCTGACTGGCTGGGGGCTGTGTCCCAAACTCTACAGGCAAAGGCTGGGTGCACCTGCTGCCAGGCTGTTTGCTCCAGTCCACTCACACTTTTGTTTTCTGGCCTTTTGGCCCTGCCTACATCTGCTGAAGCTCCGCCCCTGCCCCACCTACCCCTAGGGCAAGCAGAGGGGAAGGATGGGGGTCTTAGGAGAAGTTGTAGGGGTGGTGGTTGAAGAAGGTTGATGAGGCATCTCAGAAGCAGACACGACCTCTGCAAATGTTTGGGAATGCAGGCTGGGTTATTGACCAGGAACAGGCCACCAAGGGAATGCTCTTTTCCAAACAATAGATGCCTGAAAATGTCTTAAATTTAAGACCAGTGTCTAAGGCTTTTCAGATATGTCTGGAGAAAAAAGAGGGATGGGTTCTTTGGGGGTCCTTGCCAGACAATACAACCCAAATGGCCAGAACCTCAGCAGATGTTACCTCCTAAAGTGTTGGTTGGTTCTACTGATGCTGCCTGCTGCTCTTATCTCCAGGATGGCATCAGGCAGGGCACGCTGCACCCGAAAGCTCCGGAACTGGGTGGTGGAGCAAGTGGAGAGTGGACAGTTCCCAGGGGTGTGCTGGGAAGATGCAGCTAAGACCATGTTCCGGATTCCCTGGAAGCATGCAGGCAAGCAGGACTTCCGGGAGGACCAGGATGCTGCCTTTTTCAAGGTGAAAGGCCCTGGGAACTGGCCCCTCCTTCCAAGTAAGAGATAGAGTTGACACTGAAGCTCCAGGGGTTGTGCCTGCCTAGGTGTCAGATAAAGGGGAGAGCAGAGGGTTGAGCCAGCTCTGTAATTGTCAGAGCCCAGTGCAAGATGAAAATGCAGACGTTAGTAAGGGTTTCAAGATGGCAGCAGCCGAGCATGGACCCAACACAGGCCTTTCTGTGCAAGTGCTTGGGCCACACATCCATGACGCCGGCCCTGGTGGCGTGTTGCTGCAGTCTGTAACGGGCCTCCTCTCTGCACTTCTGTCTCCAAGGCCTGGGCGATATTTAAGGGAAAATACAAGGAGGGGGACACAGAAGGCCCTGCCATCTGGAAGACTCGTCTGCGCTGTGCTCTCAACAAGAGTACTGAGTTTGAGGAGGTTCCTGAGAATAGCCATAGGGATGGGGCTGAGCCCTACAAGGTGTATCGACTGCTGCCACCAGGAACCCTCCCTGGTGAGTGTCCCCTTGCCTACCACTCCTAGAATGAGCCTCCCGGGTGGGTGTTGGGACTCCCTCCAGGCCCCTCGGTCAGAGTTCTGCCTTGTCCCTGTCCTTGGGGAGCTGCTTCCCACGTTCCCCTGCCCAGTCCTGCCCATCCTTTCACTGCCTCCTCTCTCCCCCACACCCTCCATCCCCACCTAAGGCTCTGACCTTTCTCTCCCACATTCTACAGCTTCACCAGCAACCCAGAAACCACCATCAAAGAGACACCACAGCTCTGTGTCCCCCGAGAGGGAGGAGAACGAAGAAACCACGAAGAACTGTATACTCAGTCCCTCCTTGCTCCAGGACCCCCTCAGAAACGTAAGAGCTAGGACAGGAACTTTGTGGGCCTGAGGGCAGGACGGTAACTAGGGGGAGAGGAGGCCAACAACAGGCACTATGTCTGCAGGAGGAGGTGGAGGCCAATGGGGGAGCTGGCCATTCAGACTTTGGGAGCAGCAGTAGCAACAGTCCTGAGCCTGAGGAAGGTACCACCTCCCCTGCCTCCTGTCATCGCCCTTGCCACACCCTCTGCCCTTTGAACTCCCCAGTCCCGCTCTGAATGACATGCGCCTTCTCCCTTCCAGGCGCAGACACAAGTGAGGCCCCTTTCCAAGGAGAGCAGGTATCTCTGGAGCTTCTGCCCCCTCCTGACTCAGGTACTTGGCGTGTCTGGCTTACCCCTGCTCCCTGTCCCCATAGGCTGGCTCCCTGGGACTGTACACACATTATCTAATCTGTCAGGGCTTGCAGTGACCTGGGCTCACCTTACCCTAGCATAGGCACTGGTTTCCAGGCAGCACACCTGGCCAGACTCCAGACTCCAAACAGCTCACTTCTCAGAATACCCCCTTTGCATTCTGTTTCCTGGAAATCTGCTTTAAAACATTGATTTCTATGGATTAAGCAGAGGCCCTATCTCTGGTACCTTCTTATAAACTCTAAGAGCCTGGGCATTAAGCCTTGAGGCCCCCATGGGAATCTGTGTATCAGTTACTCTTCTGAGTGATGGGAGGGTCTGGCAGGAGGTCCCTTGCTGGTGAGGGTGTGGGGCATATGGAGGAGGGAGGGCGACTTCTGTAACCTCAGAAGGTAGAGCTGCTGCCCCCACCCCACAGCCTGCGTTGTCCTCCCCAGCCCTTGCTTGGTCTTCCTGTCTGGGCCTCATGTCCCTCAGCAGCAAAATGAGGACATTGGATTTGCAAGGAGCCCCTCTTTGTTTTCCCAGAATCCCCTGCTGACCAGGTGGGCCTCTGGGGAGAGGCACTTGGTACAGTTGGTTGCTCTCTGTCCGCAGACTACTCGCTGCTGCTCACCTTCATCTACAATGGGCAGGTGGTGGGCGAGGCCCAGGTGCAGAGCCTGGACTGCCGCCTCGTGGCTGAGCCCTCAGACTCTCAGTGCAGCATTGAACAGGTGGTGTTTCCCAAGCCTGGCCCGCAAGAGCCCACCCATCGCCTGCTGAGCCAGCTTGAGAAGGGTGTCCTGGTGGCCAGCAACTCCCGAGGCCTCTTCGTGGAGCGCCTTTGCCCCATTCCCATCTCCTGGAGTGCGCCCCAGTCCCCACCTGGTCCAGGCCCACATATGCTGCCCCCCAAGAAGTGTGTGGAGCTCTTCAGAACCACCCACTTTTGCAGAGGTGAGGTTCCTACAGCCCAGCCCCTGAGCTCCTCCCCCTCCCCTCAGTCCCCCTGGGCCCTGCCCCCACTGTGTGCTCCCTCCAGCAGACCCACCACCACAGCCCACACATGGCACTCTGCACTTGCCAGGTGCTCATCCTGTGTGGCCCTATGCTCAGCCCTGAAAGCTGTCTGACAGCCTTCCTCCTGCAGCCTATGCCACGGAAGGCGGGCTCAGGTGGAGCCCAGTGCACAAAAGTGTCACAGCTCAGAGAGCACTGCTGCGTGGAAGCATGCAATCATCATGGGAAGGTGCACCTTGTGGCTCTCTCCTACACACACACTGGCACATGCACCCATCCACACCTTCAGGGAAGCTGGCATGTGTCACACATCCTGGCCCTGCCACACTCCAGGTGTCCTCTCAGGTTGCCCTGTCCCATCCACACTTGGAATTCCACCTCCAGCCTCCACTCAACTCTAAACCTGGCCTTGGAGCAGGGGCCAGGAGCACCGGGGATGCAGAGCATGAGTGTTCCCAGGGCCGTAGGTGCCCTAGCATAGCGAGGATAGTATGAGCAAGCAACCAAGGTGTGGCCACGTCTGAGTTAACAGCCAGAGCTGCTGCTGAGAGGACTCTAAATTCTCCCAGCAGAGGGCATGTCAGGCTCTGTAACAGCTGGCTACCACTAAATACAGTACTTCCTGCTGGAGGAGGGAGTACTTTCCCCCATCTGCATATAGGCGAGTAGCCACTTAGTTCCTAGAATTTCTCGCACAAGGCAGCAGCCTTGGGATCCTGCAGCTTCTCTGGCTTTGGTCTCTGAGTGGCCTCATAGCCACCTTTCTCCTCCTTCCCTGTCTATGGCCCTCTCCCTTCTTTTTTCTTTTCTCCAACCTTTGACCCTTTCTCTTTCAGACTTGCAGAAATACTTCCAAGGCCTAGGCCCCCAACCCAAGTTCCAGGTGACACTGAATTTCTTAGAGGAGGACCCTAGCCCCAACCACACCCCACAGAGTCTTATCTCAGTGCAGGTAAGTTCAGGGCAGGGTAAGAAAAGCTGCCTAACCCTGACTGGTGTGGCTCAGTTGGTTGAGTGTCATACTGCAAGGTAAAAGGTCACCAGTTCAGTTCCTGGTCAGGGCACATGCCTAGGCTGTGGGTTCAGAACCCACTTGGGGTGTGAACGAGAGGCAGTTAATTGATCTTTCTCTCCCTCTCTCTCCCTCCCTTCCCCATTCTCTAAAAATACATACATACATACATAAAGAATAGCTGCCTATTCAGGCAAGGGGGTTCCAGGAGGAGAAGGGCCTACCGGGGTGGGATGGGAGTAGTGCCTTGCCTGTTGTTCTCATGATACCCTCTCCCCCAACTTCCGGCACAGATGGAACAGGCCTTTGCCCGGCAATTACTGCAGGAGACTCCAGAGGACCAGACAGCCACTCTGTCCCTGGTGCAGAGCCTGGGGGACCTACCTTCCTCCTCTCCACTCTCTTCCTATTTCTTTGAGACTCATTCTCCACATTATTGACCTGCCTCCCTCAGTGATAATTCTTAGTGGTTTTCTGTGATGGTTATGTCCTTGAACTCCTCATATTATCCGGCTGGTTTTTATCTTTTTTTTTTTTAATTTGTTTGTTTTTGTTTTGTTTTTTGAGATATACCCTCTTTTCTCTCTGAGGAATTGAACTGGGAAATGGTGTGAACTCAGGGGGACATTTCCTTTTCCCCCAACCCCAAAGCCAAGCACTTTATATTTTCTTTTTAAATCTTCACTAAGGATTTAAAATAAAATTTTATTGAAAAGGGAATCAGTATCTGATTTGTTGGACAAATAAGGCAGCAGGGGTCACAGGGAGGTAACAGATGTAACTCGGCAGGAGGGCACTTGGGCTTTCTTCCTGCTGACGTCCCAGGCCCCTTTCCTCTCCACCCACAGGTCCTGGTGAGGAAGAGGAAGCAGGCCGGGCACTGCAGATTTGGGGCCTGGCTCTCTGTACCCTCTATGCAACCAGGACTAGGGTCAGGGTCAGCCACCAAGAGGGGCACAACCTACAGCCACTGTAGCCACCAACTTCACATGGGAAGATCCACACTCCACAGTGCTCTGTCAGAGGCGTCTGATTTGGCCCTTCACGGAAGGCCTAGGGTAGGACCCTAGATTGGAGGTCTGAATGAACAGGAGAACTTGAAATTGACCTGAAACCATGGGCTAGAGGCCCTGGGGTCTGCTGGACCTTCTGTGCCTGGGGCAGACCAAGCCCTGGTGCCTCTTCTCCCTGCACATGGTGCCCTGTTACCTCCACTGGAGGATACCCCCAAACTGGTTTCCTCACTCTACTTGAGCCCCACAAGACAAGCTGGCCTAGGATGCCATGTCACCTGATCAACACTCTGATCAGAGCTTTGAGGGGTCCAAATCAGCTAACACTCCTCTCTCTCACCAGTGTTTATTTTGCCACCAAACTGGAAATTTTTTATTGACAAGGCCACTTGTCATCTCTCCTCTCTGTATGTTCAATTCCAGCAGAATAACTCAGACCTAAGTTACCACTTACTTGATTATCACAGCCTCCAGCTCCCCGCTTCCTGTACATGACACCAGGTTAGAGGAGGAGCCTCCCAGACTAGACCCCTTCCTGTCATGTCATCCTTATAAGCCTTCAGTGGCTGGTGAACTACCTACACAATCAAATCTAGATACCTAGATCCTCAAGAATCTTCCTGCTTTAGTGCTATTTGAGCCTTTCTTCCTCCTTAGGCCTGCCTTCTCTTCCGTCTTTCCCACCCTCCTCCAGGAACCTGCACTGGCAGTGACGAAATCAGGTACTGTGTGCACAGGTGCACAGCCCTGTTGTGCCCTCAATTTGCTGAAATCCCTCCTGGACCTTTGTACCTGCCACTTCTTTGACTTCATTTGTTTTGTGCCCCACATGCAGTCCCCCAACCAATCCTGTCATTGTTCCTTCAAAAGCTACCCAGACACTGTCCGCCTCTCCTTGCCTCCACCACCAGCACCTCAGAACAAGTCACCATCATCTCTCACACTTTTTCTTCCTGCTTCCTTCTCCATCTTCTTTTCTGCTTTCACTCTTGTCCACCTTCAGCCTATACTCAACACAGTGGAGGTCCTCTTAACCCATAAATCTCACTGCATCACTCCTGCTCAAAACCCTCCATTAGCTTTCACCTCAGGTTAAAAGCCCACATCCTTACAATGACCTCCATGGTCCTTATGATGTACCCACTATCCTCTCTAACCTCACCCCTTGCCATTCTCCTCAGTCACTTTGTTCCAGGCTCCTTGCACCTACCAAACACATATCTGCCCCAGGATCTTTACAGTTGCTGGTTCTTTTGTCTAAAATACTCTTGCTTCAGGTAGGCACATGACTTGTCCCCTCCCTTCCCTGAGTTCCCTACCTAACTAGCAGTCCTTGCTACTCTGTATTCTATGCTGCCTCATTTTCCTTCATAGCACTGACCACTTCTATATTTCCATTTTTCTACTAGTTTATCTCCTCTCCTTCCTTGCTCTGTGAGAACAGGGATTTGCTCTGTTTGTTGCTATATCCCTAGTGCCTAGAGGAGTGCCTGGCACATTGTAGGAATGTAATAAATAGTTGTTGAATGAATAAATGAAGTAACAAATTATCTCCCAAACGAGGTTCTAGGCATCTGAAGGGTGGACACCCCATTTTATCATCTTTGTGTCCCAGTGTGAATACCTGTGAACATTGACAACTTATGGACAGTGTGGTCCAGGAAAAAGAGTCTGTATGGGCCTCTGTTTTCTCATCTGCAAAGGCCAGGTTTGCACTAGATTTTGAAATCCATTTTAGCCTCGACATTCTGTGGTTATAAGTTTAGTGTAATTGCACGGTTATTTGACAAATATTTACTGAATTAGGCTCCAGGCACTAATTGAAAACACAAGACCCCAATCTCAAGAGCTCTCAGATTGAAAGAACAAAATAAAATAGGGTCAGCTGGGCTGCAATGAGAGCTGAGTCTTAAAAAGACTCAGTGTGCCCTGGAATTGAGGCTGGGAAGGTCATCTAGACTAAAGAAATGGCTGTGCAAAGAAAGGCAGGAGGCATGGAGACAAGGGAAGTTCATAACCAGAACATAGTTTATACACATAATTGTTTGAGACAAATGGCTTTTGGGTGCTGAGAATATATTCTGCATCCAACAAAGCTAAAATCTGTTTCAGCCAGGAGAACATTCACAACTGGAAAACAGGCAGATCAGGCATGCCCACAACCTAAACTGATCAAGTTTGGGAAATGACCAGGCAAGTCCCCTGTTACTTCCTGTGAGATATGTCTTTCCCCCCATCGACCTGTGGTGGCTCTCAGGCCACCTCACACCGTTCTACCTGCCCAGCTCAATGTAGACCCAAAGATGGCACAAAGATGGACGGAACAATTGCTACCTGGTAGGTTTTGGTGGGGGCAGGGCAAGGTCTAGCCGCACGTCAGGCGCCAAGCAGGGACAAAGCCTTTGCCCCAGACATGACCCTACTGGGTGAAATGCCCTTGTTACCAGGCTGGATGAAGAAAAGGCTGGGATTTGCTCCCCCCTCATTGGTCGGCAGAGAAGTGCCTCCGAGAAACTTTTGCTACCGAAGGGAACGAGAGCCCATTGGTCAGGACACCTCACAATGACCCAGCAGCGCGCAGGGTTCTGCGGATTGGTTCGTTCCTCCCGCGTAGGGCCCTGCGGTTGTGTGTGTGGGTGTGTGGAGGGGTGTCGAGGGGGCGTATCTCCTTGACCCCTGGCGGGCAGCTTGGCGCCTGGAACGAGCTCAGCTTCGCAGACCCCTGTTCCCATAAACTTGTTCTGGGGGCCACCCTCTGCTGCTGAGGAACGGGGCACAGAGCACCCAAGTGCATGCTCCCTGCAGTGGGATCTAGGCCCGCGAGGGGGCGACTGGGTGAGACTGTCGCTGCTCAAGCTGAGAGCAAAGGCCCAAAGCCAGACATCTTTGCGCAGGGCCTCCACGATCCGGACCTGGTCTGGGCCACGGCCAGGACTCTTCTCAGGAGCTCTGCATATCCAACCAGCTCCTGTAAGTTCAGAGCACCAACATGGTGTGAGAATCCTTCAAGGACTGACGCCTTACTAGTCCCCTAAATCGTTTATCCACCACATGTCTATCTGCTCATTTATTTGGCATTCTGGGTCCATCCGCAGCTCCACCTGTCCAAATCCTTACTTCTCTCCAACGGTGCTGGGAAATCCGGTGTCCTAAAGAATTCGGATTGATATCCGAACAGAGGAGTGGTAGACAACGAGAGGGTGAAACCTTGGAGGGACAATGTTCTACTATCCCAATGTGCTTCAGCGCCACACCGGCTGCTTCGCCACCATCTGGTAAAAGCTGGCTGGGCCAGGGTGGGCGGGCTAGGAGGGACACCCCGAGATCCCCGCCTGACAGCTCCCCGCCCCCATCCCCACTCCCACCCGATCCAGGCTGGCAGCGACTCGCGGCAGCCGGTTAGTGAAGCGTGAATACCTGAAGGTGAATGTGGTGAAGACCTGGTAAGGCCCAGAAAACGGACCTGGGGCTGGTGTGGGTTAGGGGGTGGATTAAGGGAGCAAGGCTTTGGGGCTGGTTCTCCGCGCAGGCTTGGCGGTGATCGGGGCACATTGTTCTCCTAGTGAGGAAATCCTCAGTTACGTGCTGGTACAAGTGGAACCCCCCCAGCCCGGCCTGCCGCGCCCCCGCTTCTCTCTCTATCTCTCAGCCCAGCTCCAGATCGGTGTGATCCGGGTCTACTCACAACAATGCCAGTATCTTGTAGGTAAGACTGAGAAGGCTCTGAGAGGTGGAGCAGAGCTGAGTGGCCCTCGGCTAGGCTGGCTCTCTCCATTTTGCGCTCCCTGCCCACAGAGGACATTCAGCACATCTTGGAGCGCCTGCACCGTGCCCAGTTGCAGATCCGCATAGATATGGTGGACACTGACCTGTGAGTGTCTCCCTGGGCCTGGGACCACCCAGCCTTTGCTGGGGAGCCTCCCTGCTTGGTGTTTGCTCATCTCAGCCTCAGACCTTGACAGCCACATTCTTTCTCAGACCCAGCCTGCTGCTTCCTAACCGCCTGGACATGATAGAGATCCTGGAAGGTGCTCCAGACCCCTTTTTTGGGATGATGTCTGTGGATCCCAGACTTCCCAGCCCCTTTGATATACCTCAGGTAGGGCTCATTCCCCTGGGACACCTCAGACTGATGGGCTGACAGTACAGCAGGGAGTGCTGTTCCCATACCAGTCCAACACTGGGGTGAGGGAAGGGAGCTGCCGCAGATCCGCCCCACAAGAGTCAGTGCTGCGGGACTGTCATGGTGGATCAGTCCGAACAGACCTGCTCCACTTACTTACTCCAGGCCAGCCCAGAGGCTGCTCTTGTCCCCACTCATCTCCACACTGCTCCAAGGCCCTAATCCAGGCCCTCATTATCCCTCGGCACTAGGTTTTCCTACCCATGTCCTCCATCCATTCCTGACACCTCTGCAACTTAGACGCTGTTATTCCTCTCCTTCAAAAACACCTCCAGTGGCTCCCCACTGCGAACAGAATACTAGCATTTAGGACTCTGTGCCCTGGTCTAGAGCAAGCCATCCCCAGGCATCTCCACACATTCTCTGGGCATCTTTGGCTCCCAAACACACTAGTCTGACCCCTGGTCCCAAAGATGCCACATTTAGTTCTTTGCCTGATGAACCCATAAGGTCACTGCTTGTTCTTTACTAGTCAAATTTTACACATCCTTACAGACTTCACTCAAATGCTACCCTTTTCCATGAAGTCTCTATCGCACTCCCAGCCAGAACCAAATACTGTTCTGGATCTCAGCACATAGGGCCTTGTTTTAGCCTTTGTGTTGACACTTGCTAAGGTCATATACAAACTTGTCTCCCCACTAAACCATATGCTCCTTAAGATCAAGAATCCTTTCTTTCCCCACAACACTAAATACATGGATGCAGAGCTTCTTGCACAAATTGTCAAAGGCTACATAACTGGTGTGGGGGGGGGGGCGGTCTGTGAGGGCAGGAATGGGAGACCCAATGGCAAGTGAGTTCACTGCATGCTAATACAAGAATTAGGCATAAGGGGGTATTACTGTCCATTGTGTAAGATTACAAAGTGGGAAAGCAGGGGACTGAAGCTGAAACCTGTTTTTGTCCCCAAAGATTCGGCACCTTTTGGAGACTGTGACCCCAGAGAGAGTTCCTGAGGAGATCCCTCCTGAAGTCCCTACAGAGCCAGGGAGGCCAGGTGAGCAGAGAGGGCCTTCTTTCGGGTGAGAGGCATAGGAAGCTCTGAAGGCTGAAGAAATAACCATCTCTGAGTTGCTCTTAAGAGCCAGGCCCTGTGAGGGACACTTTATGTGTGTAACCTCATCACTGCCTTCCAAGAGTTCTGAAAGATCAGAACTCCCATCCCCATCTTACAGAGGAGAAAAGTGAAGTCCATAGTGATTAAGCAGCATATCCAGGGTCAAATGGCCAGTGACTGGCCTGGACCTGACTGGAACCCAGACTGACTTGACTCCAGAATCCATGCTTTTGCTTCAAGTGGGTGTGTGGGAACTTGGAAAGAGATGGAGGAGCTGTTGTGACTTCCCTGCTCCTTCAGACAGGATCCCGGTCACCGTGCTGCCTCCAGAGGCCATCACGCTCCAGGAGGCAGAGCCCATACATATGCTGCCAATTGAAGTGAGTTGTCCCCCTGCACACAGAGACTGAGGCCCGAGTCCTGCTGCTGACAGCCCAAGTCCCCCTTGCATCTACTTCTCTGCCTTCTCAGTCTCCATTTCCCCTCTCCCTGCCTCTGGCACTTGACCTCCCACTGGGCTTCCTTGGCCTGGCCCTGTGGCATGCCTCTCAGACTCATTCTCCTGGATCCACTTCCTTTTTTCAGAAATGGAATGAGTCCCCTCTCCTTTTCCTTCCTCTTAAAACAGGGTGAACCAGACCTCCCAGAGATTAGCCGTCGAGACCTGGATCTGCTCATTGCTGAGCCAGATGAAGCTATCTTGTTGGAGGAACAAGGCAGGCCTGTCTGGCAGTGTGGGGCCTGCCTGGCACTGGACAGTCAGGCCCTGGGCATGGGCAGTCTGGGCTTGGGTCGCGCTCCATCCCTTTTCTTCTGTGTGCTGAATGCTGATCCTCTCTGCAGTGTCCAGGGAGGAGCCCCGAGCCCCAGAAGTGGAAGTTGCAGTTCCCTCACTGTCACCTCCAGCTCTTCCACTGTAAGGGCAGGAACCCCTGGGTCAGGTAGGGGGTTGGTGCTGGGAGGAGTGTTCTCATCTTTCACCCATTTTCCCTCAGGGTGGAAGTAGCAGAGCCACTTCCAGTCCCGGTCCTGGCCCCAGAGGAGGTGAAACCAGCAGTCTGGGAGCCTGAGGTCCCACTTGCTGGTGAGTAGCCACCATGACTGGATCCTTCCTGGGGGCATCTGCACAGCTGCTGCAGACAAGGGCCCTGTATTCCCACTTGATAAAGGCTGGACCCTCTGGCATCTTGCCTGGGTGGCTCTGAGGGTGGAGAGTTGGGGCAGAGGCAGGACCTAGTGTGTTATTGCAGAGGTGACACCCCCGCTCCTGGAGGAGCTGCGTCTTCCAGCCCCACCCAGCCCAGAGGTGAGTAGTAGCCCTTCCAAGTCTTCTCTTTACCCTCCTCACCCATATTAAGCTTCCCCAAGCCCCAGGCCACTGCTAGCCTACACAAGCCTTCATGCAAATTAGTAAAAGGTGGCCCTACCCATCCACCATTTAACCAGCTGCACTTCCAGATGAGTATGCCCCTGCAGGGTAGGAGCTGCATGTGCTTCTGGAGCCCTTGCCCTTTCCTCTGTGGCAACAATGCAGGGCCTGTTTGCAGTCCGTCAGGATGTCAGAAAAAGGAGTAATAGGTAGCCTTGCCCCGACCTCCCCTCCCTGTTCAGCAGAGGAGGCCCCCATCCTTCCCACCTGTTCGCCGTCGTGGTCGCCGCCGCCAGTTACTGTTCTGGGACAAGGAGACTCAGATCTCCCGGGAGGATTTCCAGAAACAACTGCAAACCAGAGCTCACTGCTGGGAATGTGTAAGTGCAGCCCAAACTTTGCAGGGAGACAGGGAGAGCCTAAAGCAGGTACACGCTAGGCCTTGTAAACTCCTGTGGAGGCACTGGGAACACCCCCTAAGTACGTGCCCTGGGGGTCTGCACATACTTAACTCTCCATACTCCTTCAGTGACCCTGCCCAGCACATCTACCAGCACCAGTTACAAGTCCTACTTTTAGCAATGAGCACAGCAGGCAGGGGCATGTGCCTGGAAGGGTTGGAAGGCCACAGGCCCTGGAACAAGGCCTTGCAGAGGTGATGGGGCAGTGCAGTGACTCCCTTTTAACTGGGCTCTGCCTTCCCTCCCATGCAGCCAATGGTGCAGCCCCCGGAGAGGACCATCAGAAGCCCCATGGAGCTGTTCCAAGCCCCAACTTACCGTAAGAAGAGTGGTGGGAGTTGGTATGTGGGATCCTCTAACCTGATATTCCTCACTCTTGGTATTCCTCATGCCTCAAACCCTGTCCCTGCTGCCACCTTGTCCCCACTCAGCTGGCTGGCTACCCCCAGAACTGATGGAGCTCTGGACCCACTGTGCTCAGCCACCCCCAAGAGCACTTAGGCGAATGCCACCCCTGGAGCCTGAAGAGGAGGCTAAGAGGGAGGCAGCAGCTGAGGAGGAAAGGAGAAGGATGGAAATTCCGAGTGATATCGAGGTAACTGCAGCCCCACTCCTTCCCGAAGGACCTATTTCCCTCGAGCTCCAGCAGTCTGTCTTCTGCCCGTGCGAGCCAATGGCATCAGGTCCTGCCTGACAGCTTAGGCAGGTTCAGGTGGTGACCATTGCACTCCTGCCCCAAGTGCTTCTGCGATGTTGACGCCATCGTTCTCTTTCACTCCCAGGTCCTGAGGGAGGCCCAGGAGCCCAGTGGGCCCCTTATGCTGTCCTCAGGTAAGCCCCCGAGGAAGGGTCAATGAAGACCACCACCCTAACCACTGTCCCAGGAAACTGGTACCCCAACTGTTGACAGCTTGTCAGAAGGAGTGTTTAACACAGAAAGCACACATCAATTCTCTTCAGTTCTCCTTCCTGGCTGCTTGTAACAAATCAATGCCCAGCTCTGGCATCCAGTCTGAATAGGTCCCAACTGCTGAGATCCAAGCAGATTGGATCAGGACCTCCCCCTCCCCCAACAGAGCTCTCCATAGAAGCAGCTGAGGAAGAGAAGACCCAGATCAGCCTCATTCCCCCGGAAGAGCGGTGGTAAGCAGCTAGCCTGGGTAAGCTCAGGCCGCAGTCCTGGCCAGGTAGGGCAGTGGCTAGGATGGGTATGTCCCTGGTCATCATCACAGCTGCCACTTCCCTTCCCTATCTGCCTCCCATGTTCCCCCAGGGCCTGGGCTGAGGTGGAGCAGCCAGAGCCCCCTGCACTGCCTGTGGTGCCCGAACTCCCTGAGGTGCCCATGGAGATGCCTTTGGAACGGCCTCTAGAGCCTGAGCTGCTTTCGCTCGAGGCTGTGCGCAGGTACCAAGGAGGGGGTGCCTCAACTAGGCAGGCCCAGCATGGGGCCTTAGCTAATGGTTCTTGACCCCTACAGGGCAGTGGCACTGGAGCTGCAGGCCAACAGGGAGCCAGATTTCAGCAGCTTGGTGCCACCTCTTAGCCCTCGCAGGATGGCTGCCCGAGTCTTCTATTTGCTCTTGGGTGAGTGCAGGCACGTGTAGGGGGACACACAGACCAGAGGTCACTGTAGGGACTCCCCCTGACCAACCGGCTCTTCCTGTCTTGACAGTGTTGGCAGCCCAGCAGATCCTATGTATGGAACAAGAGAAGCCATACGGACGCCTTTTGATCCAGCCAGGGCCCCGATTCCACTCTGGTTAGATCCAGTGTAAGAGCTGCCAAGAAACCAGCTACCTTAAACCACCTCCTGCCTTACTAGGCCCTGCCTGCCTCCTTTCCGGACATGAAGCTCTATCTCTGCTCTCAGAGCTACTGTTTAAAGCAGAAAATGAACCGCCTTTATTACAGTATGTTGTCATGACTCCATTTGTATTGTCCCATAGCATAGCAGATCCAGCCCCAGGGACAGCAGCCCCACAAGGCAGCAAACAGATCTGGGTCTCCAGAATCTTTGGTAAGGCATGAGGAGGAACTGGGCTGAGTGGTGGTCTTGGGGCCTGGTCAGGCTGTTTTCTCTGGCCCGGCTGCAGCCCACAGTCTAGGTGAGGCCCAGAATTGCCTGGAGCTCCTGAGCTTTGTCTCCGGGCAGTGAGCCCAGTGCCGAATGGAAGCTATCGGTGTGCTGTTTGGCTAAGAATGTCAGGAGCAGCAGCAGTGAGGCCTTGGTATCTGGGTGGGGTGAGGAGAGAGAGAGATCCAGAAAGGACTGGCCCCCAAACTCTAGTTGCCCCAGGCCCTCTAAGTTACACTGCTCCTTGCCTCCCCCTGCCCAGCCCACGACAGCCACCCTTACCTGGTGGGATCTTGTCGTCAGCCTGAATGAGGCTGCAGATGCGCAGGAGCTCAGGAGCTACATCTACCACCTGTGGGAAAAGATGGGCTGACTCGGGCAGCAGCAGCCCTGAGCCCTTTAGAACTGGGGGGTAGTAGGGGCTAAGGAGAGGCAGAGTCTCTCACTAGGGCTGTTATAGCCTGATACTAATTCACAAGAATCTAAGATAATTGTGAAACATGAGAAGGACCCCTGAAACACCGTGATGATAATTTTTGGGGCATAGTGGGAGAGGACAGGGGATTGTGACCAAAGATGATTGAAGCCATGACCTCAAGATCAAAATCCCAGACACCCAGGAGCACCACCATAAAAGTGCATAACAAAGGTGAAAGACACAGGAATACGGGGATATCAGTCCAAACCTACCCACTTGGTGCAGTCAAATCCAAGACAAAGACTGTTTTGATTTGTCAGTAGATGGTAGATGAGGTGGCCACACCTGTACCCAGGCTCCATGAAGCACAGCCTGAAAGAGCCCTGGTCTAGGATACCAGCTTAGGGAAGGTGGGACTTCTGGTTCAGACTGGGGGATGCACATGGCCAGAGAGGATGGAGGCCCCTTGCAGAAAAATGCTATGTGATAAGAGAAAGCCCTTTTTCTCACATGATAGGCCTGGCTGCCAATCCTTGCAGACCAATAATGAAAGCAGAGTATGGAGTTATCAAAGGACGGCTTAAACCATCACTCTGCATCAGCTACAACTGATGCCAACTCTGTCTCTGAGAACAGAGCATTAATCTCCCCTGAGGGCTCCAGCATGGAGGTTACCTGGTCAGGGGTGCTCTGGTACAGGAAGCCGAAGAGGTGCCCTACAGTGACCCACTCCTCCAGGTCCTCCTTCAGTGGCAGGGCGTGCAGCAGGGCAGCCAGCACCTGGACACACAGATGGCTCTGGTCTCCTGCCCTGTTCTCTCCTTAGCTTCCAAGCACTGTCCCATACCCCCATCCCTCACCTGGGGTTCTGGTTTCCTCGTGGGACTGGCCATCAGTAGGCGAGCAAGTGCCCCACAGATGTTGTCATGGACACGGTCATGGCGCTCCCGTGCCAGCAGGGGCAGCAGGAGCCCCACCAGCTTGGAAAAGTGTCTGGTCCACAGTTAAGGAAAAGGCACTCTCCCATCCCTGAGCCCAGGGACACTCTCCCAATCCTACCCCAGCCACTCTTGCAAGCCGAGGATACTCCTGGGCAGGGCGACCCCCATGCTCGGCCAGCACGCCCAGCCCGAAGATGGCATTGCTCCGCACTTCGGGGTCTGCCTCCCGGGTGGCACTCAGCAGCACGGGGAGCAGACGGGACACAAACTGGGCTGAAGCAGCACCCAGGCCCTGAATGCACTCTGCTAGTGTACCCACTGCAAAAGACTTCTCTGCCACTGTACAGCCCTGTTTCTGGAATGGAGAGGAGTGCAAGTCAGCCTGGGACTGGAACAGAGTGGGGGGTTGGGGTTTGGGCGGAATGGGATTTGAAGCCAAATGAGTACTCACTGTCTTGCACAGCAGTAATGGCAAGAACCCAGCGAAGAAGGGGGCGAAAGCATCTCCCCCAGCTGCGGCTGCCAGGGCAGGAATGGCCTCACCGGCATACTCCAATAGCATGGCGTCGTATTCAGCCTGTGGGGCCAGGTCAGGGGCTGGAGCACCAGTACCAGCTGTGACTGTGGCACCTCCCAACATGCTCCTCCACTGCCAAAGGTTCCCGTGAGGGCTGCCCTTGAGAGGACTGGCACCTCTCAGGCTGGGCTTGTCTGTAGCCAAGCTTTTTCTCCTGGCCCTCCTACTCCCACCTACCAACCCAAGCCCATCCTGAATCCCTGCCTTCAGGAAGCCTTCCCTGAACCCTCTCTGCCCGAGCAGGAGCAGGGCTGTATCATTTAAAGCCATTACCAGTCTTTTAGCAGCCCTGGCTTGCCTAGGCCAAGCCCAAGTGCACTGTCCACCCTGCCCTGTGAAGACTGCCAGAAACACTGCCTGGTCCCGGAGTTTGCATCCACACTCTCACCTGGTCCTCGTCCTCCTCCTCCTCTTCAGTATCCTGACAGGCTGTCTGCAGGAAGAGGTAGCTCAGCTCAGCCTGGGCTCTCCTGCCCCTTCTCCTCTCCATGGGATGGGGGTATGTAGGAGCTGGATTTGTAGCATCTGACCATCCCCACCTGGGGCCTGCAGCCCACCTGCCCTGCTCACCTTCCTCTGCAGCACAGCCTTGAGCATGTTGCAGAGCTCAGCCAGGCGCCCAGGGGGCTGCAGTATGAGGGTCCCACAGCTGCGCAGCACCCCTGTCAGGGCCTCCAGGACAGCCATCACCACTTGGCGCTCCCGCTCCCTGTACACTGCCTGCATGTAGGATGGCACCACCTGGGCCAGGGTGGCCTGCAGAGCTGGGGACATGATTGGCTGATGTCCTGGTCAGGCCCTACCCCTCTCCCATGCACTCCCTGGCCCCAGAGAAGCCCGCCCCGCCCCAGTGCCCTTCTCACCAGCAGTGCTGGGTTCTGAGGGGCAGCTCTGACAGGCTTTGTGCAGTGCACAGCAGAACTGACCCAGGGCCTCGTGGGCTGCCTTGCGCACATTCAGGTGAGGGCACTGCAGGATGAAGAGGGGTGGAATGTGCCTCCTCTGTGCAGGGTGAACACAGGGCCCCTGACCCTTGAACCTCACCAACTCCACCCACCCACCACTCACCTCCAGAAGTTTGAATACTTCTTCAAAGACACTCTCCATGTAGGGAAGGAAGGCCACGCTGTGAACAGACACGAGGCCATGGGGAAGAGGCTTCCAGGAAGGTTCCCAATGCCAGGTAGGGAAGGGCCGATGCTCACCTGGAGTTCACAGAGATCTCCCCCAGGGCAGCGCAGGTGTCTTCCTTCTCGTCGAAAAAGGCATTCTCCACACTGTACCTGGAGTGAGGCGGGGGTAGCTGCAATCAGGTGCCAGCGAGAGCAAGTCTGGCACTGGGCCTTTGTCCACAACTTAGGGTCCCTCTGACCATGCCTATGATGGCACCCCTCCGCACCCTGAGATCTCTGAGTCATCCTCCTCTTCCTCATCCTCATCCATGAGCTCTTCCTCTTCCTCCCCATCACTCTCGTCATCAAACAGAAGGAAAGAGCTACTGCCGTCGTACTGAGGCTGGACAGTGGAGGCAGAGTACAGACTCTGGCTCAGCTGTGATCAGAGGATAAATCCCACGCCAGGGCTGGTCTTCCCCACTGCCCAGCCCACCTCCTCTCCGCTCACCACAATGCCCTCAGTGGAGCGCAGTGACAACAGCATGAATGTGGTGATTTGTGGCAGGTAAGGTGCCAGGGCCTCACCCATCAGCCCCGATAAGGCTGCAAACAGGCTGTACCTGGAGGGGGCAGGGAGAAGCTGTAGAGTTCTGCCTATGATAGGCAGACAGGATGGGGGAGCTGGGGGAAACCTATGGTCCAGAACCAGATGACCGAAGGCTGGAGTGGGGAGAAGTGGGGGCTCACTCACGTGCAGCGTCGCAAGTCAGGGTCGTCTACCTGGTCGCACAGGCCCAGCCCCAGCCGGCAACATTCCTCAGCCAGGGGCCTCATGGGCTCCCCCACTGCTCGTGCCAGCGCCCCCAGTGTCTCTGTGGGGGCAAAGACTTGGTTAGCACTAGGAAGTGGAACTGGGCCAGAGGAATGCAGGGCCAAGACCTGGGGACCAAAGGTGGCAGCTGGAAGTAATTTGGAAATCTCACCTACTCCTAGGTACAATGGGAGTGCCTCCTTCGGTGAGAAGGGAGACACCTGCACTGCCCTGGGGACGATCTCTGTGAACACCAGGTGAGCATCAGCCCTGCCCTGGCACTGGGAACCCTGCCTGGGAGCCCCTTCCTTACCCAGGCTCTGGATCCGCACAGGTTGAAGGTCCTCATGGCCTGTCACCAGGAATTCCCGCAGGTGCTCCATGATGGTAGGAAAGTAGGGCAGCAGGGAGGCCTGGGCAGCTGTGGCTGCAGGACAGAACCAACCGTGGGTGGATGGGTACTGGGCTTTCTGGGAGACCCATGCCCCTGCCTCCTGCTTCCTTTCCTCCTGCCCCTTTCTCCTCACCAATGGCCCCCAGGGCGCTCACAGCCAGCTCTTTGGCCTGGGGACTGCTGGGATTCCTCAGAGGCTGCAGCATACACTCCATAAGCTCCGGAAGGTAGGGCTGCACTTTAGGCCCTGTGGGAAAAGGTGCCCGTCTAACCACCAACCCAGGTCTCTACATTCTAGGGGCCCACATGCCTCCAGGCTGATGCTCCTTGTGGCCCCACCACAGGCAGTGGTTCAAAGAGTTGCACATCAGCCAAAGGCTGCCCCCTTCAGCCAAAGCTACAGCTTTGTCCCCTCCCTTGCACCCTCAACTGCCTTCACTACCTAGGTTCTCCACGAAATTCTCCAGGGCATAGCAGGCTTTGGCTAGGTGGTGTGTGTGCCTGGGAGGCACTGACTTCAAGTAGGCAAGGAGCAGTGGCATCACCTCCCCTGAATAGCTGCTGATATGAGGCTGTGGGAGAGAGTGGACCTTGAGTCAGCTCTACCACAAGGGACACACCTCAGTGCCAACGGCAGCAGGGGCTCCTGAGGACATGGAGCTGGTCCTTGGAACCGGTGGCTACCCACATTCAGCCCCACTGACCTGTAGGTTCTCTGAGAACTGGCCCAGGGCAAAGAGCGCAGCATTGCGCACAACTTGTGACGGGTCCTCCAGGCCCTTGCACACAATCTGCAGTAGTGGGGTCAGCAGTCTGGATGAGGCAGGGCAAGAGAACATAGTCTGAGGGGCAGGAACTGAGAGCCCTGGGCTGGACTGTTCTCCTGTTTCCCCTGGGCTTTCTCCGTCACTGGATGATAGGTACCACCCCCTGGTCCCTACAGCTGGGACAGCCTTTCATTTACCTTTCAAATCAGAACGCTTCTGAGATTAGAGAGCAAGTACTATTAATAATTAGGCACGAACGACAAGCACAGATCAGGACTGCTGTGGCTCATGTGGTCCTCATCCCACAGTCCACCCTCCCTGCAGGACAGGAATAAACACCTCTGCCTTATGTGGTCGCTAGCTCCGTCGGACAGTACAGCCAGCACCAGGAGCCCAGCCTTGCGCTGGTAGGGGCTTGCACTCCTCAAGGCCTCTTCCAGCATGGGCATCTAGGGAAGCACAGGGCATTCTCCTGAAACCCCAGCACAAGCCCGCCCACTCTTGTGGCAACAGGCCCTCCACACTCACCAGGGCCCATATAGCCTCTGCTCAGGGGACTAGGCAAACCTGGGGGTAGGGCCAACCGGCACCAGAAGGACGGGGATACTTACTAGTGGGGTAAAAAGCTTCTCAGGGGGCAAATGTAGTGCCAGCATGTCTACAACCTGAAAAATGACAGGGAAACTTTGCTGGACTCCAACTCTGCCCTCCAACCTCCTACAGCCACCTAATGCCCTGCCCCACCCTTGTCCCACATCGCACCTGTACAGCAAAGTGCTTGGGTGTCTCTCCCACCAGCCCAATCTCCAGGTCTTCCTCCTCTGAATCTTGGTCCTCTGGATCCAACTGGCCCAAGGGGGGCTCAGCAGAAATAATGGGGAAAAGGGTGTGCAGCAAGGGGGGCAGGAGACGATTCTTCAGTAAGGCCTCGAGAGGAAGGGTGGAAAGGTGTTCCTGAAAATCTGCTTCCAAGATGGACTCATATTAAAAATCCCAGCCTTTCAGGCCATAAAGGGATCTAGCAAGAGTTTTACCTCCCAGCCAGAAACCAGGGTAAGGCCAGAACAAGTCTTAAACATCTTAGTTATGGTACTTTGAATATTCCAAGATTGTCAAAAAGCCCCAGGTATGAGATAAGGGGGGGTGGGGAGGGTTGGGTGTGTCAAAGGACACTCACCTTACTCTTGACTTTGACCAAAAAAGTGAGGCAGCAGAGAATACGCACACGCACTGCATCACCCAGAGCCGTGTTTCTAGCCACCTGCCCAGAGACTAAGGTGAATCAAAAACAGGGGAGGAAAATACAGAAAAAAACAGCAGGGGCTGTGCCCACCCCAGCTCACCCCTAGGCAGAACGTGAGGATCTCAGAGAGGTGGGAGGTGATGACAGGCACCTCTGACTCCAGCAATTCATCCAGGGCCTCCATGGCCTCACAAGCCTTTGCCTGCCGGACAGACAGACAGACAAGTCACAGAGTTACTATGCTCTTATTGTGTGCATCAGGCTGGATATTCCCACACCCTCCTTCCAACAGAGCTCCTGCCCAAATGTCCTCACCTCATCTACAGAAATCAGAGTCTGCACGGCCATGATGAGCTTGGGCACCAACATCCGCGCCAGAGGCTGGATGACAAAGGATGAGTTGAATCAAGAAAGCATAATGCAGCCTGTTCTCAGGCTCCAGAAGCTGACAGCTTCCTTGAAGCCTAAATGCATAAGTCCAGCCACAGCCACCCACACTCTCCCTTCTCAACTGTTAGGAAGGACAACAGGCAGAGAAAGAATCTAAAGTAGCTCTGTATCCTGCAAGGATAAGGACCTAAAAGCCCAAGGATAGGGAGCCAGGGAAGGGGAGGGCCCACATCTCACCACATCGTCAGTGCGGAGGTAAGGGGCCATGGTGGTCAGAGTGCGCAGAGAGTAGAAGAGAAGCCCAGGAGACCCCACCTCACCAAGGGTCTCATTCAAAAGCCGAAGAAGTTCCCGGTGGTGGGGTCGGAAGGCCTCAGGCCGGGAGGTCACCACTACACTTAGCAGCAAAAGCCCCATCTGTCCAGGAGCAGGGGACAAGAGGGAAAAGCTTACATGGTCTAGCCAGCCTCTCTGTCCCTCCCTCCTACCAACCATGTAACAGTACCTCTCTCTCAGGGATGTGGGGGCTGCGGGTACTGTGCTGAAGAAGCTGCATGAGCTGAGGCCAGGCCTCCAGGCCTTCCTTCCGAAAAATAGTGGCTGAGAGCTGGGCCAGGCTAAGGCTCACAGTGTGCCTGCAAACACCAGAGATTTCCCCCCACCCCTAATCACCTTCCTTCCAATACCCTCCCCTGCACATGCTGGCCCTGCCTCCATCATGTGGTCAGAAGAGAAACTTCCAGGTGGTGGAACAGGGTCTTTGCCAAGTTGGGACACATATGATAGAGGCTCAAAGGGAAATCAATAGCATGGTGGGTGTATAATCGGGTGGGCTTGACCTCATTCAGACTGAATTTCAGTTTCATTTTTTTGGCAGAACTTCACAGCCCACTCTCAATAACTTGAGTCTTAACACAGCTTTAGAATATGCCCTGCTCTTGGTCTAAAACTTGAAGTCCCTGCCCCCAACTCCCAGCCTGGAGATGGAAGAGAAGGCAGAAATCCAGAGTGGGTATCAGACTGGAATCAGTTAGGATCCGAGAGGAGGTGCGTGGGCACTTACTCTGTCTCTCTCTGGAGGGTCGTCAGAACAAGGGACTTGATGCTGGAACACAGGTGGCAGGCGTTTGGTTCTCTGCCTGCCCCTCTCAGCCAGGCCCCGCCCCGCCCCGCCCCCGTCCCTGCCCACCTCTCCCGTTGCTCCGCTGACAGCCGTCGCCAGCGGGTGCTCAGTCGTCTGCGGGTCAGCACGGCTGCGAACTGGCGGATCTAGGGCCAGGAGGCAGGCGTATGAGGGTCCGGGCAAGAGCCGGGGCTTAACCAGTGGCGTACTGTGGGAAGCTCAGCGGGAAGGGGCAGAAGCTTCACCTGAGGATCGGCCGCGGAGGCCAACAGGTTGCAAAGCGCGGACAGGGCGGCGGGGTCCCGAAGAACGGTCTGGAGCTGCTCGGTGGCCTGGGGGGTGCCGGGAGTTAGAGTCGGGCTTTCCCCGCAACCTCCCGCTTGCCCCTGTCCGGCCTCGTCTGCCCCGTACCCGGCGGATGCGCTCGGTGTCCGGCAGCAGCAGCTCCCGCAAGATCAGTTCCAGGCCCGCGGGCTCCATGGCAGCAGCCGAGCCACCGCTACTTGGCCGGGAGGTGGGAGGGACAGCACGTGGAAGCTCTGAAATCCACTTCCGGCGGAAAGGGCGTTGCTCCGCGACCCTCCCGTTGCCAGGGTGATTCAACTCGCTTCCTGCATAGAGCTCCAGTTCCTGGACTTCCGTTGAGCTGAGCGCTGCTGAGCCGCGGAAACGGCTCCCTGGCGAGGTAGGTTCCTCCAGCTGAAAGTTCCCAGGCTCGGTGGAGAACTTGAGTACCGTTTATTTTGCAGCCGACCCAGCTCCCTAAGGGACACTGCGTGCAATGGCAGGGCTCGAGTTCCTATATCCAGACCAAACCCTCCAACTACAGGATCCTTTTTCTTAATAAATTTTATTTTGATAATTGTAAAAAGAAAAATCAGGACCAAAACTAAAGGCAACTTAAAAAGTTCAAATATATACTTCTTATATAATATTAATAATTTCCAGAACTTCCCTGGGGAAGGGAGTCCCAAAGGGCCAAGGGGAAGGCAACAATGCTGTCACACAATTCAGTCAATCAGAAGAGATGTTGGTAGGAAATGGAGCATGAAGAAAGGGAGAGAAAAACAGTAGTTTTGCCACCCAAAACTCAGTCCATTTTGAGGTTAACATAGATATAACGGATGAACTTTAGGGAAGAAAAAAAGGAGATGGTGCCCAGCATGAGGAAGAAGATATAACCAGTGAGCAAGGAGTAGCCAAAGAATTCCACTGTCTGTACGGGCCCTGACATGTTGGAGCGCCTGGCATAGTAGAAAACTGAGTAGAGGAAGATGAAGAGTCCAGTGGAGCCAACACTCAGCACAGATCGCCACCACCAGCGGTAATCCTCTCCTGACAACTGGAAGTAGGTGAGCGCAATGGAGATGCAAGCTCCCACACTCAGCAGGATGGCGAAGACAAAGAAGAGAATGCCATACAAAGTGTACTGCTCCCGACCCCACACTGTGGCAAAGATGTAATACAGCTCCACAGAGATGGCACTGTGAAGAGAAGAGACACTGCATTAAAGGGCTGTGCACTGCCAGCACCCCTCCAGTTACTGGGTCAGTGTGGTGAGTGGCCCCAGTCCACTTCCTGCCCTGGAGTTCCAGGCTTGTTGAGGTTTCTTTTGCCTATGATTAGCTGATTTCATTTTCAGAACATCTTTGATAGGTTGAGAACAGGGATCTTGTCTGATATATTTTCCATTGTATTATCTGCCTGCCACTAAGAGGTACTCAACAAATTGAACAAATAATCAAATGGGCTTTACCCCACATAGTGTTTCTATACACTCAAGTCAGAAACCAGGGAGATGGTGAAAGGAGAAATGCCTCTATAAGTGAGACCCCTCACATTTGAATTGTTTCAAGCTCAGCCCTACTTAAAGAAAGGAAGAACTGTTTAGTGATCTCTTAATGGTACGGCTGAACCAGAGGTTATCACTGACACTAGGTTAAGGTACATAGGGTGAGTGGGGAAATGGAAAGCTGAGGGCAGGAACCTGAGAGTGACGGCCATAGGATAAAGGGAAGATACCTGAAAGGTAGGAAGCCTCCAACAGTCATGTGGATGAGAGTAGACTTGTACCAGGGTTGAGGTGGGATTTCCCGGGCAATGTTCTTGGTGCGACAAGGTGCATCGAAGGGGCTAGCATTGTTCTTCCCGAAGATGCCTCCAATGACAGTGAGAGGAAAGCCCACCAGCAGCCAAACAGTCAAAAGCAGTAGGATGGTGGTGGCTGGCAGAGCCTGAGTCGAACCATTGGCCCAATGTACTGAGTTCACCACACTCCACGTCAGGAAGAAAGGCACTGCAAGGGTGGGCCCCCAGAGGGAGGAGGGTCAGCACTAGGCACTATGTCCCTGGGGCGCCCACTCAGACTGGGTCTAAAGGGGAGAGGGGTGAAAAATCCTGCTCCCAGGCAGGTGCTAGCCTTTCACATCCCACTTCTTGTTTCTTATTTTACTGATACCCCTCCCCTATCCATTAGCTTTACACCCCTGTCTGGTGTGGCTCAGTGCATTGAGCGCCGGCCTACAAACCAAAGGGTCACCAGTTCGATTCCCAGTCAGGAACACATGCCTGGGTTGCAAGCCAGGTCCCTGGATGGGAGTACACGAGAGGCAACCACGCATTGATATTTCTCTCCCTCTTCCTCCCTCCCTTCTCCCTTCTCTAAAAATAAATAAATAAAATCTTTTTGGGGGAAAAAAAGGGCAGCTTTACATACGGATCTAAGACTGACACAAATCCACCTGCCTCCAAGGGCCTGTCCTGCTGAGGCATCAATGATTCCTAGCATGAAACATTCCTTTGGATTAGGTCCTGTTTTCAGAAAACCTCAGGTGAACCTTAAATGTGATGGAATATAAATCAGACCCTTAGCTTTGGGAACATGAAATGTTTAGAATGCAACTACTACTGCCTTTGAGAGGACAAGCCAGCTTAAAGGCTAGAGTGGAGTAGCCCACCTCAAAAATAAAACTAAAAAGAAAAGGGCAAGGGGAGTATCCAAAAATAAATCCCAGAGTGTTGTTTCAGTGTAATGGTTGAGAATACGGGCTCTAGAGTCAAACTGCCTGGGTCTAAAACCTGGCTCACTACTTTTTAGGAGGATGTAATCTTGGGCAAATTACTTTAGCTATCCTGAAATTCAACTTACTCATCTGTAAAATGGGGAAAATGTTACCTACTTCATTATTGTTATTGTAAGGATTAAATTAGATGAAGGCTTGTTAAACACTTACTATGCTGCCTAGAATACTTTAAGGGCTTAATAATTTTTAACTATGCAAAATAAATGCATTCTTGTTTTTTGAATGGTTTTCTTATTGTTTCTTTTGCTGATTTTCATTCCCTTGAAGTCTCTCTCTGACTATCCCAGCTTCTATGAAGCGCCCACCATGGAAAGGCCAGTTCTCACCAGAGAAGAGACTGGTGGTAAGAATGATGTTCCACACCCAACGCTCGCCTCCAATCTGCCGGTAGAAGTGGCTGGACACGTAGCCAGAGATGCAGCAGGTCAGGGCATACAACAGGATGGCTGCCGAGTTAATGGCCCCGTGACGGTGCACATTGAACATGCCCAGCAGCGCCATGACAATAATGCCTGCAGGGTGGTAGTGGAAAATTTGTGTTAGGTCTCACCTGTTCCTCTGGCAACTTCAGAGGAATCAGCCTCCTTCTCTCAGACCCAAGGCTTCTAGCAAAACACTATCCCCCAATTCTGTTGTCCAGAAAACTCACAGTTAGAATATATGCATTCTTGCTAGAGCCAGCCCACCCTTAGGTCTGCCCCTCACCTTGGACAGATCTGCAGATCTTTTCTGAACAAATCACCTACTTACATTTAACCCTTGAGAAAAATCCCTGGTTAATTTTTATCACCTCACCAGTGCCAAGGGCCAGGAACTGGGCACCCACACCAAGCACAGCACAGAGCAGACCACGGTATGGAGGGAAACGGAAGACATCGGTATGGATGATTTTCCAGCCGTTGTCACCTTGGTCAAAGTCATCCCCAGAACCTGCAGAGGGTGTCTCCTCATCCAAGTTGTACCGAGCCAGGTCATTCCGAAGCACACGCATGAGAATGACAGCCACAAAACCCACCAGCAAAAACACAAGCACCATGGAATTGATGATGGACAACCAATGAATTTCCAGTGTTCGGGGAAAGAAACCACCATCATCACCACGGCGCCTGTCACTACGACGCTCCACTGAAGTCTCAGACCACCGCACACTGTAGGTGTGGGTGAGGCCTAGGAACTCATCAGGTCGTAACCCATCTAAACTATGAGGCTTGACATCCCGCACTGAGACGTTGGCAAATATAATTCGATCTCCATGGAATTCCAGGTGGAAGTCCAAGTGGGTCCAGAGTCCTATCTTGTGGCTGTGAGGCAGGAAGCCACTCTCCTCCATGTAGCCCACAAAGCCACGGAGTGGCAAGTCGTCCACCACGAATTCAAAATAATACAGTTCCTCGATGGCCTGGCGCAGCTGTTCCACCTACAAAGAGCAAGTCAAGAATCAGACAAGGCCTCCCTGGTCACAGAGTTAGAGCAGGGTTACTCAACTTTGGCACTGCTGACATTTGGGGCTATGTAATTTGTTGTTGGGGGCTGTCCCTTCCCTGGCTTCTTCTCACTAGAGTAGCACCCCTTAGTGGTGACAATCAAAAATATCCCCAGGCAGTGCCAAATGTCTCTTGGGAGACAAAACTGCCCCCTGTCCAGAACTATTGGGTTAGACCCCACTATGTTGGGTTTCTCAAAAAAAAGTTTGATTGACAGGGTTACAGCCTATAAAGAGGAAAGAGATAAGGTATAAGAAGGTCTAAAGTTGATTACGGAAAAGTGTCCTAATATAAGATTTGCTAGTGAAAACAGCATGACAGAAAAGATTAGGCAAAGTGTAAAGGAGCCAGTTAAGGACCAAGAGGTAAGGATGGAAGGAAATAACTACGTAGCAGTGAGTTGGGAGCTTATTACCAGCAGAGAAGCTTGGAATCAGGAGTCCCAGGCTCTTATATCAGCTCTGCAATTCTCTATCCATGTAGTCTTGAAAAAGTTACCTTTGAGCAAGTATGTTTCTTCATCAACTGAATACAAATAATGCCACCTGCCCTGCCTGCCACATGTAGTTGAAATCAAGGTAGATAATTTCCATAAAGACACTTTGAAAACCATAAATGTGATTCACTGTTATTAGTCCCTGGGAGGGAGGAGTAAGTTCTAGCCATGTGGAGAGGCTGACCTGTGCAGGACTGAGCTGCATATGGCACAGAATTCTCCTTTCCACATTTTCCCGAAAGCGAATCTCGTACAAAGACTCAGCCATTCGGTCACCATCCAGCACTTCACCCAGGCTAAGGCTTTTGTGACGTATCTTCTCAGGAGAGCAGACTGGAAGCTGATAGTAGTGGTAAGTCTCCTGAGGGTTATGGTAGGGTCCCACTTTGTTGACATACAGAATGACAGGGTCGCCGGCCTTGTAGTGTGTCACACCTTCCACCCTTGGCTCATGGCCTGTGCTCAGCAGCAGCATCAGGAATGGCAGCCACTGACAGCTCCAACTTCGAGGGTGTCCTAGGACTGTCATCCTTAAGGCAGCAGAACCTGTTTGGGGGAGTCCTGAGGTTATGGAAACCAGGGAGCAACTCATGATGCCCCAAGTCAAGCCTTTTGAACTAAGCTCGATGGCTGCACTACTTCCCCTTGACCTCTCCGACCCTCCCCCAGTCTTTCTATCCCTAAGACTGGGCTGCACCTCTGCTCTCTTGTCTTCGACCCAGGTTCCCCTCGCCCTCGGTCCATTTGTCCCGAGCCTCCCCGTGCCCCATCCCGTTGCCATGACAACTCCTTGCGGCTTCGCACCTCCCGCACCTTCCCGCCGCAGACCCAGGGTCCAAACCGCGCGGGAAGGGCTGGCGCAGGTAGCGCCAGAAGCCTCTGCAGCCCCGTAGCTGCCCTTGGGCTCCAGCTGGGGTCTCCCCCAGAGCGGCGCGCCCGCAGCAGCCTGTTGAGGACCTGATGACCGACCTCCGTGGGGTGGGCCGCCGCTGTGCCTGATTGTAAAAACTGAGGTCACGCCACGAGGGACCCCGGCACTCGGCTCAGTGAAGTGCTCGCCTATGAGCTTTGTACAGCAGGAGGCCCGGCTCAGCTCGGGATACCACACAAGGCTCAGCGAGCTTCCCCCACGGCGGGAAGCCCTCCCGGCAATCGGGAGAGCTGCCCAGGCCACGTCAGTCTTACCACTTCCGCCCTCTCCCGCTGTATCTTCTGCCCGGCGAGAAGCTTCTTCCTAGACCCTAGAGGGGACGGTGGCCGGCTGACGGCTTCCTGGGCAGGAGCGTACGGTGGAGCCGTGGCTATGGGGATGTAGGCACCTTTTCGGAAAAGAGTCGTCTCTGGGTCGTCTCTCTGTCTCTGGGAAGATTTGGGGCGGAGACCTTGAGCAGTTCCTGCAGTGCGCGCGCCTACTGACTGTCCAGGACGGGGAACCCGGGCCGTGGCAGTGCCAGTATCTAGTGGATGCCCCGAAGTGTTTGCCGGCTGCACCAATGAGGCTCGCCACGGACTGTTGAGGGCGAGACCTGAGCAGTTCATGGTCCCCAACCCGGCCTGGGGTGAGGCTCTGGGCGTCGCTGTGCTAGGACAAGGGCACAGCCCATATAGGGGTTATAGTCTGGATCCCATCTTACTCCTACGGGTCATGAATGGCTTACCGCCAGAAAATAAATCAGTAAATAAAATATATCCTTGAGGCTGTATTGGAGGCTTCCCTGGCTGTATAACGACCGTTCCATGGCCGACGATAGGCCAGCCTGGGCGAGGTCTGATGTACAGGCACACAGAAATATGGTGCCTTTCACCCTGTAAATTAGGCAGCCTGACAGGGTTATTGTTAGTTGCAGGCAAAGAATATTGCCATGCGTTTGTCTTTTTCCTGTTTTTGTTCTTATTTATGTATATATGTATTTGGACTTTCTTGATTTTGTATTGCAGATTATTCTGAAAAAGTTTACCTTTGCCTGTCTCAGCTCTATTTTAAGGGAAGCTGCCTTTAGGGCAGTTCGCCTGGAGATCAGACCCAGGGGTAGTGACTTTCCTTTGGCCACCTGGGAGCAAAATGTAAGGAAGCTGAAAGTCACAAGTGGTTTCTGGCCTGAGAAGTCCACTTAGCTATATTTGCTCTCTCTGACCCAGTCCTCTCTTAAGGAGGTGAAGTTCCAGGAAGTAGAGGGTTGAGTTTTTTAGATAATTACTTTAGTAATTTAAAAAGTAGTAGTAGCTTAGTTAGTTAGAGCATCCTACCCTACACCAAGAAGTTGCAGGTTTGATTCCCAGTCAGTGTAGATGGGAGGCAATCAATTGATGTCTCTCTCCCGCCCCCTCTAAAATCAATAAACATTCTCTGGTGAAGATCTTTTAAAATTATTTATTTACTTTTAGAGAGAGGGGAAGGGAGGGAGAAAGAGGGAGAGAAACATCAATGTGTGGTTGCTCCTCATGCACCTTCTACTGGGGACCTGGCCTGCAACTCAGGCATGTGCCCTGACTGGGAATCCAACTGGAAACCCTTTGGTTGGTAGGCCCATGCTCAATCCACTGAGCTACACCAGCCAGGGCTGAAAAAAAATTTTTTAAAGTAGCTTAGAATGGCTTTGGATGGTCTTTAAGTGACAACCACCCTGTCTCTAAAGCCAGAAACCTGGGCCTCTTTCTCAATTACTACTACCCCCAGATCAATGCCACCAAGCCCTTTCTGCTTATTTCCTGAATATCTTCCAAATGCCTGCCCTCCATGGTTGTCTTGTTCAGGTCCATCCTCCCACCTAAATTACTGTGACAGCCACTGTGCTAGTCTCTTTGTCATCTCCCCCCTTGGATCTATTCCCACACTGCTGCTGCAAGAATGAACACACATGCACACACAAGGAGTCTTTTTTCCTGCAACAATGGTTCTCAACTCTTCATGTGTATTAGATTCAGCTATCAGTTTATGAAAAACAGATACCTGGGTACTACTAAATCAGGATCTTGGGGGTGTGTGTGACTGGGCATCAGTATTTTTTTTTTAACAAGCTCTGGTTTTGATGCATACCAAAACTGGACCATGAGTACATGAGATAAAGTAAAAAAAGCTGGCATGTGAGGTCTCTCAGGCCTGGATCTTAATGATTTCTTTAGGTACATTCCCCTTCTGGAATCCTATCTTGTATTCAAATTGAAATTCTTAAAAAAATTTTTTAATTGATTTTAGAGAGAGAGGAAGGGAGAGAGAAGCATTAATTTGTTGCTCCACTTATTTATGCATTCATTGGTTGATTCTTGTATGTATCCTAATGTGAGATCAAACCTGCAACCTTGGCATATTGGGACTATACTCTAACCAACTGAATTAAATGGCTAGGCTCAAACTGAAATTCTAAATGTCACCCTGGCAGGCATGGCTCAGTTGGTTGGAGCATTATCCTATAACCTAAAGGTCACCAGTTTGATTCCCAGTCAGGGCACATGCCCAGCTTGCTGGTCCCATCCCTAGTTGGGCTGCATGCTGGAGGCAGCTAGTGTTTCTCACAGTGATGATCCTCTCCCTTTCCCTCTCTCTGGAATGAGAGTAAGATAAACCTTTAAAAAAATTCTGAATGTGTTCTCTCAAGCCTGCAAGCCTCATGTAGTTCCCTTTGCTTAGACTGCCCTATCTACAGTTCCCACTTACCTGCCTGGAGACCTCTTTTGAAGAGTGCAAGTTCCACCTCCTCTGAAAAGCCTTCCCTTACATCTTTCCAGGCTTTATAGCACTTCATCTCACTACTGTTATTTTATTTTTTATGTGTCAGTCTCCCTTGTTAATTGCTAACTCCTTACATTAATTTATCCATCTTGGTGTCCTCAGGGCCTAGCAATGCTTTCGTACATAGTAAGCAGTCTAACACACATTACTTGAAAGAACTGGTTTACTTCCCCCCTTGCCTCGTACTCCCCCCGCCACCCCTGTATGTGATGGGAACAGAGGTGCCACCAAGCTACCTATCCAGGGGCCAGCTGTGAAGCAGAAGATGGGCAGGGCTGGGTGGGCCTCCTTAACACAGTGTGCCCTGGACAACTGCTCATCTTGAGAGATTAAGGGTGTAGATCTGCCTCCAACAGGACTTGGAGCTGTCCTGCCAGCTGGGTCAGGCTGTCAATAAACAGGAATTTACCAGTAGCCTATGGCATGATCTGTTGTTGGAGTTTTCATTTTATTTTGGAGGATGGACAATATAAGACATCTGATTCTTCCTTTGTTTTTTCCTCTGCATGCCCCCTCCCATCCACCCCCCCATTCTTAAATCCAGACACCCCTTCTATGACCACAACCTCTTGTTCTGTCATTCCCACCAAATTTGGTCTTGCATTTCACTGAGACCTACAACCCCTCCCCCGGCCCCTTTGGTTTTTTTTTTTTTCACCTTTTTTTAACCCATTCAGCTTAGATTCTGCATTCCATCATTTCAGCCACATTCTTGCCTGTGTCCTTGAAGACTCCATTCCTTCATTGCAGCTGCCAAGTGAAACCTTAATCTTGCATTATTCATCTATCAATGTGCAAGCACCTATATCCAGGATGCTAAAAGGATCTTAACACTGATGTGTTAAGATCATGTGTCTGTAAATTGTGTTCTCTAACCTCAGTTGGGTCCTCAGTGCTGCCCAGTGATCCTGCTCATTTTCCAAAATCAGCTCTCTTCTACTCTCCATAACCCATTTTCAAACTCCTCACTTCATCTCCTTGTCAGCTGACCTCCCTCACAACTTAATAGGGATGCAACAAGAAAAGCAATTATAGTCACTACGGTAGGTGTTGTGACAGAGGAAGTATTGGGGTAGGAGCATCTAGGAGGCAGGCACATCTAATTTGGGCTTGAGCAAGCTTCCTTAAAACAGTTCATCAGTTAAGTCCTGAAGGGAGAGCAGGAGTTTGCCAGACAGAGGGAACAATAAAGGAAAAGCAATTCTGTTTGGTTGGAGCATTGCATATATGTTAGAAGGAAAAACTGGAGAGGTAAGCAGGGTCAAGTCTTGAAGACACAAAAGTATTTGGACTTGATCCTGAGATTAATGGAGCATGTTAAATTGTTTTAAATGGGAATAAAATCAGATTTATGGCTTGGACTTAAGGATGAAGTACAGAGTTTAGGGTCATGGAAGGAAAGGTAAGAGTGCATTTCACCAGCCTGTCTGGGTAGCTAAGTTGGTCAGAGCATCGTCCCAATATGCCAAGGATGTGGGTTTGATCCCTGGTCAGGGCACAAATGAGAATCAACCAATGAAAGCATAAATAAGTGGAACAACAAATCAATGTTTCTCTCTTCCTTAAAAAACCCACTGAATAAAAATTTTTAAAAAGAATGTATTTCAAGGTTAAGAGGTGGAGTCTACGTCTACACCCCTTCAGTACATGATCTTTGTAACCTTGTAATTGTCTTTATATAAAAGTATGGAAGTGATACTTTGTGACTTTGGAACCTGGCTTCAATTGAAAATGCAACTTGTGACTTTTTTTCCTCTTGAAATTCAGTGCCACTATGTGAGGGAACTGAGGCCAGTCAGCTGGTTAGTGAGACCATATGCAGCAGAAATAAACCATCCCAGCTGAGATGAGACCACCTGATGAACCATTCAACTGAGTCTAGCTCAATTTGCCAAAAAGTTATTCTAAGCCAAAAAAGAAAAAAGTATGAATTTTAAAGTTAGACTCCTCAGAACATGCTTTTACAATACCTTGTGATTCTCTTTATTCTCACACTCATGTGTTTCTCATGCTGGATTATAAAATCTAGGGGCACAGGGTCTACTGGCCTTATTACTTATCCCAGTATTCATCACACTGCCTGACACATAGTAGGTACTCAATAAACAGGAATGGTTGTAGGGACCAGATCTATGGACGGATTCTCACCAGACTGCAAAAGGTGCCTCCAGGAATGACTGTTCCAAACTCACTTCATTCTCAAGCCTTGTGGCCAATGGTGGACAGAAGGTGAATTGTGATGCGTGCGGAACATGGGGCCTTGGGAATTCCGTAACCAAGAGGAGAAAGATGTAACAACAGCTACTGGAGACAAAGAATTGCTTCTCCCTTTTCTCTCCTCCAAGTTCCTAGTGAAGAGCAGAACCCATCATCCCAGACTCGTGTGACTACACAGGCAAGCATTTGGAGACTAACTTCACTTTGGTACCCTGGCCCTCAGTGACTCAAGGTGTTGGCTTTCTGAGTAGACAGGAGGCTTTTAAGTAGCAAAGCTCCCTGCTGTCAGCAAGCCCAGCACCATGGGGAAGGGAGACACCCAGGAGGCAGCTCCACCCACCTCAGCCCACCGCTCTGTCATGGAGGAGTATGGTTATGAGGTGGGTAAGGCCGTTGGCAATGGCTCCTATGGGACAGTATATGAGGCTTACTACACAAAGCAGAAGGTCATGGTGGCTGTCAAGATCATCTCAAAGAAGAAGGCCTCTGAAGACTATCTGAACAAGTTCCTGCCCCGTGAGATACAGGTTGGAAAGGGGACTGGAAGAGGGAACTGGTACCAAGCTGCTTAAAGGCTTCTTACAAGGGGTATGGTTAGGAGGGGGGAAGGCCAGAAACCCCCAAACCAGAACTGAATGCCTCAGTAAGCAGCTAGGAAAATTATTTTATATAAATCCAACCTCTTTCCACCCACCCATTCACCTCCAGCCCCTCAAAAAGTGAAAGGGCAAAGTACAGGGTGTGCCCACAGGCCACCAGCTCTCTAGGGTTTGCTCCTGTTGCAAAGTTCTGTGAACGCAGCACTAGGAGAGTAGGAGGGCTGGGAGCACAGCCAGGGTTCTCCCTTCTCAGGTTTGATGGGTCACTGTTCCGGGGCCAGGTAATGAAAGTCCTGCGGCACAAGTACCTCATCAACTTCTATCAGGCCATCGAGACCACATCCCGGGTGTACATAATTCTGGAGCTGGCTCAGGGTGGCGATGTCCTTGAATGGATCCAGCGCTACGGGGCCTGCTCTGAGCCCCTTGCTGGCAAGTGGTTCTCCCAGATGACTCTGGGCATCGCCTACCTGCACAGCAAGGGCATCGTGCACCGGTGAGTATGCTGCCACCCAGACCCCAGTCTGGGCTTTCTAGGGGGTTTTGTGCATGTCTCTATGTCCTGCCCTGCTTTTTCCTCCTTTGACCTCCCTGCTCAGTGTCCAGGCCCACTCACCCACTCTATTTTAGTCACCTGGTCAAGAACATTTAAGTGCCCGCTCTGAGCAGAGCCCTTTACAAAATAATGAACTCCCAGGCCTCCTCAGTTACCATTGTGTCTCTTTTTTGGTCTCTGTTCACAAGCCCATGGTTTTCCTTCCTCTCTGCCTTGGGTCTTCATAATGGCATTTCTCCCATTATGCCTTTCCTCATCTCTAGCCTCTGGCTCTTCAGCTCTGGGTCTAATACTAAGCCCTCTCCCTGACCCCCAGCCTTTCTGCTGCTGGTAGGGACTTAAAGTTGGAGAACCTATTGCTGGACAAGCGGGAGAATGTGAAGATATCGGACTTTGGTTTCGCCAAGATGGTGCCTTCTAACCAGGCTGTGCGTACTAGCCCTTCTTACGGACAAATGAACTGCTTTAACCACCTCAGCCAGACCTACTGTGGCAGCTTTGCTTATGCGTGCCCAGAGATCTTGTTAGGCTTGCCTTACAACCCTTTTCTGTCTGACACCTGGAGCATGGGCGTCATCCTCTACACTCTAGTGGTTGCCCGTCTGCCTTTTGATGACACCAATCTCAAGAAGCTGCTGAAAGAAACTCAGAAGGAGGTCACTTTTCCAGCTAACTTGTCCATCTCCCAGGAGTGCAAGGTGCTGGCTCCCCCAGTAGGACTGAGGCTTCAGGGATGACCCATAGGGAGGGAACCCAGTCTAGGCCTCCCAACTCTGGAGAAGGCTCTTCCTTACCAGAGCCAGCTCACACTCTGGCCCCTGCCCTAGAATAGTGGGAAGGGCTTAAAGGACCAATCACTGGGCCCCACACTTTAGATATGAGTGGTGAGCAGGATTCAACTTCTATCTTTTAGGCCAGAGGGGATTAGGCAAGGCTCTTCCTTCTCTTCCCCTCCAGAGAGTTAAAAGCCTGGCTCTTTAGGATAAAATGGAAGCCACACCCCCTTCTGTCAGAGTGGTGTGATGGGCTATCCTGCTTCTTTCTTAGGTCCCCTGCTCATTGCCTGTGTGGCACAATGGGAGGCTCAGCCAAGACCTCTCTCTCCCCTGCCTTAGAACCTGGTCCTCCAGATACTACGCCAAGCCACCAAGCGTGCCACCATCCTGGACATCATCAAGGATCCCTGGGTGCTCAAGTTCCAGCCTGAGCAACCCACCCATGAGATCAGGCTGCTTGAGGCCATGTGCAAGTCGCCTAGCGTGGCAAACCGTCACCAATCCATGGAAATCAGTATCTGAAAGTGGCTGAGAGGCAGGGGGTTGAGAGAAGAGCAAAGCAGGAGGCGTCGGGCTAAAAATCTTTTATACCAAAAATAAATCTAAGTCTGATTTAGTTTCATGAGCCGGGGTCAAAGACATTCTTTCCTGAAAGGAACCTGAGCAGGTAGATTTCTGCCCAGAGCCTGTAACCAGTGATCTCGACAGCTGTTGAGTCCACAGTGTCCCTCAGTGTAGCTCACACGTGGCTCATGGGAGAGGGAGTGCTCAGATGAACACCTGCTCTAAGGAGCTTCATTATTCTGGCTAAGTACATGTTCATTGTTTTACAACTCTTTGCACTTTAAATGTTCAAGCCATAGGGTAGAGGACCTGGTTGTTTGTTCTTTAAGAAAAGGGTATCAGGCTATGTGAAATATCTTGGTTCCTTTTTCCTCCTCTAAATTTACTATTGAAACAATCCTAGGGAATCGCAGTATCTCATTGCTCCTAGACAGAGAAATGACAGTTCAAACCAAGTCTACTAACTATGGGTTCCAGCTAAGGAAAGTTACTTGCCCCCTTTATCCCTGTATTCTCCCTCCCTGTCCTTGAAAATGGGCTTTGCAAAGAGAAAATGGGCAATAAATCATGAGGCTGTCTTGGCAAAGGCTGACGGGGGGGAAGTGATGAGGGAAGATGCAGAGACAGCTCCACTTCTAGGATAAACAGACTGCAGTTGCCTCAGCCTCAGCACTAGGCAACTCTAGGACAAATCAACTTGAAAGATGAACCTAGAAGGTAAGATATTAGAAACATTTGTTCTGTGTTCCAATGCCCCTTCGTTAGTCCTGTTATTATTCATGGCCTGAAAAAAGGCTCCAAGGACCAGGGGAAGAGTTTCAGGTATAGACAAGGCAGTATAAATACCAGCGTTCAATCTGCTCAATTTTATTGAGGACAAGAGCACTGTAATTGCTAGCAGAAAGAAGGGAGCTCGGAGGCTCCTCCTGCACCAAGGTCCTTTACAGTTGAGCCAGAGATGGGAGGGTAACAAACCCTTTCTCAAGCAAGGCTATACCACCACTCTCAGCAGGGCCTCCCAAAAAGGCTATATTCCTTTAGCTTAGCGCTTGGTACTTAAGGAAAAGAGACCAACGAAGGCAGCATCAGGAAGATATGCCCAGACTCATCAGGATACACAGTCAGCCAACTGCTTTAGTGCTTCTTCATCTTCATCCGCTTTAGAAGCTTTGGGGCAAGGATACCCAGAGAAAGATGTGTTAAGGCCCCAGCACCTTCCAACCATCCCTGCAACAACACTCAGAACCTGCTGAATTTTCTCTCCCCAACAAAGAACCCAAAGGTGTGGCCCTTCTGCTTGTTGAGCTGCTGCTAATCCCATGTCTTTGTGCAACTTAAAAAACAAAAAGGTGCCTGTTTTTCCCAGCATCTGAAACCCTAAACCAGGGCACACAGCTTGCTGAGTGGAGCACAGGCTGGATTTCAGTCCCCACTCCCCTTTAGCCAGGTACTCTTACGCAGTCAGTAACCTGTGAAACCTTTCTGCCTGGTTCCTTTGAGGAACCAGGGGATGAGGAATGATCTCTCCTCATATCTGTCCCATCCTCTCAAGTCCTTAAGATATGAGAACAGCTCTGAATACCTGGCAGTGCAGGCAGATGTGCAGAGGGTACATTGGGCAGATGGACTTGGGGTTCTTCCTCCTTGTCGCCCACATGTAACAACTCCCGGGCCAATTCTTCCTGCTCCAGCTCCTCTAGCTCCTCCAACAGCTCATCCTGGATAGGGGATGACAAGACTGTTCAAGACAAAGAAAGGAAACTTCTGCTCTTAAAAACATACCGCTGTTGGAGTTCCTCCTAAAAATTGCCCCACGAGTCTCCTGGACATTGGTTTTGGCTGGTCCCATGCTTTCTCCAAGACTTCTTGACCAATCACCTCATCCACATCATCTCCAAAGCCCACAGGCCGAGAAATGGCATCCGAGATATGCTGGGCCACCTCCTGCTGTTCTGTGATGTCAGCCATCAGTTCATCCACCTTGTCGATGTCCCTGAGGAAAACATATATAGCCAAGACATCAGGCAACTACCCCCGATTTTCTTGTCTCACATGAATGAAGGGTCTGCCGGTGGCTTTGGACTGATAAATCCATGGCCACCAGATGGAAGATCCCTGGAAAATTGTAACTAGGCAAGTATGGGCTGAGAAATGGCAAGATTCCACACTGGGCAGGGAGTGGGACAGATTGCACTCCGTTCTCTGAAGGGTCTTTACAGATTAGGAAAATCATCTTTCTTTGCTAGAATGCCCCAGCCAGAAAAGAGATATTCTTTCAGAAAGCAAGGAGGCTGAAATGTTGCCACCACAGGTACCTGTACTGTAAATTCACATTGAGAGGTTTTAAGATCCAAAGTACAATACCAAGCTAATAACCCCAGTACTTGGGCCCCCTCTGCCCCTTCCCCCATACCCACATGTCCTGGTAGGCTTTCTTCATGCCACGGGCAGCAAGCTCCATGGTGCGAAGCACTTCTGCGTTGGTGGTGGCATTCTCAATGGCCTCACGCTGAAACTCCAGGGTAGACAATGTCCCATCGGTTTGCGCCAGCTGCTTCTCCAACCTCTTCTTCCTCCTCAAAGCCTGTAGGGCAGCTGACCCAGGCCATACCTTGAACATCAGAGTCAGAAGTCCCTGCTTGGTACCTGGCTCCTCCCTGTTGGTACCTTTCCCCTATTACCTCTCTTGTTCTTGGTCCCATGCTTCTTGGCTGTTTGTAGCTCCTGTTGAATCTTCTGCTCCAGAAACTCCTGTTTCTTGATCAGTATCTTCTCTGTCTCCTTCAGTTTCTGTATTGCCTCTTCAGGGGTTGGTTCCTTCTCCTTCTTCCCTGGAGTCCAATGGACAATGCCCATATTGTGTGAAGAAAAGAAATTAACCACCAATCATGGAGTGCATGCATACTATGTGCTAAGCATTTGACGGTGTTATTCTAGTTCCAAAATGACTCTCTGCAATGAATGTATTATCTTTACAAATGTGAAACTAGGCATGAAGATACTAACATTTTTTGGGTCTAAAATCACAACTAGTAAGAGACTGAGCAGTAATTGAAATGGGGCAACATGACTTGCAAAGCTAGTATTCCTTTGCTATCCAAGCCTGGCTGGAGTTTCAAGTCATTTTCAGTCTTTTTAAAAAGTTTATAGACTCTCTTTTATAAAAGATTTTACGTATTTACTTTTTAGAGAGTGGGAAAGGAGAAAGAGAGGGAGAGAAACATTGATGTGAAAGAGAAACTTTGATCAGCCGCCTCTGATAGGTGCCCTGCCCGGGCACTGAACTCAAAAGCCAGGCATGTGCCCTGACTGGGGATTGAACCAGCGACCTTTTGCTTTGTGGGACAACACGCAACTGAGCCACACCAAGCACATACAGAGCTAGACTTTATTTCTTAGAGGAGTTTTAGGTTCACAGCAAAACTGAGTGGAAGGTACAGAGATTCCCCACATCCCTCCCACACACCCACATACACACAGCCCCTCATTATCACTCCCCCACCAAAGTCCAGTCGCTTTTTATAATCACTGTTCCACTTGCTGTCACAGGAGATACCCAAGGTCCTGACACCACAGGTTCAAACTGAATGAAGTACAGGGGGCTAGAGAAAAAACAAAAAAACTGATCGTATTTTTCATCTTCTGCACTTCAAACAGTTATTTCCCTCCACCCCCCACAACTGATGGCCCTTGCCTGCTTGAAATCCTTCCATACTCTCTACTCCTTATGGATAAAATCCAAAACTTAAAAAAAATTGTTTATTGATTTGAGAGAGGGGTGGGGGGAGGGGGGAGAGAAAGAGAGAGAACCATTAATTTGTTGTTCCACTGATTTATGCATTCATTGGTTGATTCTTGTATGTGCCCTGACCAGGAATTGAACCTGCAACCCCGGCATATCCAGATGACGCTCTAACCAACTGAGCTATCCAGCTAGGGCAAAATTCAAAACTTAAAGAAAATTTTTTTTAATCCTTACCCAAGGATATGCTTATAGAGAAAGAGGAAGGGAGAGAAACATCGGTGGGTTGCCTCCCATATGTGCCCCCACCAGGAATGGAACCCAAAACCTAGGAATGTGTTCTGACCAGGAATCGAACCCAAAACCTTTTTGGTGTATGGGATGATGCTCCAACCAATTGAGCCACTCCACCGGGCCAAAATCCAAAACTTCCCAAATGGGATTTACAAGGTTCTTTTGGCCCTTGCCTACCTCTCCAACTATACTTCCTTTTACTTTCCTCTCCCCTTCAGTGGTAGGTACACTCATGGGGCAACCAGAACTACTCTTTCTTCTAAATATAACCATCCTTTGTCCAGCCTCTGTTTTGCACACACAGTTACCTCTTCCTGGAGTACTTCGATTCTCCACCTGATATACTTTCTAGCCTTCTGGACCCCCAAAAGCTGCTTCTCCTGTGCTCCCCTGGTTTTCAGGAACATCTCCACCATATAGTGCTACACTATACTGTCAATACCAATTTTGCTGGTCTTCCCCCATCGGATGGGAGCTTTGAGAAATCTCCTTTCTTTGTCACTACAGATTCCCTCTTGCCCAGCATCAAGTAAGCACCAATGTTTTGGAAAAAATCTGGAAACTGGTTGTCAAATCTAAACAGTAGGAGCCAGCACAGCACACCACTCCTGTCCCTTCCCCGGCCTCAGCTCTTCCTTCTGGGGTGGAGGAGGGAAGGCTGACACTGCCTGGCTCCCTGAAAGGTGGGCCTCGTGGCACTAGAGGCCTTGCTGGGCCATCATAAGGATTTGCGGTGAAGCCTGTCTCCTGGGTTTCTTCCACGCCAGGGGCCGTAGCCTCTCCCCCACTCCCTGTGGCCAGCGCCTCCCGGCCGACCGGTCTTGCCCCGGCTCACCCCTCCCGAAGAGTCGGCCCAGACCACTCATCGCAACCCTGTCCTCTCCCACCGCGGGCCCACGGCGTCCCGCACACTTCCGCCTTATTCCTGGGAGAGCGCATCTCCTCACTCAGTCACGGGCCTCGGCCAATCCCAGCCTGGGGCACTGCAGTGACATCATCAACAGTCGCCAAGGAGGCCACTTCTACCACGTGATGCCAGCCACCAGCTCCAAATTCACCGCTCCTCGTGAAGGGGATGCTTCTTTTTCAAGTATGAAAAGGCCGCCCCCATCCCGCCTCAAAACCAAGTATTTGTTTCCTGGAAGGAAATGTGCAGGGTAATACACCCCGTTACCTAGGGCCAGTGGAAGATTTAGTTCTTTTATGCCCTTAACAGCTCAGGAGAGAGAGTGAGGATGCCGGGAGCACAAGGGGTTTGCCACAGGTTCTACGGCAGAAATTGATGCAGTTTAATGCCTCACACTCTGGTCTTGGCCCCTCTGGATAGCCAACCCTGATTCACATGCAAGAAAAAAGAACAACCCCACATTGTGGGTAAGATTTCTTCTGTCACACACAAATACACTTTAATAATTTACACATGCACCTGAAAATGCCTTCCTGATTTCCTTCAGTTTTATGCCTCCAATGAGGCTCATCCATAGGACTGGACCTCAGGGTCCAGCTTGGGCCTTTGCAAATGTCTCTAATCCTTGAGTTAGGACTTGAAGACTCATTCCATTCTGGACATGAATGCAGGTAACACCTAGAAAGAAAAAGAGATCTCATTTTATACCTATCCCTCCTAGGCACCCCTTCTCCCCATTTCCCAAATGGTATTCTCACCACTCAGTACCCAGTTTGCTGACGTCTACAATATTCCGCTTCTCATCATCAAAGAACAGCATCTGGGAGAAAGGAACTCCAGTCTTCTGCCGCAGCCTGTGCAAGACAGGGCAGAGAGTAACCACACTGGCTTCTGAGCTCCTCCAGTCTCTCTGCTTTTCTCTTCCCCTGCTTCTACCCTCATCTCCTGCACATACCTCTCAAAGTGTGTGACCTTGCTGCCTGGATAGATTTCCCGCTGAACAAAGTATCTGTCAAGGTCAAAGAGCTCCAGTAGCTGTTTGGCCCCTTCAATTTCACCTGTCCTGCAAAAAGGTATAGTAGATGAGATGAGGAGTGGAGGGCCAGAGCTGCAAGTGAAGTTAAGTATAACCAGGGGTAAATCAACTTGTTTTTCCAGGAGGGGTGGATAGGCTTCCTGGGCCCTTAATTCTACTCCATATCCTTCCTTTCTGACACAGGTGGCCCCAAGCCAATGTTCAAAAAATAAAAGGCACAGGCAGTCATAATTTAACAAATGTACAATACTTGCAAATTTGCACAGCCTAAATTTTGGGAACACGAAAAACCTTATGCATGCATCTGTCAACGTTAGGCTGACAGTTTTTTTCAGTTGCTCTTACCGTGAAGCAGCTGCGACGGGCACCCCAAGCCCCCGAAATCGGTCCAGGACCTCGGGCACCTCTGGGTACAATCGGATGGTCTGGCCTCGCCTATCTCGTACAGTTCCATCGCTGGAGAAGGTGAGAGTGCGCTCAGCTCCAGCCCGACCAGCTTTTTCCCAGTCCTCCCCAGCCCAGCCTCACCTGCTCTTATGGAATGGGGGATCTACATGCGTGTCCACCCAGAATGGCCAGAGCGTGTAATCTGCGAGAGGAAGAAAGGGGAAGGTTCAGCCTGGGAAGCAGGGCCTCGAGAGCTGCAACTGGGGTTTGGAAAAGAAGAGCACCCTACGGAATTCTACACAGTCGGGCCCCTCACCCAGATCGAAGACAGCGAGCTTCGGGAGCTCCATCACCTGCGCCTACAAGTGGCTTGCTAGAGGCGCACGGAAGCGGGGCCTTCTTCAGGGCCATAGAGTGCTCTATACTCAAGGGAGGCTGCGAGGCCGCCGGGCCTGCATTAGAGAAACGGCGGTTAGAGAGTCCTTACGGCGGGCCGCAGCGGTGAGCCTGGGGACTGCACAAGAGCGCCATCTGACGGTGGAAGGGGAAAGGACTGCAGCAAGTACCTACATGTGGTACACGGGACCACAGTGGTCTCCAAGTTCCTCCTTCCTTCACTTCTCTGCTTTTCCTAGCCTCCCCAAACTCTACTAGAGACATCAGGGAAAGAAGCTCTTTCCTCTGGCACTCGTCTCTCATTTCACCTTACACACCTAAGTCACCCACCATAGCTTGTGTCATTCCTCAATCTTTTTTTTTTTTTTTTTAAATTTATGGATTTTCAGAGGGGGAAACATCAATTTGTTGTTACGCTTATTTATGCATTCACTGGTTGCTTCTTGCATGTGCCCTGGAGATCAAAACCGCATCCTTGGTGTGTCATGACATCCCTCTAAGCAACTGAGCTGCTGGGCCAGAGCTCCTCACCCAAACTGTGTACCAGCACCTTTCCAGTGTGTAGAGCCCAGACCCTTCAGCTATATTCCAGCCATAAAGAATATGGTATCTGTAAAACCCTTCTGGACTTTCTCAAATCAGGTCCAAATGTCCAGCAGGACCACAATGAGACTTTGCTCTCCTGGTTTCTACCACCCATGTCAGTTGTATGATAATACATGTGTAACAACCAATTTGGGGAAAGGATTGATCTGTATTGTTTGCCAATTTCTATAAATATTCCCACCTACCATGGTCAATTACTTAACATGGGGTTGGAAGGAGATACCAATAATTAGGTCTCATGAACTGGTAAGAGCTGAATCGAGTACACCACTGCCACTGAGCCTGGTAATCATTCAAAGGACATTTCCCTTCCATTGTCCTACTCCTTCAGTCTGTTGTAAGTAGGTGTGCATTTGGTCCATTCTGATTTGTCATATTTGTGCAACAGAAGAAAGATTCCAAGAGGCCAAGAATCTTTTACATTTTATTTTATTGAGAACCAGAGAGGGTAGCACATAGGTCTGCAAACTAAAACCCAATAGCCAGCAAGGGCCCTTTGGGCCAGAAACACTGCATCCTGAGGTCGTCACAGTCTCCCACCAGTAGACACACAAGACTGGGCATCCAGGAGAGGGGGCAGTCACTCTGGTGTCCCAGAGACTGATAGGATGTATGATGCCTCATTACGAGGAACAGGGTAAAGAGGTAAAATAGAGAGAGGGTCCATCACTGCCTAAGACCACCTCCTCCTCTTAGTGCCAACACCAGATGGAGGACTGAACCACCTAGGATTTTATAATCAGCTGCTGTCTTCTCATCATTCCTGCAGGAAAAGGAGGCACAAAAAGGGTTAGAAAGATCATGTCGAATAGGGCTCTTAACCTGGGTCTCATGGATCTTTCTGAGGGTCTATGAATTCAGATGACAAAAAAAATTACATCTTTATTTTTACTAACCACAAATTGAAATCTGGTTATTTCTTTAAATTTTGAAGATAGGCAAAAACCACAGTGGTACAAGCAATATGGGTAACCTATTAATAACAGAAATTAAATATTTTCATACCATATTACAATTGTTTGTAGGTATCTTGAAAATATTTCAAAATTATGGTAGTATTTGGTCCACCATTCAATATTAATGTACTAATAAAAAAGCACATATATTACAAATTTGCCTTTTTAGTATTTTGATAACTGTATCTCAATATAATTAGTTTCTTCTGTAATTTGATGTATTTTATTTTATGTCTGCTAAAATATTATTCTGAGAGGGGGTTCATAGGCTTTACTAAATTGACAAAGGATGTAGGCCACCAATAAAAAGAAGCAAGCCCGATCCATCTCCAGGATCTGCTCCCTCATCTTCACAAGAGAATGCCACACCCTCATTCCCATTCCAAACTCACATCTGTTTACCACTGTAGATGAGCCGCTGCTGCTGTGGGGGGATTCCCTCTTTCTCTTCCACACGTTCCTTGATTCGCTCCACCTTTAGAGGTACAAGGAGTCAGGGGCTACTCATGGTAGGTAGGGGTAGGATCATGGAAGTGGAAAGAACAGAGCTACGCAGATAGCATGAAAGCAAAGAACTAAGTTCATCAGCATATCCAAACAAATGTACATGTAGGGAGATAGGCATGAAGAGGTATTGGGGATTACCTTGTCTGTGGGTTCAATGTCAATCTCAATCTCCTTCCCGGTCAGCGTCTGAAACAGGCAAAGATTTCATGAATCCTACAGCCCAATATACAGTTTATCTTCTAGGTAAAATGTCCTGCCATGCCTGGTGTGGCTCAGCCGACTGAGCACTGGGCTGCGTCCCAAAGGGTCGCCAGTTCGATTCTTAGTCAGGGCACATGCCTAGGCTGTGCAAGAGGCAATCACACATTGATGTTTCTCTCCCTCTCCTCCCTCCCTTCCCCTCTCTCTAAAAATAAGTAAATAAAATCTAAAAAAAAAAAAAAAAGTCCTGTCCTGGTCTCTGGGGATCTACTATCTTCTGAGAGAGGCACATTCTTGGCAAAGCTGCTTTGAAGAATCAGAAGGCTTCGACCACACCTGTATTCATCAAACATTTTTTCGCTCTGGACTAGTTTGAGAGGGTAAGACTCTGAGAACCATTTGACCTTACTCCCCCAGGTCATTTCACAATTCCCACCCCCTAGAATCCATGAAAGCACTGGTACTCCTTTGCTTGAGACAGCAGTGAGAGATGTTCTAAAGAAAGCATTCCTTTGAGTCAGAAGGACTTTGCTTTCTATACCAACGATAGAAATTAATATTCAGATAATTTAAAGAATTTTCGAGGATATCAGAGATCGCCTCTGACCAAGCTTCTCCCGTATCTTCTCCGGACTTTGATGTAAATCCTAAACTGCAGTTCTGGTCTTCTTCCATAGGCTAAGGGCTGCTGGTGTCCAAACACAACATGCTGACTGTACACTTTAAAATGCTGTGCTCCATTCAGTCTAATCTCTCATACATACTTGCTCTGAAAGCTTGTATCTATACCAGTCTACAGTAATCAAGACCACAAACACACAATGCATGGTCCAGTTTAGGGGCATTTCTTTCCTTTTACTGTATCCCTTTTTGTCATACCCTTCACCACTTTTTCTCAAACCTTCAAAGACCCTTTAAAATAAGATTGATGAGTTGTCCCCAATGCACTTTAATACCTCTTAAAGCTAGTTGTTTAAGTTTCTAACTCTCCAACTTCCTTAAGGACGGAGACTGTTCTAGTTGAAGCACAAAGCATAATATTTGACATATAAGCAATAAAAAATATTTGTGGGAGGGCTGAATACACTGATGATTATGTTATAATCACAGCCAACATTTACTGAACACTTTACAAGAATCAGAAACCGGGCTGAGTGTCTTACATATATCAATACAGTTAATCCTTGCTAGTATTTCTGATATGAACTATTACTATCACCAATTTATAGATGAGAAAAATGGGGCTTGGGCAGGTTAACAAGTGTGACTATGGAATCAAAAGGAGGGTGTGGATCTAAACACAGACTCTCCGGCCTGAGCTCTTAGCTCTGGACTTAGTACTGCCTACATTGGACTGATCTAGAACTGAGACTCAATCTATGCTCTTGTGGTAAGTTCATAAATAACACATTGTGTCTACTTATGGTGTTCACACAGACCAGCATGAAGAAAGTGTTTAGGGCCTAACTTTTCAAATACGAGAATGGTTTAGTCCTAATATATAGTATTTCCAAAAATGCATGAGCAACTCCTTTGGCTTTACCTGTTTGGATGCAAAAGAATAAATTACAACAATGACTCTCAGGTTTCTACCCCAACCCAAGCTGGAATAATGTGTGAACATTTCCTGTAGTCTATGATAAAATGAGAAAAACACTGACAGCAATGAGATTTTCATGAAGCTAAATATATTCAGGTGTTAAAATGTCTTTTTGTGAAACAACAGTAAAAATATTCGGTAACTTCTTTTAGGTCCTTTCCTGACAAAATGAAAAGTATGCAATTCTGTGTTGTACAAAAATTATTTCACTTCATTGATTGCAATACTTTTTGGGGAGCAGGAGGTGCTGTTCCCAGAAATATTGCAATACTGGGTCGATGTGTGGAGTGGGTGAAGCAAGCTCCTACTCCATCTCCTGGCTCCAAAAATCCATTTAATATATTGTTATTGGATAGAGGATGTGTCAGATATTAAATTGAGACCAGATACTACACTTGATCTCAGCCAAAAGGCTGAGGAGCAATAGATCATAATACTTTAAATGCAAAGACTCTTTGACCAGATACTTCTATTTACAGGAAAGTAAATTAGAGGAAAAACTTGGGCATCTCAATGAGGAACATGTACACCTTTTGTAAAAGCAGAACACTGGAAATAACTTAATGTCTAATAATAAGAAAACTATTAAACTATGGTATATTCACAGAATGATATATTTGTTATGCGACAATTTATACACTAAAATGGAAAGCTCTAAAGAATGTATAATTATTTATTATTTTCTATATGAAGACATATGTATATGCACAGAAGAAAGGATTAAAAGTATACATATCTCACTCTGGCTGGTGTGGCTCAGTGGATTGAGCGCCAGCTCGCAAACCAAAGGGTCACTGATTTGATTCTCAGTCAGGACACATGACTGGGTTGCGTGCCAGGTCCCTGGTGTGGGGTACATGAGAGGCAACCACACATTGATGCTTCCCTCCTTCTCTTTCTCCCTCCCTTCCCCTCTCTCTAAAAATAAATACATAAAATCTTTAAAAGTATATATACATATCTCTTGTAACAGTGGTTATGTTTGAGAAGGGGAGTGGTACTGAATGGAGGGTTTATCAAGGGTAACTCTCCCTTTATCTGTACTACTTAAATTTCTAATAACAATCATTTATCACATGAATATTAATAAACAGATATTTATTCATTCTGATTTAATTATAGAAAATTTTAAAGAGTAAAAAGATTCTAAGAGAAGGCATAGAACGGTTCTCCCAAGAGTAAAATGCTTGGACCTTATGACATCTAAAAAAAATAATTGGTTTGTAAAAATTTAAAACTCAGGAGTGACCCTCTGTTTCTGAAACTGACTGCAGAAGCCCATGAATGTATCCAGAAAGCAATCTGGTCTCTCAGCAACAACACTTTTGGAAAATAATCATGACTATGTATAAAAATATACCCTTAACACTGGCCATTTAGCCTTTTGATACTGAAAAACTAGAAACACAAACTAAATTATCAAACAATTGAGGGTTAAATAAATTATAGTACAAACACAGGGAAAATCACACAGTCCTCAATGTCTAAAATAATGGTATAATTCCAATCTTGTATTTAAAAAAAAAAACAAAAACAAACAACAAAAACCCTCAAATATTGTTTCTGCTTTCAAAAAAGTTGGGAAGGATATATACATCAGTACTTTTGAGTTGTGAGGTTATAGATACTTTAATTATATTATTTGTACTTTTCTGTATCTTCCATTTTATATACCATGAGTACATTGTAATGAGAAAAAAATATTTTTAAAACAAAGTTCTTGAGTCCTGGCTGGGCGGCTCAGTTATTTGGAGTACTGTCCTGTACACCAAAAGGTTACGGGTTCACTCCCCAGTCAGGGCACACACATAGGCTGTAGGTTTGATCCCAGGTTGGGGCACTGTGGGAGGCAACTGACCGATGTTTCTCTCTCACATTTCAAGTATTCAGTAGCCCATGTGGTTAATGGTCACTACACCGGACACTGCTTAAGCATTCCAGCCTAAACAACAATAAAATAAGAATATCCCCATTTTGTAACCTCCAATGAAATAATAGATCCAAGATCATGGAAAGTAAAAGAACCTAACAGAAGTACACACCATACCTCTACTTATGAATTATTTTCATACATGAACACACAGAAAAGACTAATCAAGCCTCAAGATCTTATTACCAATTCACAAGAAAAACAGGTTGGAGAGGAATGTATTAAAGACAACACGGAGATATAACCAGGAAATCCAAACCATACAAAATTCTATGGGACAAACGCCACAGTTTATTCGACAAGAAAAAAATAGAGAAAAGGGTGCATTATAGATATAAAGAGGCTTAAAATACATATCAACCAATTGCAATGTATGATCTTAGTTGGCTCCAGGTTCAAACTAACTGTAAAAAATAAGTGAGACTATAGGGTAAATTTGATGACAGTTAGAAATCATTGTTAATATTTTTTCATTTTTATTTTATTTTTAGAGAGAGGGGAAGGGAGGGAGAAAGAGAGGGAGAAAAACATCACTGTGTGGCTGCCTCTTGCACACCCCCCAGGGGACCTGGCCAACACCCCACACATGTGCCCTGACTGGGAATCAACCAGAGACCCCTTGGTTCACAGGCCAGCACTCATTTCACTGAGCCACACCAGCCAGGGCTCACTGTTAATATTTTAGGTGTGATAATAATGGTTATTTTAGAAAAAGGGAGTGATTTTCAATAGCTAAATACTGAAACATGTATGAGTAATATAAGCTGCGATTTGTTTCATAAAACATGAGGTAACGAGAGTTGGTGAGTATAAATAGGATTGCCCATGAAATGATAGCTTTTGAAGCTGGGTAAAGGGTCTTTCTCTGTACTGTTGTATATGTTTGGAATTGTCCATAATTAAAAAGTAACTAAACAATTTTAAAAGATATTCTTGATATATCATGTGGTGACTGCAGATACTAGGCTTCTTCCCTCAGATCTGCTCCTTGTGACCCAGGAATGCATTCAATGCTAGTTAATAAGTCTATGATGAACCTCAGTCCAACATACTGCTTTAGGCACTGGAGGGGATATAAAAGAAATTATGTGATCCAGCTTTTGCCAACAATCTTTTTCAAGTGAAGATTTACAACCAAGAAACAATGACCCATACAACTAATAGAACCAACCTATACAGTAAACAAGGAAGTGCCATATTGAGTGTTATTTATTGTCCAAATACAAGATGCAATGACAAAGTGCCATGATGAATAAAAATATATGCTAATTAATTTTACACCCTCTATCATAGCTAAAATAAAAATGACTGACATGACTAAAAGTTAGCAAGGGTGCAAAGCACCTGGAATGTTCATCATTGCAGGTGGGAATGTAAAATGGAACAACCCCTTAGAGAACTGTTTGGCAGTTTCTTTTAAAGCCACATATATCTACCACATGATGCACTAATTCCATTCCTAGGTATTTATTCAAAGGAAAAACCTGTGTCCACAAAAAGCCTTGTATAACAATGTTCACAGAAGCCTTACTCATAATGACCAGAAAATGAAAACAAGCAAAATGTCCATCAACAGGAGAATGGATAAACAAATTGTGATATAGCTATTCAATGGAATACTGCTTCATTGTAAGGTACAGACACACTCAACAACAGACATAATACTGAGTGAAATAAGTCAGACACAAAATGTTATGTTGCATAATTACATTCATATGAAGTTCTAAAATAAGCAAAACTGACCTATGGAAACTTTCAGAGGGTATGAGTGAAAATATTCTATGGAATACTACTAAGCCACAAAAAAGAAAATCTTACCCTTTGCAACACCATGGATGGACCTGGAGAACATTATGCAAAGTGAAATAAGCCAGTCAGAGAAAGACAGATACCATATGATTTCACTTGTATGTGGAAACTAATAACAAACTGAACTAACAAGCAAAACAGAGACAGACTCATAGACAAAGAGCAGGCTGACAGTTCTGGGGTGAGGGATGGCAGGAAGACCCAGCAAAAAGGAAAAAGGAGTCATGTATATGGATAACAGTGGTGACTGCAGGGGGAAGGGGAGTATAAGGGGAATAAATGGTAATGGAAAAAAATTTTGTTTAATGTTTTAGATCTTATGGTTACATGAGTAGGTACTGTGGTAAAGAAAATCACTAAACTGAAGCCTTAAGAACTTTGTTTCATTCCATGTTTAAAGAAAGAAAAACTTGAATGAGAAAAATGGTGTTTAGATAGTACAGACAATTGCCCAAAGTAATCTGCTAAGAGTGTACCAGTGCAGCACCTGGGGTAAGAGAGCAATATGATGAAAAAGAAGTTTAAAAGAAGATCTGTACACTATGATATTGTATATCATGCCTTGGTTTAGACTCTAAACTTTAGAAGGGGTATGGCCATACGAAAACCTGGTTGGAGGTATCACACAGAAATAAAGACATAAGTTAATGAGACCCAAGATCAGAATAAGGGTACTGAAAATCAAGCAAAACAAACAAACAAACAAACAAAAAACAGTATCAAAGGAAAAATTAGAGAAAAATGACTCTAAAGAACCAAGTTCCAGATACCTGGTAGATTTTCAGGATCAATATATAAGATGAGTACTGGGGAGATGACTTAAGACAGAAGATGATATATTTAACTTCAGAACAATGATGCATCAAGAGAAGATTTAAGTCAGAAGGACTTGTAAAGGATTGCAGAGAGAGCTATGGAAGTAGTTAAGAGGAAAGAAGTTCTGCCAATAAAACCTATCATTTATATAATAATTAACAGCTACTAATCATGTTCATATGTATTTAACATATAGAGAAATTCAGCAAACAACAACAAAAAAAAAAAGAGAGACAGACAGACGACAGAGAAACCTGTTTAAAAGCAGAAAGGAAAGTGTTCCAGAAGAGACTGACGATTTTAGAGAAGTACTAAATAGAAGTGAATTCAAAGAGACAAAATCTAGAACCTTGCTACTCAGGCAGCGTCGGCATCATGTTAGAAATGCAGAATCTCAGGTCCCATCCCAGACCCACTTAATGTTAGAATCAGTAATTTTACAAGGTCCTCAGGTAATCCTTAAGTACTTTTGAGTTGAGAAGCCCATTTACGACACAGGTGTTTAAACTGCAGATCTCAATCATCAGTGGCTTATGAAGTCAACTTGGAATAGAATTGTAAATGTCAGAGCACATCACCCATAGTGTTTCTGTGTATGTATGGAGGTAAAATTTTTTAGTGTAGATTGGGATTTTTTAAAAAGTTTACAAAACATTGAACACCAAGTATAGTAATAACCTGTTCTTTGGACTAAGAAAGTACTAAGGGGACACAAGAAACCTTATTCATTGAAAAGAAGATAAAAGAATTCATCTGCTAGTGTTCCTCACACTTTTTCAACAGTGACCCACACTAAGAAATACATAGAAACTAGTAACACATACGCGCGTGTAATATACACATAAAATGAAACAATTCACAAAACACCCTTACCCAGAAGTATACCCTGATATTTCTATTTTCCTTTTTTTTTAATGTTGCTCGAAACCCATTGAACCGTTAAACTGATTTCATAATTAGTAACTCTTATAGGTCACTATTCAAAGTTTGAAAAACAATGGCATTTGGCCATGCTGTTTGGCCTCAATCCTTGGCTAAGAGATTGATTGGAAGTGAAGAGGTTAAGAATGGCTATTACGTATGGTAAATAAAATAAGGAGCTGATGAAATAACGCGACTTACTGAGCAGTAAAGAAACCAAACTAATATTGCACTGTATCAATTAAAAAATCAGGTTTTTGTAGCAGATAAGGCTAATAAGGGTCGGGAATTGAAGAACCACGTAAGTTGAGATGGGGCTGAAGGAAATACTGCTACTACCAAGAACTAGGGCCCTGGTAACCTACCTGTTTCAGTGAAGGAAATGAGAGTGGTCCAGAATGCCTGGCTCAGAAAGGGAGGTGCTGACTGAACACACTCCTAACTTTGGTTCTTGAAGGCTGCCTGAGATACTACATCTTGGCGACAACCAGCAAAGGCTTACAGTCTAGCCTCTGTAGCCCCGCCCCCCCCGCCCCCCCCGCCCCCCCCCCGCCCCCCCCCCATGCTAACGTTTCTGTGCTGTGCTCAGAGGCAGCCTGTGTTAGGGGCTGGGAGAAACAGGAAACCTGCGCACTGAGACTCGGGATCAGAGGTTATTCCAAGAACCTAAGAGAGAGTGGAGCCAAGCTGCTGCTAGGCCTCCCTGACAGTGAGGGTTCGAATACATCGGGAACCGGGACAAAAGAGGCCTCCTTCTGGGGCATGGCACTGTTCTGACGAGAAAGCAGGAATGGCAGCAACCCTGTAGTCGTTCGGCAGAGCCACCCCCCAGCAATCAAAGACCTCTTCGTGTCCCCCTACTTCCCATCACCCCTCGCGCAGAGCCCTGAGGCTGTCATCGCCCTCCAGGCTCGGGAAAGGCGTGGTTTCCCTTCCCCGCTTCTCCCGTAAGGTACAGAAGCCAGCCCAGTACCACTGCATCTTGGCAAAGCTGGAGGTGCTCCCACCTTCACTTTGATTAGCATCTTCTTCCAAGATGTAGGCTGCACACAGATAAATTGCCGCTTCCACCGGTGCGGTCTCCACTGCCGCTCTCCTGCACTACGCCTGTGGGAGTCACTTCTTCTTCCGGGTCACTGTCTGGCTCCACCCCCTTTTTATCCCGGGGTTCCAGAAAGGCTGAGAAATGCTCCGGCGTTTCGTTTCAGTGGCGTTGTAAAGAGAAAGAAGGCTGTCCGCTTAGTTACAGCAGAGAAGACTCTTCCGCGATCCTGAGAGTCCCCAGCGAACCGGTTCTAGAGGAAAGACGGAACGGAACGAACTACTGCCACCGCGCTAGGGGCAGCTCCGCGCGTTCCACCCTGGGAGTTGTAGTCTCCTGCCCCTCAGCTCTAACGGCAACCTTAGTGTGCGAACTCTGTTAATCAGAAGCTCTCACAAGGCCGCTGCCGAAGCTGGAATTCCTCGGTTAATCGTTTTCGCCTACAATTAGCGGGACCTGTTGGCTTGGACTGCAAGGCTCAGCGGGGCTGCACGAGGTTAGTTGCTAAGCAAGGAGAGCTTCGGTCAACTGCCACTTGGACCACAGTGACAGGAAGTGAGTACTCCTATTACGGAAACTGATTATGGGACTCCCCTCACGTTCCTTCTCTCACCCAAATCACCCTCTTAGCTCAAACTACTTTTTTGCAGGGGCTGGAAAAGAGTAGTGGGGTAAGGAATGTACCTCATTAGGGCTACTCACGACTCCATCCGAATCCTCCCCTCGGACCGAGAATAATCATAACCATGGGACAGGTCGGGAGGTGACAGTCTTCAGGGATCAACCACACCCAGACTTTCCACAATTTAGGCCAGGAGAGAGATTAGCCCTGCTGAAAGCCTTAAAAGGGCATTAAGGCTTTCTGTTGATTCAGCCCCCCCTCAAGTCTTTCCTTCCAACTCAGATTCGTTGCTACCTCGAGGCCCCCACAATGCCTCACATCGACAACGACGTCAAACTGGACTTTAAGGATGTCTTGTTGAGGCCCAAACGCAGTACCCTTAAGTCTCGAAGTGAGGTGAGCCAGCTTGCCCTGGTGGACCAGGACTGAGAAAGATTCTTGGTCCTTTTCCTCGTTCAGTACTTGCTTTTTGGACGAATGAAATGCTGTTTCCTGTTCATATCTGCAGGTGGATCTCACAAGATCCTTTTCATTTCGCAACTCAAAGCAAATGTACACTGGGATCCCCATCATTGCTGCCAATATGGATACTGTGGGTACCTTTGAGATGGCCAAGGTTCTCTGTAAGGTAGGACTTCTTTTACGCTGCTTCCCCAGTGGTGTCCAGTTATGTGAGCCGACTGCAGAGTTATTTGCATCCGCATCCCAGGTGAACTCAACAGCAATTACCAGTCTGGATGCTACAATTTACTATTTTCTCCAGTACTAAGGCCCCTTTATCTGGTTAGTTCAAAGAGCCATGTGAGTTAATGAGATTTGAAGCTAAGTTTTGCCCCCATTTTTCTGATATAGGAATAGAACTTTCCCTTTCTCCTCTCCAGCAGTTTATACACCTTGCCAACTTTTCCCAGCACCCAGGTCACCCCCCCCCCCCAAATAACATTCATCTTTCCAGTTAGGGCATTGTTAGGAAACGAAACATTTACTGTTTTAGTCCAGAAACTAAATACAGTTTGAGCATTCAGAAATTCCTAACCAGAAGACCCTAGAGAGAAAAAGCTTATTCATTTTTATTTTATGCCTTTTTGATTTTTTAAAGAAAATCTTCTTAAGTCCTAGGTATATGGGACTTTCTGGGATGTGCCCAGAATGGAATGTGTTTTTCTTACATACAGGTTATTGTTCACTTTCAAAATAGAAGATGCTACTCTTGTCAGTGATGTTACCTGCCTCTATATTTACAGCTGAGAAAGTAGATAGTTACTCTGGGCACTCTGAGAACATATGCACTCTTCTGGTTAATCCATAGTTGATGGATTCTGCTGCTGAGTATGGCTCTGTTAGTCTGAAGGACTTCATCTCCTTTTCTCTGTTTTTGATCGCTGTAAGTGTTTGTGGAATGTCTGCTGTAATTTCTCTGAGGTTGATGGTTGTTTTGATACTGTATTGTTTAGTATTATATTGCTGTTGCCATGAACTATTTAGGACTCCTGCTGTTGCCTGTCTAGGTGAGGAATGGTGAATCTGACTGCAGTGTTAACAGACATGCTGTCACACATGGAACTTGTGAGCACTCTCTTGATGTTTTATGTTGAGACTGGCTTTTCAGTACTGCTGATGTGTGCCAAAGAAATCAGATTTTAGAGATACAGCCAAGTCTCAAAGAAATAATAAAATGGTTGGATGCAAGCATGCATCTTTTTCTAAATCTTCAGCTTGGTATGTATTTGGACATACTTATCATGCCACACTATGCCAATGTATCTCTAAGGTCTGTTGACCTCCTAGAGTGATTTTTCTTTGTCAGCATGTTGATGGCAGAGTGTTGCCGAGAAAGCAGAATTTAATACCAGCTAGGTAGTATTGATCTCTGATTGCGTATAGTGTAATACTGTTACTGCTTGCTGATACATGACTTCTTTGGATTTCTTGCCAGTTGCAAGACTTGAGTTGTCTCAGTCAACTGCTGTCTCGTCTGTTTGCATGCCTGCACTTATATTTTTATATTTTTACTATTTTTAATTATAGTTGACATACATTATTATATTAGTTTCAGGTATGCATGCCTACACTTTTAAAATATAAACACCAGCATTCACAGTGGCCTTTGAATTCCTTTCTCAAAGTATTGGGATATTGTTTGTAATTTGTTGAACTAGGAAATACAAATCCAGTGAGTCATTATATCCTTGAACTTGGTTGACTGAAATAGACCGAATGAAAGTTTTCAAGTTGGTCTGTGTCTGTAGAAAATCTGTCCTTTATTGTCCTTTATTACAGTGGAGATGGAGAAAGGATAGGGTGACACCTTATTGTCTCCATTAACCCTAAGGCTTTAACCTTTTGTGAGCATTTAGACTCACGGAATTACTGCAGGTAAATCACTGAGAAGATCCCAAAAATAGGTTAGGTGTTTTACTGGGTTACCATAGAAGGCAGGGCTGAGACAGTGTAGGCAGACAGTGGCTCTGTCCAGGGTCTGCATGGTTCTTTCTTGTCTACTGCTTGTCCTACTGCACCAACAGCTTGTCCTAGTCACCTTTTAAGTCAGCAGCACTGTATGCGCTGGCAGGTGAGATCCAAACCGTACAACTTAGTACTTGGTGGGAGTATCCAACAGCACTAGCTTATGGTAAAAAGTACTACTGGGATTTGTAAGGAGACTAATGGCTGAATTAAAAACCCCAATCCCAACCCCAACCCCGAGTGCCTCAAGTTTCTTTTTCCAGACTTCAGTCCTTTTCTCCCTCAGAATAGTATAAAGGTCTATTTCTTGAAAAAGAGACCCTATTAAAGTTCTCCTTTTTGATGACTCTCTTTCATCTTCTCAGTTCTCCCTCTTCACTGCTGTCCATAAACACTACAGCCTTGAGCAGTGGAAAGAGTTTGCTAGCCAGAATCCTGACTGTCTTAAGGTAATACTGGTCCTCCCCAATCCTTTCCTTATTCCAGTTTTCCAGGAACCTTTGCTTGGCTTCCTGGGTTCAGCTCTTACCACCCCACCCCTGTTGGCTGCTCATCAGGTCATTTCAAACATGCCAATGCCTCTTTCTTCCACAGCATCTGGCTGCCAGCTCAGGCACAGGCTCTTCTGACTTTGAGCAGCTGGAGCAAATCCTGGAAGCTGTTCCCCAGGTGAAATATATATGCCTGGATGTGGCAAATGGCTACTCTGAACACTTTGTTGAATTTGTAAAGGATGTACGGAAGCGCTTCCCTGAACACACCATTATGGTATGTTTGTTACCCAGTAGTTGGTACCCCCATCTCCTTCCACTTTTTTGTGTCACTCCACTTTTTGTTATGTCAGTTCCTTTCTCTTCTGCATTATGATTTTCCTGGTTTGCTTAGTCATGTTACTGGGTGATTATCCATGGTTCTGTGCTTAACATGTTTGGTTACTGGTCATTGCAATCTCTGAGCCTTGATAGTCTTTGTGAATCCCATGTACCTGATATCACTCACAAAACCTTGTTGTGTTTATGCACTGTACACACCGGTGATACGTGTACACCTGCCTACTGAAATGGATGTGATACTATAATTCTATTAAAGGGATCACATGCAACAATGTTTTATTATTTTTTTTTACAAGCTTAGGAGTAATGACAAGGCCCCATTTTCTTCACTGCATTGAGGAACCCTTTTCCGTCCATCAGAAGCAAATACAGCTATGTGGATGGGTATTTAGCCTATATTACTATGTCTTCCCCTTTTCCCTCAGCCAAAGAGATTTTATGACCTAATGGCTTAAGGGCAGGATAAGTTTGGGTCTCTTGGGGAGATAAATTCACTGTAAATCAGATTTAATCTTGGTCCAGTTGGACCCCAGCTTTACTCTAGTGTGACAGTGACACTGGCCACTAACTCACCTCAGCTGGGGAAGCAGGGTCCTTTGAAGTAGCTAGTGTAAAAGCTTTCAGAGGGTCCAGTAGAGGGAACCCAGCTACCTGCTTCTTTGTAATAACGTTGGAAGGCCCTGGTCCAAGCATGCTATAAATGAGAATATACAACTTCCTCATTTTTTTGAAGCATTTTTCTTTACTATTTCCTTATTTCTTTTTCTTTTTAAAATATTTATTTATTTTTGGAGATAGGAGTAGGGAGGGAGAAAGCGAGGGAGAGAAACATTCAAGTGTGAGAGAAACACCCAATCAGCAGCCTCCTGCATGTTCCCAACCGGGGACCTGGCCCGCAACCCAGGCATGTGCCCTGACCAGGGATCAAACCGGGAACCCCTTCAGTCTGTGGGATGATACCCAACCCACTGAGCTACACCAGTCAGGGCTCTTCTTCGTTTCTTACCCTAAGAATGCTGTTCTGATTGCTCTGTTCCAGGCAGGGAATGTGGTAACAGGAGAGATGGTGGAAGAACTGATCCTCTCTGGGGCTGACATCATCAAAGTGGGAATTGGACCAGGTAAGCTGGCTCACTGGGGGACCACTGGCTACCTCTTCAGTTGCAAACATCTATGGAACACTTCACTCTCATCCTCGTCACATTTTTCTCAGGCTCTGTGTGTACCACCCGGAAGAAAACTGGAGTGGGGTATCCACAGCTCAGTGCGGTGATGGAGTGTGCAGACGCTGCTCATGGCCTCAAAGGCCACATAATCTCAGTAAGGCCTAAGTGCAGGCTAGGGCGTGAGGCTGCCAAACATCTGGGTTTTCTGCTGGGTGTGGAAGCTCTGATAGAGGTGGGTTAGGACTTCTGGGTTCCTGTCAGCTTTGAAGTGGGCTATTGAGACATCGCTGAGAGGGCTAGGGAAATCCAGGCAGTCTCTTCACGTTGCTTCTTTCTTTGCAGGATGGAGGCTGCAGCTGTCCTGGTGATGTGGCCAAGGCTTTTGGTAAGGGCACTGGGAGGGCACAGAAGGATCCATTAGAAGAGGAGGAGTTACCTTTGAGGGTCTAGGATCAGGCTGAGAAAGGCTGAGGAAGCCATTCAGATTCTTTCATAATATGAACTCGTGACCCAGAAGCTTGTGGTGTCCTTTGGGCAAGTCAGCTGAGACTCTCATATGGACTCTCCCAAGTGTGGGCCAGGGCCATCTGCACCATCTCCTGGACTGCTGGACAATGTAAATGCCTAAACCTCAGACTTAACAGAATCCAGGTCTGGAGAATGGGGCTGCACATCTGCATTTTTTACAGCTTCCCAGGTGATCCTTGTTCATAGTAAAGTTGGAGACTTTTGCTCTTAGAACACTTGAAATGAGCCTTACTCAGCTGAGCACAGTAAAAGAAATGACCAGAAGACAGCCAAAACCAGCCAAAAGGAGAGAGCAAAGCCAAGCAGGGAATCTCTGCAGGGATGTCCAACCTTTTGGCATCTCTGTGCCACACTGGAAGAAGTGTTATCTTGGGCCACATATTAAATACATTACAACATGTAATCACACACAAAAAATCTCATAATGTTTTAGGTAAATTTAGGATTTGGTGTTCAACCGCATTCACAGGCATCCTGGGCTGCATACAGGCCACAGGTTGGACACCCCTGCAAGTGGCTTTAAAAAATTATTTTTAAAAAGATTTTATTTATTTTTAGACAGAGGAGAAGGGAGAAAGGGAGAGAAACATCAATGTGTGGTTGCCTCTTGCAGGCCCCCCACTGGGGACCTGGCACACAACCCAGGCATGTGCTCTGACCAGAAATTGAACCAGCAACCCTTTGGCTTACAGGCCGGTGCTCAATTCACTGAGCCATACCAGCCAGGACACTTTTTAAAGTTTTGTGAAGTCAGGAAAAGAGGCTAGGGCAGAGCAGGCCTGTGTGAGTTACAGACCTGCTAGGAAAACAAAACCAGGGAGACGCTGGAATCAGGACTGAGAATTTGGTGTGAGTTGCTTCTGATCATGGGTGGGTATGTGGGCACCTGAGCCAGATTCATCTGTTTCCCCCCTCATTGATAGGGGCAGGGGCTGACTTCGTGATGCTGGGTGGCATGCTGGCTGGGCACAGTGAGTCAGGTGGTGAGCTCATCGAGAGGGATGGCAAGAAGTACAAGCTCTTCTATGGAATGAGTTCTGAAACAGCCATGAAGAAGTATGCTGGGGGCGTTGCTGAGTACAGGTATGTATAGAGGCCCAGGAGTTGAGGGTTCTTGGAAGGTGTGACAAAGTAGGGTGGTGGCAGAACTCAGGGCTGCTGGGAGATGGATGGTGTAGTTCTTGAGAGAAAAGTAGTGAACCAGGGTTAAATGCGAGAGATGGGAAGAGTCACTGAGCTTAAGGAATTCAGAAAGAAAACATCAGAAAATTTTTCCTCCTCTAAGGGCCTCAGAGGGAAAGACGGTGGAGATGCCCTTTAAAGGGGATGTGGAACATACCATCCGAGACATCCTTGGAGGCATCCGTTCCACATGTACCTATGTAGGAGCAGCTAAACTAAAGGAGCTGAGCCGGAGAACCACCTTCATCTGTGTCACCCAGCAAGTGAATCCAGTCTTCAGTGATGTGAGCTAGGCCTCAGCAGTTCTGCCCTCCCAAGGCACCAGCACCTCATCACAGGGCCTCCCAAGATGGCCCCTCATTCATCCCAGCTACTATGACTATCACTTGGTAATCTCATCTCTTCGAGTTCCTGCGGTAATGCTATACTTCTGTCTACACCCACAAAATGCCCAGCATGCTCACTGGGGAGGAAGCAAGGCAGGCAGGCTGAGAAAATGAAGATAATCATATGGGAATCTGGGGACCCAGCTCCTGAAGATTATTGAAAGAAAAAGATACTGATTCATATGCAAGTGTTTTATATATGACCATGGTCTTTAAGCTTTTAGAATCGTGTTTTGCTAATCAGGTTCATTAAATAGGATCTTTGAATATCTAAAAAGCTCAGAAGTGTTTATATAAATTTAAGTATCTCTATAAAGAGAGATCCCAGTGACTGTAAAGAGATTCTGGGGCTTTCTGCACAAGCCTGACATCTGGGTGCTGCTCCAGGGCAAGTAGAGGTGGAGGTGGCACTGACCCAGTGGAGTCGATGACAGAGTACTTTTCCCACGAAGCAACTCCATTCAAGTACCACTCGTGCCCCGCCCCGGTAACTTGGCAACAGGAGGATTTACAGGTGTATTCTGGTATCAAGACATAGGTATTTTCAGAATAGCAAAAGGAGATTTCTTGTCCAGATTCTTAGCCCTGGTAATCTTTCTGGCACTTCTGAACACTTTCCAAGGGAAGTAAAAAGGCAAAGGAATTCTTTTAGACCTGGAGAGTCCACTTCTGTTTCTAAGAAATGATCTACACTGACCTTACAGAAGCCTTAATTCCCCCTCCTTCATACCAACACAGTGTTTTAACAAATCCAAAGTTTAATCACCAAGCATTACAAAGTGATATGGACAATGTAGTTAGGCAACCCAAGCTTGGGTTTCCACTTTATTTCCACTAAACTGCCTGTAGAGGTGAGGGGGAAGAAGACAGGCAGGATGCAGATGGCATTCCAGTCCTATTAGAGGAGTCTATATGGTCATGGGAAGGGACAGACACAGCACTGGGGCTAGAAGTGGGGAGGTATTCATAGAAGGTGGGGATTAGGGTGTGAAACTTTGTCTTCTCATAGTTTTCCAGAGACTCCTGCAGAGAAGAGAGCAAGGAGATCCTATCATCATCTAGAACAGTGCCTGAGCCCTCCATACTCTGGAGCACAGGGATTTCTGCCTTGTTCTGCCCCATCCCCTTCCTTCCCCAGCTTTCTGTTCCTCCCTACTCACCATTCCTTCCCTTTGGCCATTTTCTTCCTCATCAGAGTCCAAAACCAAGTCCCCTATGGTAATGACAGGGCTGCACAGAGATGGAGGACACACTGCAGGAAGGAAACCAGAGTCAAAGTACTCTTCTAGGTGAACATAGCCCTTAAGAGTCCTCAAACCCTGACCGATGTAGCTCAGTTGGTTGGGTGTCCTCCCGCAGAGTGAAAGGTTGCTGGTTCAATTCCCAGTCAGGGCACATGCCTGGGTTGCAGATTTAGTCTCCAGAAGGGGACTGTGAGAGAGACCTGATCAATGTTTCTCACACCAATGTTTCCCTCCTCTCCCTCCCTCTCCTTCTCTCTAAAAATAAATTAAAAAAAAAAAAAAAGGCCCTCAAAAGGCTGTCTGATCCAGTCCTGATTCATTATACTTACCTGGCTTCCTGGCCCTAGGAGATGACTGTGACAGTGTCAGGGGCTCCAGGGGGCAATCCCAGCAATTCCTGGGGTGGCAGCAAGGAAAGAAGATACCGTAAAGGGAAAGCAAGTAAGGCATGGGCTGCTAGTAGAGAGAAGCAATTGTTTACTCACTCCTTTTTCTCCGTGGCAGACAAGTCAACTGGGTTCTCCTTCACAGCCCTTCCGCCCAGGGTCTGGGGTGGACTCCTAGACTTTCCAGTGGGGACTGCTCTCGTGTGGACGTCACCTGCTGGAACTGCCACGTGTGTCCCTTGTTCTCCTCTGTTGTCAGGTTTAGATATGACCTGAGTTGGTGAACCCAGATTCCTAAAGGGTAATAGCATGGCTGTGGGGCGCTCCTTATTGCCTACCCTAGTGTTTGTCCACTGGGAATGGATTCTTCGCTGGCCTAGAGGGGCCAGATTGAAGTAGTGGCCAACCAAAGGTTCTGGGTGCTTCCTTGAGGCTGGTCCCTGAGGAAGGTATGGGCCAGGCTTGGCTTTTGGCAGAGGATGGTGGAGTGCTGGTCTTGGTTGCTGAGGAGGACTTGGCTCCATGGGCTCTGTCATGTTCACTGAATTAGTAACAGAGCACTCTAAAAAGAAAACAATGTTCTTTATAAAGAGAACACGTCAACTTAATCTGGTTTCTTGTGTCTCTGGCCCATGTAACCCTTCTAGAGGGCTGGCTGCCTCAAAAGGTCTCAGGCTAAACACTCCACCCCAAAATTCCTAATTCTCTCAAATGGTCCTGGTACCTGGAAGTGGCCACCCCATGTCCACACCATACTGGCTCAAAGCAAAAGAAGAAGTGATAGAAACTCCAGGCTGCATCCAACTCAGCACATCCTGAAGCTGTGGGCAGGGAGAGAGGCATGAAAACTACAGTCTTTCATCCAACCAGCCCGCACGTTGCCCTGTGTTTTGCCCCAGGAAAACCTGCTGAGTTTGTGGTGCAGGCAGTGCTTTTTCCAGCTGACACAAGTATTCAAAAAATAGCTTTTCCACAGCAGTCAGAAAGGGTTCCCCATACTCTTGTTCAAGTTCCTGCAGAAAAGAAAAAAGCTGGTCAGAAGAGGACTAGAGAAAATAGCCACATCAGAGCTTCCAAACCAGCCAGTCTCACCTGCAACTTCCAAGCCAAATCCACAGGGGCTTCTGCCAGGTGCTTCACCTGCTGGCGAAAGGCCTCCTGTGCCTCCGAGATCTTTCTGAGATCCTGCTTTGTCTGTCGACGGTAAAGAAGGCAGAGAGTCAAGTTAGGAGCACCAGGTGACTAGAAGGCGGAGCAATTTTGTTGCACAAAGGGTTAACTAGGGGGGTGGGGATTATTCCACGGATCACTCACCGCTTTAGGATCCCGCACTACAGGTCCAGATTCTGGGAAGTGGTGATGCAGGGCATTCAGAACCTGGGCCCAAGGCCGGCCCTGGATGATCAGCTCCACCACCACCTGTGAATGGTACTGAGCTCAGGGTCCTCACTTCGGGACAAATTCCCCTTTGGCAATCGTTCTCACCCCCAAAGCGGTCTGCCCAGTTAGGTCCCTGCAGCCCGCCTCTTCCCCTAGTCCTTTTCCTAGGCCCAGTGGCTCTAATACCTTGGCCTTTAGGCCCATACACAGGCGTTCGTGGTGACGGTAGCGAACCAAACCAGGGGCGGCAGCACGCAGGGACTGAAGAAACTGCAATACTCGTGGGAAATGTTCCACGCAGCGTCTGCGCAGGACTATCCAGCTGGCAGCGGCTGCAAAGCGCAGAGCAGCCGGACCCGCTCCCGGGGGCGTAGCCATGGCGTGGGTGCTCCGCCCCAAGGCAGTACTCTGGGTCCACGCCTCCACCGCGAAGCTTTCTGACTCCTCCTAGGGGCGGGGTTTCCGGTGGCCCTTAGTGGCTCGGCTGTTTCGTCGGACGCTGTATCTTCACCGTCAGACTCAGCGTCCTTCCATAGACCACCAGGATTTTGGAGGTCTCCAACTTGGGCAGGAACCCGAGCGGAGAGTCTAGCCGGCTTCAGTGGCACCAGGTGGCTCGTTCTGCCTTAAACGGCACCGTTGTCTCCACCCGAGAGCTACCGCGCTTCCCGTGCTGTGACCAGTTTTCTCTGCCCGAAAAAGGGGTAGTAATGGGTAACCAATGGGCCGCCGGCGAGGGAAAACGTGATGTCGCGTCAGAGGGCCCCGCCCCTGCGGTTCCGGCGCCGTCCCCGCCCTCGCTCTCTGTCAGATTCGTTGGTCCGTTGCTAGGCTGCTTTGACAGCGGGCCTGGGCCTTCCCACGCTCCTGCGGGTTTTTGCAGAGCCTCTGTAGAAGTCGCGTCCCTCTCTAAGACTTTCTTGTCTGTAAAGCGGGATCATGCTGCTTGTCCTCTCCATCATCATCACCCACTGAAATACGATTCCTTAAATGCCAGTCCCTAAACCGTCGCTACGTAGCCTCCCCGGGTGGCAGGCAGCTTCTTGCAAGAATTCAACTGTTCCTTTTATAAAGCAGGAGAGGGCGCCACCTTTTACAAGTTTGAAAAGGTACATAAGGGGACTAGATGGTAATGGAAAAAAATACAGTAAAGATTAAATAATTTCAAAAGATACATCATATTGTTAACCTGGTTTTCCCTGGATGGTGACACTGTAGGTAATTTATGTGCTTCTCTGTATGTTTTTGGTATCATGTAATTTGAAAATAAAAAATGTAAAATAGTTTCCTTTTTCAAATTTCTGTTGTGCAATTACTCTAGACATCTTCTAACGTAATTGATTGTTTTGATCGTTTGTCTCCTTGTCAGCCTTCCTGATGTCTACTTATTTCCATCACCAAGTACAGAACCTGGCACACAGTGTATATTCTTTGTCTGTCGAATGAATCACCTGCCCTGACTACCTTACAGGGCTTTTGTGAAACTATCCTTTCATGGGCTATCTTCTCTCCTGGAGCTGTGGTTCCCATATTCCTCCCCATCTCCATGCAAGGTCTGAGGTGATCCATGTCCTCAGCTGCCTGTGGGACACCTAGTTGGATGTCCTAAAAGTATCCAAACTAGCTAGGTATTAAATTCTAGTTATTTCCCTTTTAATTTTCCCCTCCCCCACCCGTGAAGTCCTTCTTTATGTAGGTCTGAGTTTCTGACCTCTACTATTTTCCTTCTTTCTGAAAAAATTTAACATGTCTTGCAAGTCAGGTCTCTTGTTGACACATTTCCTTGATTTGCATTTGCCTGAGAAATTCTTTATTTCTCCTTCACCTTTAAACAGTAATTTTGCTGGTTACAGAAGAGTAGTCTGCTGGGCATTTTTCCTTCAACATGCTAAATATTTCACTTTCTTCTTATTTGCCTGCTTTCTGAAGTCTGATGTAGTTCTTATCCTTACTCCTCTGTAGGTAAGGTGTCTGTACTTCTAACCCCCTAGGCTTTAAGATTTTATCTCAGTTTTCTGTTTTCTGAAGTTTGCATATAATATTCCCAGGTGTAGATTTTTATTTTTTATTTTTTGGTTTTTATCCTGCTCGGTGTTTTCTGAGCTTCCTCCATCTGTGTTTGGTATCTATCATTAATTTTGGGAAATTCTTGGTATTATTGCTTGAAATATTTCTTCTGTTCCTTTCTCCTCCTGGTATTTTCATGTGTGTTCTACAACTTCTGCCCCACAGTTCTTTGATATTGATTTGTCTTTTTCTTTGCATTTCAGTTTTGGAAATTTCTATTGACGTATAAGCGGGTTTACTGATCCTTTCCTCAGCCGTGCTCCTCTCTTGATCAGCCTGTCAAAGGCGCTCTTCATTTCTGTTAGTGTCATTTCTAGCATTTCCTTCTGGTTCTTAGTTGATACTTCTCTGCTTATACTGCCCACCTGTTCTTACATGTTGTCCACTTTGTTCATTAAATCTCTTAACATACTGATCATAGTTTTAAATTCCTGGTCTGATAATTCCCAGTATCTCTGCCATATCTGAGTCTGGGTCTGATGCTTAGCCTGTCACTTCAAAGTGTATTTTTTTGTCTTTTAGTATGCCTTGTAGGTTTTGTTTTTTTTTTTTGGAAGTTGGATGTACTGGTAAAAGGAACCAAGGTAAATATGCCTTTAGTGTGAAGTGTTATATTCACCTGGCTGGGAGTTAGTCTGTGTTGTTTACTGCAGCTGCAGGTGTCAGAGGCTAAAATTTCCTGTGGCGGCATTATTGTCTCCCCTGTTGTTCTGGGGTTCTCTAGCGATGTCTTTAATAAGATCTGAGATGTGAAGCTCCTTCTGTTGTACCCCCCATTATTATCCAGGTGGACCACCATCATTGTGACTACCAGGAGGCACTGAAACACGGCCCGAGGATCACTAGGACTAAGAAATCAAGGTGGAGAGGTAAAGGAACAAAGGGGACTGTCGTGGCAGTGTGATTTTGACTATTTCATGTTGGCACAGTGGTCAGATTAAGGAATTTGTGGTTTTTAAAAAATTTGTGTGGCATTTATTATTTTTTTAAAAAGAGGAGATTTAACATGAAGATAGTATAGAACCAAGGATTCATTGTTTTTTAACCCTCACTCATAGATACGTTTGTTGATTTTAGAGAAAGAAAAAGGGAGAGAGAGAGAGACAGAGAGAGAGAGAAAGAAACATTGATGTGAGAGAGAAACATTGATCAGTTACCTCCTGTATGTGCCCGCTGGGGATCAAACTCACAACCTAGGCATGTACCCTGACTGGGGATTGAACCTGCAACTCTTTGGTGTATGGGAGGGTGCTCCAACTAACTCAGGCACTTGGCCAGGGCCTGGGGATTCAATATTTTCACTCTGGAAATATGTTTTTAGTTCCATTGACCCTATCTGGCATAAAGTTCTTTCTGGCATTGTACTGAGGAAGAAATAAAATTTATTTATTCTTTACATCATTACAACCTAAAGATATTTCCAAAGTACTGGGACAGGCTGGCTTCACACTAGCACAGAAGACCTTCACTAAAGTGGCAGTGATATTAACACTTGTTAGGGTAGCTCCCGTGGACCTGTGTCTTGTACAGGACCTGAGATCCTCAATGAAGACTCCACAGCAATGTGCTCTAGACCGTCAAGCTGGCTCTGGGGGGCTGCAGTGCCCTCTGAATGTGTAGCACTGCAGGGACAGGCTCCTCAGTGCTGAAACAGGTCAGTGGCTGATGGAATGGCATGTAATGTGCTCAGTCAAAATTGAGGTGCTGTGAGGGAGAGGAAATCTATTGCCAAATGCCACAAATATTCCTACATCAGAAAACAAGACATTTCTTCTGTACTGTATGTCCTTCTGTTTCTTACAGGAAGTTCAGCTCCATTATAATATTACAGGACCGCTGTCACATATATGACCCTTCACTGACCACACATCATTGCATGGCATATGACTGTTGTCTTGTTTACTCTTTCTAGACTCCCTCCCACCACAGGATCTTTGCACAGGCTGTTCCTTTTGCCTGGAGTGATCTCAATTCCCTCTCTTGAGTATCCTCCAGGATCATCTATTTAGGTAAAGCTTTCCTAACCACCAACACCAGGCTAGGTCACATGCCTTCACTGTAAACTGCAGAGCTGTCTATTCTCTTTTGTCTTATGCATTTATTCTTTTACTATTTCTCAGAGTAAATTCCATAGGGCAGGAACTAGGCTTGCCCTTTGTTCCAGCACTTGCCCAGTGCTCGACATACCCCATTAAATGTTGGTAAGTGGGTGAAGAAATGGGCCCATTAGCCATCTACCAGCCAGTCAGAGTCTCCAAAACAATTCTGGCCCAACTGTGTACAAAAATCCCTTTCTGGAGTGGACCTTAGAACAGCTGAAGCCAGCCATTATTTTAAACATTAACTTTATTTAAATAAAATGCGGTCACTATATAGTCTGATCCATAAATCTGAGAAACATAAGTCATATTTTATAAATTTGAAAAAATACGTTATTGTTTATGCTATGGCAGTTGTCCCAATTTTCCCCCTTTGCCCCCCACCACCCAGCACCCCTAAAATTTTGTTTATAAATTTGTGATTTAGTTTTGCCTTACTTGTTTTTTATCAGGAAGATAAAAATCTTCCTTTTGGTGTTTTTAACTCTCCCAGAATTTTCCAAGAAACCTGACCAACAGTGCAGGCCTTGTGGCTTCTGTGCTTGTTGGGGAAAGTACTGCTCTCGGGGTCGCCGTACTTTTTCCACCACTCGGTGTCCTCTTGGAAAACCATCTGCAGGGGTTGGTACCTGAGCTCTCAGAATTCCACCCCCAGATCCAGACTTTTTTCCCTGAGTAAAGAGGCTGCAGGAGCTTCCAGCATTAGCCACAGGCTTTGCCAAATCAAACCCACCGACATAGTGCGGCGTTGGTGGTATTGTGGTGAGCATAGCTACCTTCCAAACCCACTGACATGAGGTTCAGGGACTCTCATGTCCAGCCCAGTTTTCCAAGCCTAGGATGGTCCCCTGCCCTGCTGTTGAGCTTCAGCTGAAGCTACCATAGTCCACACTAATCTTTCCAATTTTAAATCTTGAGGCAGAAAGAAACAAAGAGAATATATTGGTTCTTTATACTCAGGAAATGCTGGGCAAAGAACCCACCTTCTCCTTAGGGATTAACTTTGTATACCAGGTATCCCAGAAGAACCAAAACAGGTTACCAGGACTCAAAGCAAGTGACTGACTCATCACTGCCCAGAGACACCAACTACGAGGGCAACTCTAGTGGATTTCTTGAAACCAAGACTAAGAACACCTTCTTTTTTAAAACAACAACAACAAACACACACACACACACACACACACACACACACACACACTTTGTATATATGAAGGAAATCATCATATAAATAAATATAAATGGTATAAAATAGGTTTTACTAGTAAGTTTTCTGAGATATAATTCCAGTAGGAGCTCTGCTTGGATGGTCATTACTGGGCCCCCTGGGTTGCCCATGGATCTCCCTCTTTCACAGACTTGCTCTTGTCATCCAGCATGCATTATTCCTACAAACGCTCCGAAACACAATCCTCCATTGCTCCTCCCAGCTTCCAGACTCCCCATCACCCTCTGATTTAGTCCATCTTTCATGCTATAGATATTTATTGAGCACCTACTATGTGTCATGGACTGTGAATCAGCCATGAGTAAGAGAGAGAAGGTCCCTGCCCTGGCTGGTGTGGTTCAGTGGACTGAGTGCTGGCCTGTGAACCAAAAGGTCGCTGGTTTGATTCCCGGTCAGGGCACATGCCTGGGATGTTGGTCGGGTCCCCAGGTGGGGGTGTGCTAGAGGCAACTGATCTGCGTATCTCTTGCATATTGATGTTTCCCTTCCTCTCTCCTTCCCTTCCCCTCTCTCTAAAAATAAATAAATCTTAAAAAAAAAAAAAGAATGGAAAGAGAGAGAAGGTCCCTGCCCTCACAGGGCTTATATTCTAGCATGAAAGGATCTAGAGGCCTGAGACCAGAAGAGGTTAAGCTGGGACAACAGAGATTCTAATGCCCACATCTAGAGAAATAAAGGAGGTGATACCCCATAAAGCACCTGATTTGACCTTAACTCATAGTAGGAACTCAACATGTATTTGTTTCTTCTAACTGTTTGGAGGATTGCATTGCCTCCATGTTGTTTGTTTGTTTGTTTTTTGAGGATTCAAGCACATTGGGCCTCTAATAAATACAGGGGATCAGGGCAAAGTGAACAACTGTGAAGCAAGTTACAAAGTTGTTAGAAATCTTCAAGTCTCACATTTTCTCCCAGGTGTTCAATGAAAAGAGACACTGTTGTGTTACTGCTCAATCTTTCCGGGAATCAATTTAATAAAACATATCAACCATCTTAAACATGCCACATCTTGCAAATCATCGCCTTTAAATTTGTAAGTAGCAGACATTTTTTGTGAAGCTCTGTGGTAGACCCTGTGCTAGGTCCTGGGACAGTGTGTGAACAAGCCAGGTACGGTCTTAGCACCTGTGGAAGTCCCATTTTAGAGAAAAGAGAATTTAATAAATAAACAAACACACTAATGTTCAATGATAAGTGCTAGGTAGGACACAAAATAAAACAGTGATTGCTAAAGAGACTAGGAGGTGGGAAAAGGCTTCAGATAGATGGTCAGGGAGGAGCTCCCTGAGGAAATGACGTTTGAGCTGAGCCCTGATAACAGGTGGGTCCCCCCCACCCCCCCACAACCCCCTGCCATACCACTTGGGGGAAGAGTGTTCATCCAGAAGGAAGAGCAGGGGCTAAGTTTTAGGTAGAAGGTGGCGAAGCTGAGAAGCAGAAGCCTGCGCTGAGGTGGAAGAGCCCTGCACATGGTGGAGATGAAGGTAGAGAGGTCTGCAGGGCTGGTGGGTCAGAGCAGGACTTTGCACTGTTCCAAGGGCCAAGGGGAAACACTGGAAGGTTTTATGTAGGAGAGCCCAAGGGTTCAATTTAGAGTTTAGCAAGCTCACTGGCCATGCAGAAACCAGACTGTTCAGGAGCAGCAGACACTCACCAGGAGGATATGGCAGTTCTCTAGGGAGAGGGCACAGTGACGGTGTAAATGGAGAAAATGACAGATACATTTTAGAGGTAGAGCTGAGAAGACTTGCTGATGAATCTAATATTGGAGGAGAAAAAAGAGGAATCGGGCGACTTTGTATGTTTATGGCTTGAACAACCAGGCCAATGGAGTTTGTATTCTGGTTAAGGGAGGGGAGGCACAATAAACAAATGCATTGTTCAAATGCTTAGTATGTTAGATGGGGAGAAGTGCAATGGAGAAAAGTAATGCAGGGGAAAGTGGTAGTGAGGAGTGGAATGGATTGCAATTTAAAACAGGAGGGCCAGAAAAGGCCTTACTAAGATATTTGAGAAAGACCTCACAGGAGGAAGGATGCCAGCCATGTAGATGTGGGGGGTGAGGGGGTGGAGAGCAAGTCTGAAGGCCCTCAGGTGGAGGCTTCAAGAAACAAGAAAAGTGATGCTGAGTGACAAGGGGTTAGGGGGATGAAATTGGAGGGCTCTGAGGGCCACGGGGAGGACCACAGCTGTTATTCTGAGAGGTGAGGAGCCACTGGGGGTGGGGGCGGATCAGTGACACGATCTGACATTTAAAAACGTCTCTCTGGCAGCTAAGTTGAGAATAGACAGGGTAGGGGGAGGGCTACTGAAAGGGCTAGTGCTTCAACCCGAGTGAGGGAAGACTAGGATGGGGCAGTTCCAGTAGAGAAGGTTTGGTGACAAACAAATAATACAAAAAATTCAACATACAGAGCATCAGGTGGTGATGTGTGCTATGAAAGAAAAAGCATAAGGGGGAGAGGGAATGTGAAGGATGTTACAAATTTATATATTTTTACTTTTTTCAAAGTGTAAGAGAAAGTTATTTAGAAAGTTACAGAGGTAGGAAAAGTGAGTCAGCTGGGCTGCACAGGAAACAAGTCACAGAAGCAAAAGAAGGGCCCCTGGAGCTGAGGAGAGAGGAAGGCAAAGGCTATACACACCTGAGAGGAAGAAGAGGGAAAGGGGAAAGGCTGGGCATGCTCCAGAGAGGGAAAGCAAGCCCAGGATGCTGCAATTTTAAAATGGGATGGCGGAGGTGAGCGTGCAAACTGCAGAGATGTCTAGGGAAGCACTTCTCAGCGTCCTGCAGAGGTCCCAGAGCAGGAGCGTGCCTGGCCCTGGAGGAAAGAAAGAGCCAGGGACCTGGAATAGACTGAGCCCGGGGCAGGAAGGGGAGCTGAGGGCCGAGTCACTGAGCGCTGTGAGAACTTTGGCTTTGGCTTTAGGGGAGCCAGTAGAAGGTTTTGAGCAGAGGACTGACGAAATCAAATTCCCCTGCTCACTCTGGCTGCTGTGTGGAGAACGGAGTGTCAAAGGGCAAGCGTGGGTGTGGGGACGCAGGTGGGGGCCAGGGGCAACAGTCTGGGTGAGAGGTGAAGGCTGCTCGGCAGCATGGTAGCTGTAGAGGTGACGAGGAACAGGCGGATTCTGGACAGGCAGGAATGGGAGACAGAACCGTCAGAACTTGCTGACAGACCAAATGAGCGATGTGTGAGAGAGAGAGGAGTCAAGCCTGACTCCAAGATTCTGGGCCCAGGAAACGGAAAGGGTAGAGTTGCCGTGTACTGATACAGGGGAGGCTGCAGGAAGACAGGCTAGAGACAGTCGGGAGTTTGATCTCAGACCCGTTTCGCTTGGTGGGGCAGTCCATGAAACACCCAGCAGAGATGTGGAGAAGGCTGTAAATATACAAGTTTGAGGTTCAGTGAAAACAGATACAATTTGGGGAGCCAGTGGTCCTTAAAACCCTAAGACTGGCAGGACTTACCTGGGCAGAGTGGAACAGGAGGAGAGAGAGCCTGGGCTGGAGGCCGAGTCTCTCCAACACCCGAGCCTGAGAAAGGCAGTCAGACTCAGAGGACCTGGAGCGTGGCCTGGAAGTCTTGATGCTTTCAGCCTGTATTTAATGCTGGGAGAGAATGCTCACCAAAGGTTATTTGGGGAGAGAAACAGCACAAGAAACATGGTGTTAACAGTTCTTATCTGTACATGGTGGTGGTTGAGGATTATTGTTAATTTCTTGTTTATAATTGTTGGTAAACTCTGAACATGTATTACTTTTATAAAAAGTTTTAGACCAAGATATTTGAAAATAAACAGTGGGAAGTGGCTTTTGCTGCTCAGAGAGAATTCTAGTCTATTTCTACCTCAGACATGTGCCTACAAAAGGGAATTTAGTCCTCTCCCACAGTGGGTGCCACGGGAAGGGGCAGTCCCCCCCAAACCCAGGGGCTTCCAAAGGGCTTTGGGCAGTAGAAGCACCCTGAGGTGGGGGTGGGAGTGAGGTTTGGTCAGATAAGCACTGGAGGCTGTCTTGATGCCGAGCAGGTCCATTCTCAAGAGCTGCTGAGCTGGTCTCATCTGACCTGCCAGCCATGCTTCTCAGAACCAGGGGCACCAGAAATGCCACATGTGTCCCTGGAACACTGCTTGACCCAGCACGGACTGACAGATGGACAGAACAGCAGCTTCATTAAAAAACAGTTTATTAGCTTCTGTGCCACCCAGGGCAAGTGAAGATGGGCTCCCTCCCCAGGTGTCCTGGCCTCCCCGCCTGCGCCCCTGGAGAGCTGCTCTCCAGCGGACCCCTGTCTTGTCGAGGCAGTGTCCGTGTTCATCTGACTCCAGTCCCGTTGCTCCTGGCCCAGGGCTAAGCCCCACCTCGAGAAGCCATAGGAATGCTTTCCCCGGAGCGATTGTTGTCTCCAATGCCTGAGAAGAAGCCCCCACTCCCGGAGGCTGGGGCCACGTCCACCTGGATGACACCGTGCACCTGCGAGAGCTGTGGGCTGTCCAAGCTGGCGATGAGCTGGCGGGGGCCGGGTCGCACAGGCACGAACGTCTGGCGCAGTGTCACCGTCTCGTTGCCCCCAATGTCCCTGTGGGCAGAGAGAGGGTCATGGGCCTGGGGCGACTGGGGGTGGAGTGGGGAGCGAGGACTGACCGGGCAGCCAGGAAGAAGAGGTACAGAGGTGGAGCCCCTCAGGCACTTGTGGGCTTAGCTGGAATCCCCACACCCAAGACCAGGACAAAGCCTGAGTCCCAAGGCCACCTCCACTCAGCCAGATCAGCAGTCGCCCACACAGCTGCCTGAGCTAGAAATCTGCCAGTCCCCCGGGATGCCTCCTTCTCCTGCCACGGACACTCGGACAAAACTGTGGCCCTGCCACCCTCTCATGGCCACTGCCACCTAACCAGACCATCCCCGCCCCACACAGGGTTTCCTAGACCAAACGAACTTCATGTGGAGACTTGGGGCTTACCATGGTATTGCCAAACACTTCTGGTTTTACCAAAAAAGAAAGTGGAGGAAAATTAATTATCCTCTGCCACAAGAATCTTTCCAAAGAATTGTAATACCCCAAAATATTGAGAAAATGTTATCAGAACAAAATGAAAGTCCTTCCCAAGAACAAGTAGTTGGCGTGTTTAAATTGACACATGTTTGTGTGTATGTGAGACACACATACACACTTCAGTGCCTTTATTTTCTCCCTTCTTCATGAATCTCTGAAAATCTGTTGTGAGGCCACCTTTCTGGGAATCAGTTTCACCTGCCTCCTAAATGACCTTGCCTCCCGTCTCATTTTTCCATTCTGTTCTCTAACTGTTTGAACTTGAACTGAACCCTTCAAGGACTCGGCTTCCCTAGTGCTCATGGAATGAGACTGCAGGTCCCTGACCCGACACACACAGGCTCCCTCTGACTCAGCCTGCCTGCCTGCGCGGCGCTTCGTCCCCCACCATTCCTCCTGCCCACCGGCCCACGGTTCCTTCCCTCCCCTGAACCCACCTTTCTCATGCTTGCCCTGGCTGCCAGTGCAGGCCCACACCACCTCCTCAGGGAGGGCTCCCTTGAGCACCTCCTCCCCTCAGGAAAATGAATCTGGCCTTTCTTTGAGCTCCCCCAGCAATCTGCGCGTGTGCTTCGTGTAGTGAACGCGATTGCATTTATATAGCCCCTGCTCATGCCTTTGAGCATCTATCCTTTCCTGCCTCTGCCTAAACCCTTACCTCTGGCTCCCTACTCAGCCCGAGCCTACCTTGGGGATCCTCGCTGGAGCCACATCCTGTGTGGACACCTCAGTCCTCCAAGGGAATGAATTAACACCCCAACTTCGAGGATGAGCCTCCCTGCTTGGAGCCTGCTTACAAGGGGCATCCCTGGACTGCTCTGTACTCCTTTTGCCACTGTTAGCTGTGTGGCTTAGGACAAGTTACTGAACTTCTCTGATCCTCACTTTCTGGTCTGTGAAATAGAAGTGAACATAAAATAAGAGGGTGGAATCAGATGATCTTGAAGGTCCCTCCAAACTCCATAAAGGAGGGAAGCAGGGGATATATAAACTCTAACTGTTAAGTTATGGACTTAATCTCTAGATTTTCTGTCATAACAGAGAACCAGAAATCAAGCCTACAATGTAGCAGGTCGGCTATACTCCGGCTGGTTACAAATTTGTGTTTTTAACAAATGTGTTTGTTTTTTTGTGTTTATAGTATAGTATAGTATACTATACTATATACTATATAACTATATATATACTAGTGTATATATATACTATATAGTTATATAGTATATAGTATAGTATACTATATAGTATAGTATAGTATAGTATACTATACTATATAACTATATAGTATATATATACACTAGTATATATATAGTTATATAGTATATAGTATAGTATACTATACTATACTATACTATACTAATCACACTGTACTTTTTCAGAACATGGCCTTTATATATAACGTTATTTCCAAGGGAAACGGCTTTCCAGGTCCCAGCATAGACTATCAAGGTCTCTCCCTGCCCTGGTCTTTGTGGTAGGTGAGACATTTGCCACACGCCTGTCTGTGAGTTTAAGCTGCGCACATCAGCTGCTGGAGTTGGACTGTGTCTATGTCAGCGAGCTCAGGCAAGGAAACCAACTCTCTGACAAGGACACCAGAAATTAGACATCCAAAATTAGCACTGTCCTTCAATCCTGTACTTGTTCAGCCTTGTTGCCAGTGCATGGAACATTATTTAAAACTCCTTTTGGATTTTCCTTCAGAGTCCATGAAAACCACACACACACACACACACACACACACACACACACACACACGTCACGAGCACCCTGTCACACATGAACATCTGGTCCCTCCTTTACAGCCAAGCTTTCTTTTTTTCTGATTGAGGAAGGCCACCCTAGGGACATCCTCTAGAGAATGATTCAGGCTCTGGGGGAAATTCCAGAGAAGGGCTTGGAACAGACTTTCAGCCTCTCCTGGTGACTGGTTTGGTGGTGACAAAAGCTATCTGGAGGAGTAAGTGCTGGAATGTTTATTCAGTGGCTAGTCACCATGCTGGGCGGCACGCCTTATGTTCCAATGGGATTCTTTACCACAGCCTTTGATGCGCGCATGAGAGCGAAGTAACACCCACCTTGGAATCCAATATATCTGAACCGACAGCCCAGGGACTTCCCCCTTGGGGTTCTCCATTGTCCTGGTGGCTCTGGCCTGAACTAGCAGCAGCCAAGGAGCCACAGGCGAGGAGAACCTGCCTTGAGAAACCATCATCCAACTCTCTCATTTGCTGGTGGGGAGACTGGGGCCTTTAAGTGGGAAGGGGGATGTACCTCCCTGCTCAGCTCAGTGGTCTTTTTCTTACTCCCAGGCGAGGGCAAGACTCAAAGGTCTGGCAGGGCTGCTGATGGGAGTCTAGCTCTGGGGACCCCTCAGAACAAGAGGTCCTCCCTCCATCATTTGCAGATGAGAGACACCTGCAGGGGGAGCTATCAGGGAGTCCCAGCTCCACTCTCTAAGCTGCCCCAGATTCCAGAGAGACAGGGAAGGCACTCCTTTGTGACATACGACATCATCCAGGGTTCAGGCTGGATGAAGATCAGGAAAACAACCTTCTCAGCTTTGTCTTGTTGGCCCAAGTGGAGGCCACCACCAAGGCAGAGCCTGCTGTGACTGCGTGTGGGTTGGGGGAAAGAAGGGCAGGGTGGATGGGCACCGTCTGTTTCCCCCACCCAGCCCCTCCACAGGGACCATCACTTTCCCTCAGGCTCTCTTTGTCTAAGGAAGGAAATGCGGGCCCCTGTCCCCAGAACACTGATCTTAAACGTCAGCCCCTGGCCTCCCCTGCTTTCCCTCTGTGCTGCTCCTGGGGAGGGACAGGGCAGCGTGTGTGGGTCTGTGTCAGAGACGGCAGCACGGGCCCAGGGACCCAGCCCTGTGTCAGGCCCTCGCAGAGCCTCGCCTGGCCCAGCATCAGGTCCAGGTGGGCTGGGAGGGGCCCTCGTGGCACAAAGCAAGCAACAGGCTTGAGAGCCTGTACAGGGCGTGTGCCATGTGGGCAGGGCAGAGTCTGGCCCTTGTGAACTGTGAGACCCTGTGAGATGTGGCCATCAGGTTCCCCCTCTGTAAAGTGGAGCGGATGGTGGCAATAATCAAAATAAAAACTCCCAGCAGAGCACTAACTTTGTACCAAGCACGTGCTAGATGCTTTATGCGCATCATCTCATTTAATCCTCACAATGGTCCTCAGAACCAGGTCCTACTGCTATCCTCACATTACAGGTGAGAAAAATGAGGCTCAGAGGAGAAAAGACACTTACCCAAGGGCACACAGCCAGTGAATGATGGAGGTGGGACTCAAACCCAAGTTTTTAGGATTCCAAAGCTTTGCTTTTAATTATATGACGGTCTCTAATGTACTTAAAAAGGTTTTTATGGTCTCTCAAAGGAGAAGATATTCCTGAAAGTGCCTGGTCAACTGCTGAGTGCTGGGCAATGTTAGGGATAAACTGCTAATGACCCCTATGTGAAGTTTTAGCTCCCTAATGAGGCGGTGAGGCAGGGCGGGGACACAGCACCACACACACAGCAGGCCTCCTCAGACATGTCGCTTGGGCTGAGCTGAGTCAGGAGGTGTTGCTGGCTGGCCCCAAGGTGCACTGTCAGACCCTGACAGACAGGGCCACACTGACCAGGTGCGAAAGCCAGGCAGGGCCCAGGGCAGCCCAGGAGGCAGGCAAGAGGATGCCAGACTCACCCCACGTTGAGGATCTTGGGCCTCTGTAAGCCGGAGCCCTCGAGCCGGAAGACAACGTTGGTGAGGGTGACAGGCAGGGGGTTCTTGAAAACAATCTGTACTTCGCATTCCTGGCCGACCACAGCCGCTCCCAATAACTGAGAGAAAGACACCCATCCCCACATCAGAGACCCTGGCCAAACACTTGGAGTCCATACACGGCACCAGAGGGGATTAAACCCTCCCTGACTCCCACATTTCTGCCCCTGAGAGGAGGCTCTGCATCAGCCAGAGGGGAAACTCCAAGCCGCTCCTCACCCGAAGTCGCCACAGCATCGGGGGATGAGGTCTCATTTCACAGGTGAGAAAGCTGAAGTCTGGGAGCCCAAGGCCAGTCCCTGACCTGTTCCTCCTGGAACCCTTGTCCGTCCAGCCAGCCTGTTCCTGACTTAGTGCCCTGTCCCCCCCACTCCAACTTCCTTCCGCCCCTGGTGGTCCCGCCCGCACGCTCTAGCCAGCCGCCCTCACCGTGAGGGAGAGGTCCGGGGTGCGCAGACGGAAGGTGTGCTGCTTGGCCAGCACCTGGCCGTTCTCCTTGACGTGACCTGAGACATTGAGCAGCATGGCCCCCTGGTCCACAAGGTGGGGCTGGTATTCCTTGTAGGCCACGGGCATGGTCACGCGTTCCGCTGGGGAGAGGAGGCATGGTGTCACGAAGGCCTGCTTCCCCGGACACGGCCTCCCAGAGTCTCCACGTCCACGGCCCTGGGTGCCGGCCATCTAGCGGGCAGGGATGGGGAAGGGACACTCACAGGCCTTTGGGGCCAGCACCACTTCCTCCTTGCTCTCCTTGAAGGGGGACCCAGTGACCCCGGTGTAGAAGGAGACTGAGAGGTAGAGGTGGAGCTTCACAGTACGGCGGCTGCTGCTGCGATTGGTCAGCACCACAGCGAGCGTCAGGTCCTGCCCCATTGCTGCGTCCTGGGCCTCCACCTGTATCGCCACATCGTCGGCCGAGTCCCTGGTGGCGTACACATTGGGTTTGCTGCCATGGGCGGCTGCTGTCTCCACTGCCTTCCGCTCTGCTTCCGACCCTGGGGGTTGAGGGTCAAGGTTGAGATGACTGCTACTGTGAGGGGGGGTGAGTGCTCGGCGGGCACAGTTGGCCTGGGCCTGAGCTGGCCGGGCCGGGTACCTTCTGGGTGCTTATAGATGTGGGTGATATCCTCCCGCATGTTGGAGCCGACGGCCTTTGTGACAATGAGTGTGCCAATGGCCTTCTCCTCCACGTACACAATCTTGAAGCTGCCATCATCCTGTCGCTGCCAGTAAACCTTGTCACTGTTTACCTGTCGGGAGAGGGCAGGGAGTGTGAGCAGCCCGGGGGCCTGAGGTTGGACCTGGCCCCAGCTACCTCCCCCTGAGCCTCAGAGCATCCGGGAGCATTAGGTCTAAAGGCTGGGAGCCTCCTGGCAGAGCCAGACAGGGAGACTTGCCAAACTGCGCCCGATGAAGCCGCAGAGCAGGCAGGCTGGTCTGGGAGGCTCCTCACCGAGCACCTTGGCATTAATAACAGTAATCCCTTACGCTCACATTCGCTGACTTTACGACCCGTAAAGCCGTTTCATACCCAATTATTTCTTTTGATCCTGAGTGCAGGAAGCACGGCAGCCATTATTATTCCCTTTTACAGTTGAGGGAAACTAAGGCCCTTAGAATGACTTGCCCAAGGACACACAGCTGGTCGGTCAGTGGTGGAGTCAGGGCCAGAGGCCCAGGACCGTGCCAGTGCTCTGCCCTCCACGCTGCTCAGGAAGGCACGTGGGGCGCAACGCTCACCTCGGCGAAAATGAAGGGTGTGTCGTACTTCATGTAGACCAGGCCATTCTTGACGGACTCCACGGAGCAGGGGCCACAGCAGAAGATGCCTAGGGGAGTCAGGGCAGGATGGAGGTGAGAGCTCCAAGGAGGCCACGGGGGACCCTCAGATCCTGGGGAGAGGCCCGCCCATCCAGGCCTAGTGCCCACTGCCTTGGGGTCGGCTGTCACCCAGTCCGATCCAGGGAAGGCAGACAGAAGAGTGAGGTTCCATTTGGCCTCAGTCAGTGGGTGGCTGGGCCAGTCCTGGGGACAAGCCTGTGCTGTCAGCCCGGTCACCAACACACTCGTCCTCCACTGGCTGGAGCTGGGCGTCGGCTGTCTGTGACCCCAGAGCTCAGGACCCTCTGTGTCAAGACACATGCAGAGCCCATGGTAACTCTGCTTGCTAGTGGCAGACTGATAGCTCCACAGCCACGAGGCGGGGGTGGAGGGGGTCTAGTGGAAAACGGTCTGACCGCGTCGTGCTCGGGGGTGGGGGTTAGGTGAGGTGGCTGACAGGGAGGAGGCCTGGCAGGAGAGACACGGAACAACGGTATGTGAGGGGCATCCAACAGGAATGGGTCTGAGAAAACACCTAGCACTATGGTATTCTTTTATCAATGGGGAAACTGAGGCTCAGAGAGGCAAGGTAGATGCTGGATCTCACTGAAGGAGCTCGTGTTTACTGTGGTCCAGGCATACTGCTAGTCTCTCTAATATATGATTTCTCATCTGATCCTCCCAAGCACCCTACGTGGTACATATTATCCTCACATTACAAACAAGAGCATCAAAGCCCAAAGCTGCAAGGAACCTGCCGAAGATGACATATCTAAGAAGTGACCAAGCTGGAAAGAAGCCCGAGGCCGGCTGCCCGCCCCACCACTTCCCAGAGTGGGGACCAGGACTCAGTTCTCCCAGTGTCCTGCGCTGGCCTTCTCCAGCATCGCCGGCATCCCTGGGCTGCACAGCTCAGGGGGCACTGTCCATAGAGATGGTTGGTCTCTGGGGTCTGGTCAGAGACCAAGGGAGAAATGTGGGCTGAGTGAGCGCCTTCCTCCCCAGGGCGAAGAGGGGAGAGCAGAAGGAAGGCGGCTCGAGGGGTGGGCGGGCTGGCTGGGGCTGCAGAGCTTGGGTGGGACGGGGAGGGGCCTGTCCGAGAACACAGTGTGTGGCAGGTCTAGCTTTTGCCAACAAGTGTCTTGTGGAAAAGATACTGGTAGGTTATGTCATCAGTAGTTCAATCTCAGGGCTGGGTACAGGGGCTGCTTTCTTCTTTGAACCTATCTGAGTCGTAATTTTTTTATACTACACATATTACTCATGGTGAGCAACAGAACAGACAGAAGAGGACTTGGTGAAAGCGAGAGTGCACGTCAAGAAGGAAGGGAGTCAGGGACTGGCTTTGCTCTGCGGCTGACCTAATGCTCTGTGTCCCAGGGAAAGTCACTCCACCTCTCTGGGCCACCATTTCCCACGTGTCCCGAAAGGGCTGGGAGAGGGCCCCAAGCCCAGCTGATCTCATCACTAGGGGAACTTTCAAATATATAGATTCTTGGAATCCATCCCTGGAAGGTCTGATGTGTCAGGTCTGTGGTGGGACCTACACATCTGCTTACAACAAAACAAAACAAAAATCTCCTGAGAGAGGACAGGAAATATTTACATTTTATGCTATTCAATTCTGCACTTTGTCCCCTCTCCAGCATGTATTACTTAAAATAATCACCTTTTTTAACTTAAAAAAATACATAAATAAAAGTGTCCTTCAATGAACTATCCCGAGGATATATAAGTAAAAAAGCCAATGAGAATAGTGGATTGGTTGGGGGAGAAAAACCTGTCACTGAATTTTCTTGAATGCTTTGACTGTCAAGTCATCTGCTATAATGGTATATTAACCATTATAAATAAGTAAAACTGAGGCATACAGTTATGGAGAAAAGTAAAAGCAAACTAAAGGGCACGTGGCTGATGAGCTGGCTGAAGGAGCTGTGGGGGCTGAGGGCCTGGCTCTCAGGCCCGGCTCAGCACGCAGGCTGGAGCCTGCCACCCAGGGAGGGCTCGAGGGGCCGGGCAGGACGCCGCCTCACCACTGCTGGTCTCCTGGGGTGTGGAGTCCACAACCTGCCACCCTGTAAAGCCCGAGGGCAGATCCGGCCTCTTCATCCAGCAGTCGTTCCACACGTGGAAGTTCCTGGACAGACATGAGGGAGGGCTGAGTCTGAGCAGCCGGTTTGAGCCCCTGGGACCCCTCGGGAGCCAGGTCGCAGGTCGCTGCTCCTGGCAGGGAGGAGCGGCCCGGCCCAGCCCCAGCCCCAGCCCCAGCCTCACCAGACGGAGTCGTGGTTCAGGTGCTCGAGAGGCTTCATGTTCTCATCGAAGTAGATGTCCATGGTGAGGGACGTGTCTGTGTCGTGTGCGGAGTTGAAGTTGGTGACGGTACGGGTGGCCAGGCCCAAGCATCGCAAAACTGCAGAGGAGGCACAGTTGGGGCTCAGGGCCCAGGGCCAGGGCAGGGGCCAGGGAGAGGTGAGGCATCAGGTGAGGAACAGCACAGGGAGAAGGGCAACTGGGGTCACCGAGCTGGGTCAGGGGTCACTAGGGTCAGGAGGCCTTTGGGTTGGGGTGTGTTGGGGGGTGTTGGGGGTTAGGGGAAGCCAGGCCACCTGTCTGGCCTTGCCCCTGCCCTTCCCTTTCCCCGCCCCTCCCCTAGGCTTCTCTGTGGTTGTTAACATTAATTAATGATAATTAAGGCCAGCCTACCATCCACCCCCTCCTGCCCCTGCGCTATGGCAACAAGTGGGCCTGGCTCAGGAAGGTGGAGCCCGGCTTCCCTCCCTCCTCCGGCAGGGCCCAGGCCACTCTTGTCCCAGTCCCTCCACTACCTGTGGTAGTCACACCGGCGAAGACCCAGCACTGGCCATAAGGGACAGAATAGCCAGTGCGTAGGTAGCTGAGCAGGATCTCCACGCTGCCCACCCACGCTGACGGGTTGGTGCCTCGGGAGTAATCACCAGACCAGTTCCCAATCAGGACCCCATTGTCATCCAAGGAGTTCACCTGTCCAGGCCAGGATGGGGTGTGAGGAGTCGGAGGAGAGGCTCAGGACCTGCCTTGTGGTCACCAGCCCAGCCCCCGGCCCTCAACCTCCGTCACCCCTAAATGCCCGAGGATCTGGCCAAGTCCCGCCCAGCCCTCTCAGAGCCATCTGCCCTCCCAGCCTGGTCTGACATAGGAATGTGTATCCTGGGTGTGCCAAGTATTGGGTTTGGCCCTACATTCCATAAGAGCTGGGACAGGAGCCAAGAAGGGTGGGGTGGGGGGCAGGTGAGGGAGAGAAGAGGAGTGAGACCCCTCTCCACTATACCCTTTGCAAGGGCAGGTCAGGGCTGGGGGTCCTGGAGGAACCAGAAAGGCCAGAAATGGGCAGCAAAGGGGGCAGCAGGCAGACACTCCGCAGGGCTCAGAGCCATGGGGGCGCTCACCATGGCAGAGATGACCCGGGAGACACTGACTGGGTCCCCACGGCCTCCATATGGCATGCCCCGCCGGTCCAGGATGTACAGGCAGGCATCCAGCACCCCATGGTCAAACTGCAAGGAAGGGAGGGCAGAGGTGGCCGCAGCCCACTGTGGCCAAGCTGGACCGCTTGGCCCACATCTTCTCTCCCACCAAACCCTGCCCGCCTCCAGCGCCCCTGAGTGCATTTGGCTGTGGCAGCTGTACCTGGCCATAGTTCCATGTCCGTTCGCCAATCTGTGCTTCGGTCCCATAGTAAATTCTCCCAGACTCATTAAGCACATACTCCTGCCGCCAGTCCTCACGTTCCACATACACGATGTCCTCTGCAACCCCAAAATACACATGCCTGGTTCGCTCCAGCCCTCTCCCTGGGCCCCACCTGCCCCTGAGCCAATTCTGCAGGGCTCATGTCCACAGAGGAAGAACAGGGACACCACTGGCCTAAAAACACTGTTCCCAGGAAGGACAGAGGGAATATGTCAGAAACATTGGGAGGAGGGTGACTGTAACCAGGGTGCTTCACCAGGAGAGGGGAGGCTGTGTGACCTAGAGGGGGTAACTTTTGACCTAGAAACTAGATCCCCTCACCTGGGCAACAGGGAGGCTGGCTTCTCCTAGGAGTCCTGGCTGGGTCCTAGGAGAGGACACTTGACCTGCCTCCTTTCTTGTCTATCCCCTGCTCCGGACTCCAGCAGGCTCACCTGAGCACCAGGGATTGAAGAGGATGTATATCTCATTGTTGGGGTCGAAGGGCAACAGGAACTCGCCGGCTTCCGAGTGCGTGCGGACTGTGAACTGAAACTTGCCGATGATGGCACTGGGGGAGGTGTGGACTCGTAGGTTCAGATTCTGCCCGCTGGACTTGGTCACCTGGGCCTTCCAGCCTCCACTGCCCCCTTTGCCCACTGGGATGATCACATGGGTGCCCTTGCCCACTTCGGGGTTGTTTCCTAGAACGGGAAAGCAGTAATTAGCTGGCGAGGCCTCCCTGAGGCAGTGGGGACGGAGCCTTAGACTTCTCTCGGCCCCACCCAGAGCATGTATGAGCCAGCGTGTGTGTGTGTCCCCGAGTTGGGCCATCACCCTGCAGTCTGAGAACAGCTCCGTCCCCGCCCGATGCTTGCCCACACGTCAAGGAAGAGGCCCAGTCCAACATCCCAAACCTGTTCCCCTGACACTGAACTCAGAGGTGGGCAGGAGAGAGCAGGCTTCCGTCACCCTCCGCCTGCCTGACTGTCCCAGCCCTGCTTGGGTCCGGGTGCCCCACCTCATGTGAATGGGCAGTCCGGATCTTGAAGGCCGACCCTGCCTGTTCCCTCAGGCTGCCACTATGAGAGCCCAGGGAATCCCTGGTGGAGGTGGTGGGGTACTTGGGACGTGAGAGGTGGGGTGGACAAGGTCAAGTCCTAATCAAAGGGTACGAGGAGTCTCCCGCCCCCGGCAGCAGGGTAATCACCAGCCTGCACAGTCTATGGCCACCAAGCAACGCGGTAAGGGAGGCACCTGCCCTGGGTCACGGAGACCGAGGAAACACAGAGACAGGCTTGGACAGAGAGCGCAGAGGGAGCCAGCCACACCCTGCGCAAGGAGAGCAGACCCAGAAAGAAAGATGCACAGAGGCAGCAACACCAGAGCAAACACCCAAGGAGAAAGAATAGAAAGAGATGCCCCTGAAGGCTTGAGGTGGGTGAGCTTAGGAAAATGGGGACACCAAGACTGTCCCTGCAATACACCCCTAGGGACACACACTTGCAAATGCCTCATCTGGCAGAGGCCGAGGAATGAGATGAGGGAGGAGCCCAAAGACACCCCTCTGACCCTAATACCATGGCTGGGAGGCCAGCTAGCCAGGCCCCCTGCCCCAGTGTTCACCCTCCCCACCACAGTCCCCACTGACCGATGTGCAGCTCCAGGGTGATGCGATCGGAGGACTCGTAGGGCCGAGACAGGAAGAGGACCATGTGGAAAGGCTGCCCACGGCGCAGGATCAGCTCATCGTACTCGAACTCGTCTGTGTGGTGCTCTCGGCGGTTCTGGTCCGAGCGTGAACTCAGCAGGTCCACACCAGTCACCACCAGCATGCCTTCTGCAAAGTCATAGCTCCTGGTCAGCGAAGCCCCATGGGGAGCCCATGGCTCCATCATTAGCCTCCCAGGCCCCCGGAGATGCCAGGATGAGCCTCAGTCCCCTTTTGGCTCTCAGCTAAGACGGACAGGCCAGTCTCACCTCGGATCACACCGTCTCCAGCTGCGTTGACACCGCTGCCCCGTGAGACGGGTCGGCGGGAACCTGAGCCCCGGGAGTCGGGTCTTCTTCGGCCCCCAGAGCTGGACCCTCGGCCTCCGTGGGGCTCCCAGTCATCATCTGCCCCACTCCGGCAGGAGCAGCAGCCACAGCAGCGGGCCCAGAAGGAGCGGCTCCCTCTGCGTGACCGTCTGTCTGGCTCGGGCTCGGGCTCTGGGGACGGCGTGGCGGGGGGCTGCCAGGGGCTCCCGCCCCAGCGGCCCATGTCGGAACGAGGACTTCCCATCATGTCTGTGTGGAAGAGGCAGGGAGGCTCCGGTCACCCTCTCAGATGTCCTTTACCCAGGACACCCCAGCCAGCCCAGCCAGCCCAGCCAGAAAACCTCCATTCAGAGCTGAACTGGGCTCAGCCAGATGACAGAGACGATCTTATCTTGAACCAGAGATTACCCCAGACCCATCCAGAGGCACTCCCTGAAGACTCCTCTCAGACTTAGCTAGAGAAACTTCCCACACTGCAGGGGAGAGTCTTCCCTTCTCACCCCCACACAGACATCCGCCAAACCAGACACCCTACCAAGAAACCTGCTCAAGGACCATCCCAGGAAATGTGTGGACACTCGTCACAGTCTTAAGACCCAGCTGCACAGACCATCCCCTGTCCTGACCCCACCACCGACCTCTCCTCAGTCTAGATAGTGGTCGACCAGCTGACCGCCTTTAGGACCCATTTCTTAGCAGAGATCCCCCACCCAGGACTCCTTGCAAAAGACAGACGGGTGAGGCGGGACGTGGGGGCCTTGGCATTCCCCACTTCTGGTCAAACCCCACGCACAGCAGCCGGGAGGGGCGGCTCGCTGTGCCCGAGCCCGGGCTCCCCCAGCGGAGTCCCAGCAGGGGGGCAGCTTTGCTGGCCCTGCAGGCTCGAGCTGGGCCGCACCCCACCTTGCTGGGGCAGGATCTGAGGGTGCGCAGTCCCCAGACAGCATCGTGGGGCACAGCAGCCCAGAGCCCGTCGGGGCCCCTCACCTGGCGGCGGTGCCGGCGGCGACTGCAGCTCTGGGTCGCGCAGTCGGGGTGGAACAGGTTAGGACTGATGGGACAGGATGGACGCGCTGGAGGCTGCCACACAAGTGGAAGGTGTGGGGCCTGCCGGCAAGTGGTTTATGAGGGGGGAGGGCGGGGCTGCTGCTGGGAAGGGAAGCTTGGTTGCTCCAACCCCGTTGGGGGAAGAGGCCCGGCCCCCTGGGGCTGTCTCTGAGGTTAGGGAGGGAAATGAGGCCCCGCCGAAACCTCTTTTCCCTTTCGAGGAACTGAGGAACCGTGGACATGGGATGATGTGGCTGGGGCTAGGGCTTGGGAGGGTGTGTGTGGGGGTGGGGATCGGAGTCTCTCAGGGCTGAAGCTGGGGTGAAGTGGAAGGCTTTGTTGGGACCGCCATACTAGGCTGACCCCTGCCAGACTGTGTACTTAAGGAGTCCCTTCTCCTGAGGGCAGTGGGGGCAGGGAGCCCCTTTCACCTGTACCCCTATCCAGCTGACCCTCTGCTGCCAAGCTCAGGCTGCCTGCCTGTGGTCTCAACCCCTGTTGCAAAGCTCCTGTGCAGCCCAGTCAGGCTCAGCACTGTGACACTGGCCTGGTCCTGGTCCTGGTCCTGCCCGGGGAGGTCCCTTGGTCCCAAGGTGCAGGCTGCTGACATCAGCAGCCTGGCCCTCAGACTGGCTCCACCAGCCAGCCCACGACCTGCCGGCTCTACCAGATCCTCTGACCCCCCACCCATGTGTCCCTCCTCTTCCTCCTGCTGCTCTACAGCCCCCAGCAGAGGTGAGTAGCCCCCAGCTTCCTGTGTCCCTCCAAGTTTGGGATTGGGGGACATGGTCAGAGTAGGGGCAATCCCTGCCCCGGGGAGTTTGGGGGAAGCTGAGGCCTTACTCCGAAGCTTGGGTTGGAACTGAGGCCCCTCCCTAGGCTACAGAGTGGCCCCCCCTCACTGAGAGGAGTGTCTGGTCAGCGGGAGTCCTGGGTTCCCCAACCCTGAATTCTTCCTGGGAATCCTGACTAACCGGCTCCAGGCACCTGCCCTGTGTGCATCCCAACTCCACCTTGGCACAGGGGAAACACCCGTTGCTGCCCTGGAGAGACGCAAGGTAAAGAGGAGGCCAGCCATCTTTACCGAGGCTTTCTTGGGAGGTCTACAGGAAGCCTGGGCCCCCTCTTGGGGCCTCTCCCCTCCATCCCACTGGCCATCGAACAGAAAACAGTGAAAACAGGGTTGGCGAGAAGACACAGGGAAGCTGAGGAGAGGCGGAGCCTGATGATGCATGGGGCAGGGAGGTGCAAGTGCAGCAGAGGCAGGGAGCTCTCCACACTCACGCTGACCTTTTCCAGCCCACCTCCAAGGCTCAGCCTTGCAGGGGAGTCAGCCCCAACCTCCAGCACTTTCAGAAAACCCACCAGTGGAAATCAAAATCTCAGGCAGATATGAGGGAGGTCAGCCAAAGGGCTTCATTGAAGGGCTGTTTGTACATCACTATGGACAGAGAAAGGGGCTGGACCCTGAAGATCTGGATGTGTGTGAGCAAACACGGGCCCAGGAAGATTCCCAGGGAACCAGGAAAATGCCTGTCAAACTCTCTCCCTTTTGTTTCAATCTTTTTCCCTCCACCAAGCCAGGTTTGACTCAGTGGCCTAACCTGAGCCACTCCCTTTTCCTCCCTCCAGGAGGCTCGGGTGCCTCAGAGCTTTCAGTCAGGACACGCGTCTGTGTGTGGGCATAAATGTGTGAGGGTCCACGTGCACAAGGGCGCATGTGATGGGTGTCATCATGAAAGCAGACACCCGATTCAGGGAGTGAGGCCAGGTCTGCTCAATCGTTCCACATTCACACAGAAGCAAGAACAGGAGTCTGGAATCCCAGAGCAAGCTGTGCAGAGAGCGCTGGCTCCAGCATTTGAGCTCAGCAATCTTGGGCATGTCTTACCAAGTTTCCTCATCAGTACAATGGGCCTAATCATCTCAAGCCTGAGTGCTTAGGATGAGCAAGTGGGATCAAGTATTTTAAAGGGCTCTTCAACTGCATAATGCTATTCATGGGGAAGGATGTTGTTGTTCTAAGAGGGTAGAGCAAGGGTACCCGGACCTCCTCCTCTGGGAAACAGCCTTCTTGGCTGTGGTGAATGAGAGCCAGGGCTCCTGGGCAGAGGGCATCTGGAAGGGGCAGGGGTCATGGGAGAAACTTTTAGACGCCCTTCCAGTTGCAGACATAGCTGCTTTGTAGCCCAGACCCCACAGTTACCTGACCCCAAACTGGATCCCAGCCTGGAATCCAGACCCAGCTCCAGACCAACCAGAAGGTAAACTTGAATCTAGCCTTCACCCTGATTCTGCCCAAATGCTGAGGCTTTGGTTCTCCATGACAGGGGATAGCAGGACTGAGCATAAAATGAAGGAGACGGTAAGCCAACACACGCTAACTCTCTCCGTTCCTTTTCCAGAAAGGTGACAGTAGTAATGGTGATGACAGCGATGGCAGCAGCAGCAGCCGCTTAGCAGCCTTAGAGGCTTCCCCATTCTTTATTCAGTCCCATAAGTTAGAGGGCAGAATGGGGGCAGGGTCTCTCAGGTGAGGATGCTGCTAACTGAAGGCAGCAGCTCGGCCAGGTGTTCCGAGGTGCCCACTGTTTGGCACAGGGGATTGCCCCGCAGGTTGAGGAGCACTAGCTTGGGGCAGGAGGCAACCGGTTGAAGTGCTGCAGGCTGCTGGAGACCTTAGGCAGGGGAGTCAAGGAAAGGCTGGCCAGTCCCCCCAGATCTCGCCTGCTCCTAGGCACCCATCGCTGTTTTCCCTGGCAGCCTGCTTGGTGGGCCCCTCTCATGCTTCCCTAGAGGGGGTAAGGCTCTAGGCAAGGGCTGCAAACACCTGCCCACAGGGGCCAGGCAGGAAGCACAGGGGCCAGGCTGGGTTGGTGCTAGAAGTGGTGGAGACTGTGGCCAAGAAGAAGGATAGCCATGGCTAGAGGCATCCACAACTCAGCAGTGACCAAAGACTGCTCAGTGAAAATGCAGGCCAGCCCAGGCTGGTGTGGCTCAGTGGCCTGAGTGCAGGCCTGGGAACCGAAAGGTTGTCAGTCTGATTCCCAGTCAGGGCACATGCCTGGGTTGCGGGCCAGGTCCCAAGTTGGGCGGGGGAGGGGGTGGGGCTGAGGGATGTGAGAAGCAAGTAATCAAACAGATCAATATGTCTCTCACACATTGATGTTTTTCTCCCTTCCTCCCTTCCCATCTCTCTAAAGATAAGTAAAATGTTAAAAAAAAAAAAAAGAAAGAAAGAAAATACAGGCCAAGGTTGCTTTAACTTACCATCTTTAAGAGAAATCAGAATTCCAAATTTTTTAAATATGAAACTTCCTGACTTTTAAAATACTACCTCATACCCAAGCACATCTGCAGTCTGCCCATTTGTGAACTCTAGCTTGAGGAAATCGCTTGGCCCCTGCAGAAACACACAGTGCAAGTCCAGGACAGACACACACAGCCCCTCTCCTCAGCTTAGACTGCCAGAGCTCCCTCCTCATCCCCCTTCAGTGGGGCGCCCCCACTGCTTGTTGTCTGTCCTTTCCCAGTGTGGCACCTCACTCTACCCACAGTCCAAAAGGCAACCAGAAGGAAGGATACGGTTGTTGCACAGTAAGAGCTCTTGTAGCCGCGGCAGGTTAGTCACACCGTCCAGGGACTCTATGGCATTATCGCTGGCCTGAAGTACCTGAGGAGCAGGGAGGGTAGGGAAGACAAAGCAGTCAGGCAGCTGTCAGCCTGAGACTGGTACAAGCAACTGGGGCGCCCAGGGTGACCAGCTTACAGTGCATGGGAGGGCTCCTGGGGTCAGGCTGGGTGACGAAAGGGGGAGGACAGGGGTCATCTGCAGTGGTTGGGAGGACCCGGGCATCTCTTTGTAGGGTGGGCAGGCTTCTGAGGTAGAGGAAGGGAAAAAGGACCACCCAGGACATTGATGAAGGAGTGAACGTTTTACCTCAAGGCAGCGCAGGGCAGCCAGGGCAGGGGGCAGGGCTCGGAGACGATTGTGCGACAGGTCAAGATGAGTGACCAAGAGCAGCTGCTCCAGATGGCAGAGTACCGTCAGGTCCTGTGGAGGGAATGAGACACCCGATTCGGTGGGGCCTCAGCCATCATGTCTCAAGCACTTGCCCTCTGTGCCCCACACAGGCCCTTGCGGACCCCAAATTAGGAGAGGGTGGTGAAGGTGGGAAGCTTACTTTGCAACCTACCATAGTACATACTACAAGTCAAGGACATGGGACAGACACGAGTGCTGTGGGTGAGGTGGCTAGTGGAGTGGGAGCAGGTACAGGGGACAGAGGAGGACCCTGGCAGAAACACGGACACTGGCAGGAGGGGTCGGGTGAGTCCGGGGGCCGGATGCTGGGAGCAGAGGTGGGCTGCAGTGACGGGGTAATACTGATGTGTTGGGAAGGTTGGTTGTAAGAAGAGGAAAGCAGTGGAAAAACAGAGTCTAGGAAGTTTGTCAGGAACTTCTGGGAACTATTCAGGCTTTAGGTGTTGGCCTGCTCCAATGAGCAGAGGAAAAAATGTCCAGAAAGGCACCTGAGACTGAAGGCAGGTGAGGCCAGACAGACCAGGGAGCAAACAGAAAAGCTGGCCAGGCCATGAGGAAGAAGGGTGGGCCGGCGGGATGAGGGCCCAGGGAAGGCTACATGCAGTCTGTACCTTGTGACTCAGGTATAGCACGCGAACCTCCGCATACTCCATCTTGAGCACGCTGTTCTCCAGCAAGAACTTGCTGCGCAGGTCATCCAGGTATGCTGCCCGCATTGGATCCACAGCCTGGCAGGGACAAGGCCGGCAAGGAATCTGTGTCAGCTGCCTTCTTCCTGCCCACGGGGCCTCCCCCTGTCTGTTCCTGCAGGCCCAGCTTGCCTTGAGTGTCTGGAAGTACTGCAGTGTCTCCTTCTCATACAGGAGGGGGTCCAGCGCCCGCATCAGCAGGATGATGGTGAGCAGGCACCCTGAGAAGAGGGTAGGAAGAGGACCCTCCTCTGCTCCCATATTCTTGAGACCCTTCCTATTCCCTGCCCCCTCCAATATACACAGAAAGGGGCCTCCTGAGAGAAGTAGGATCTCAGGGAATAGGTCCTCACATTTATTCTCAGGCTCCAGCTCCTGGAGCTCCTTACAGGATGTAAGCTCGGACTGTAGCACCGTGGACTTCTCCATCGTCAGCTCACACCTGAGGGGGGAAGGGGAGGGATGATGCCCACAGCTCTGGGGTACTTGCCATCCCCCTATCCAGGCTGAGACCACATGCCTGAGCCCCCTGCCTCCCATCCCAGTTGCCTGATGCCCAGAGTCCTCTCCTGCAGGCGTGCTTCCCTGTCATCACCTGAAGAGCTGCTCATCTGTGGCTGAGTCTCGGCACCAGCCCTCTTGGTGGCCTGAAAGAAAGAGTAGGTGGTAGGAGGGGACACCCATGCGAGGAAGAGGGGGCAGGGGCTGCTGCAGGTTGCATCACCTTTTAAGAGCACACACTCTTTCTGGATGTCGCCTGCTGTCCAAATGACACGAAATGTATGTTGGGGCAACTGGTCATTGAGGGAGGCAGCGGGCAGGTCACAAAGCTGGGAGCACTGGGTCAAGGAAATGCCCAGCCATGCCACTTTTCTGATCATCCCACCCAGGTCTGCCCCAGCCCCCACTGTGTCCCAGCAATCCTGGGATACCCAGACATGACCGGGCCGGTTCCTGCCGTCTGGAGTCCTCCACTCCACAGGCAGGGGTGACTCATCAACGATGAGCAGCAAAGTCACCGTCCTAGAGTCCACCTGGCACAGGGGACAAGAGAGACCCCATCAGCCCCAAAAGCGTGAAGCCCACAATCCACAATGTTCTCTAGCAAAAGCTGTAGGACTCACCAAGACGGGCCGAGAGAAGGAGACAGTCAGACAGGCCTCATCCCGGCTCACGTGCAGGCAGTGCAGAGCATCCTGGGGGTCAGCTGGCGGGGAGACACAGCCTTGGGTCTCCTTAAATCCTCTTCTATTCATTCCAAGCCCTTAACACCCAGCCTCCTCCCCCACTGCTCACCTCGTCCCAGAAGCCAGCGGTGATAGAACCAGGCACTCTGATCATTGGGGTCAGTGAAGAAGGCATTCTGCACCAGCTCCAGCTCTGCAGGGGCCCAGGAGGCACAGCGCTGTGGTTAAGATCCTGGCTGCCCCAACACCCCACCCTCTCCTTGGTGTCCCTCCAGTCCTCGGTTTGCCTATATGCTAGCTTTGTACAGCAGCTACATATATCAGTTTTATTTTCCTACAGGACATGAGCTCTCTTCTGTCAGGGGCTGAACCTTATGCACCCCCAGAGCCATGCATGAAATAGCTGCCCAGAAACCCAATGGCAGGTTCAGAAACAGGGCTAGGCTGGAAGGGCAGTGCTGCAGAGTCCTCCCCAGCACCCAACCCTGCTTACCCTTGAGAAGTACATCCTCAGGGAGGCGCCCCTGTGGTCCAGAGTCTGGCTGGGGATGCAGCTGGGGCAAGAGGCAGGAGCGGTAATGCCAGGAAGAGTAGTTGGAGAAGTTTCGAACGATGAGGCTGTCAGTGAAGGCAAGCTCCTCTGCAGGGGGCACAGCTGCCTGTGCAGCCACAAAACGTCGGTAGTCCCAGCAATGGACTGGGGGGAGGGGTGACAGAACATCTCAGAAGCAAGGCAAGAGGAGCAGCTCCCTAGGTGGTACCCGTGGAGTTCCCTCAAAGAACCCAAGAAGGACCTCTATGCATCCCACAGAGT